GTGATAAGCATGATACGTCATATTATCCCAAGTTCAAGGCCTGGTGCGATAAGTACTTTTACCTCCCGCACCGGCGCGAAGCACGAGGAATCGGAGGAATATTCTTTCGATGATCTCGATACCGAAATTCATACGCCAGTCTTCGCCATCTTTGGCTTCCATTTCAGCCAAGGAAGCGCAAGAGCGTCTCTTCTTCATTTGTCACGGACGGGCTATCCTCCTTCCTACCTTCATATGTACCCATTCTAAAGAAGCGGAAGGACATGCCATTCACGGAGCAGGAGAAGGACTGGCAACAACTTCGTCGAGGACGATATGTGGAATTCAACCTTGTGCATGATCGAGGTACAAGCTTTGGCTTGCGTACTCCGGGCGCTAGGATTGAGAGTATATTAATGAGTTTGCCGCGAACTGCGAAATGGGTATACATGGATCCTCTCTCCGGTACAAGAACAGATGGCGTAGAGGTTGCTGTTGAGGGCATGGAGAAGGAGAAAGAGCTGCTAGAGGTGCTGAAGCAGCCGAAGGAATGGGTTTGATATCCTCCTCTCCTTGTATAACTATTTTTGGGATATATGTAATCACATCTAAATGTACCATAAGATATAAAAAATGAAGCACTGTCTATGAATAAGATAGTGAGTAGGTGTGTTTAATAACTACCTCAACCGGAAATCTATTTGCATATGTGATGTGATATATATTGTAAGCAAAGGCAACAAAACCCAAACAAATGAGACCGAAACAAGCCGAGCTAAACATGCGCTCAAAAGGCAATGATGGTATCCAAACAAAGGAAAATTCACTTCTGTGCCCAAATCTAGTGTATTTCTGGAATTATGTAGCACCCTCTTAACTGCTTCCCCTTCCATCCTCCCCCAGAAGAACGTTTGATCCAAGTGTATGCATAATGTTACAATCTCTTCATAGCTTTCTTTGCTTTTCAAGCAAGGGGCACGATGCGTTTACCGGCCTCCAGCTTTCGGGACAACCAGGGCTCTCTGCTTGCCTAGCCAGGTGCGATTGGTTTCTGCATGGTGTGCGCTTGCACCCGCTGCTCCGCGGTGTCGAGAAAGCACAATATTGCCGTTCTGTAGCCGTGACTGGAAGTCGTACCATGCGGAAGAAATGAGGGCGATTTCTCGTGCTTGTCGATGAATTATTTGCATCAATTCAGTCTGTGGAACCAGCATTAGAGATACGGCGATTACTGGGCCGTAGAAACCAGAAATAATGAAAACAGGGGGAAGGGAAAACAGACCTCTTTCTCCTTACTAGCTTTGATTTCCTCCTGATCCGCAGAGAACTGCTCGTAGTGCCTAATCCGCTCTTGCAAAGATTCGATAATATCATTTTGTTGGTTCATATGCTGTTGAGAATGTAATAAAATAGAAAACAAACCCAAGTTGTTTGTTGTTTGGTTATCCGATTAGCCACAAGATCCCAACTCGGGGTTCATGAACATGCCGATGTAACATATTAGGGAGGCGCCAGGGTTAACAGCGTCATAGGCATAGATGAGACCTGCAAAGAGGAGGGACCAATGCCAGAGCTCGACGAGGCTCTTGACCTGGTTCGGGTCAACCTCTGTCTGGATTTGGGATTTCTTCTTTCTTCTTCTTTCTTCTTTTCATATTTTGGCTTGAGAGGAGGAGACTTCTCCAGCGTAAGACAAGCTTGCTCTGGGATTGGTCCCTGGGTGCGCAGGCGTATGGTGCAGAAGTACATTGGGGCATCATCATAGTGCAGTGCTAAGGGGGATGAAATGTACAATAAACGAAAGGTTTTTGACTAACCTCAGCTCTCCTGGCAAGGTGTTCTGCACTGCGCTCGGTTGTTTCCGCAAGTCGCTCTAAAAACTCATTTGTCATGTCGTCATCCGTTGTGTCGTTGACCCGGACATTGGCTTCTTCGAGGAGCTGTTTCATCTCCTCGAGAGATGCATCACCTTCTGTGGAAAGCTTGGTGTCGGATTGCTTGAATGTGTTTCTGAGATTGTCTCGCTCGCGAGATATTTCATTGATCTGCAGCTGTCGGACTTCAAGTTGACTGGTGAGGGTTCGGACGGTGACAGCCAAGACAGCACATTTCTCCCGTAATGCCGTTTGTTCTACTGAATTAACCTCAGTCGCCTCATTCACCATTTCAAGTTTATCCTTGTTGACAAGGCTCACTATGTATGTACATTAGCAACCACGGTAGTAAGAAACATTTGCGGGTTAACCTACGTTTCATGTTAGCATCGGAGAGCTCAAGTTTGGTAGCCTCAAGCAGGCCTTCAAGCTCCACAATCTTGGTTCGCATGATAGTGTAGTCGACGTGTAAGCGCTGGTGAGCCTCTTTAAGGTCGGCATCCGTCTGAAGGGGACATTGGTAGAATTCTTCCTTCCATTTCCTCTCAGCACGTGCCTCGGATTCAGCGTCATCAGGGACATCCTATAGAATGATATAAGTTACCACTCGGCCAAGTGAAGAGTGGATAGCACTCACAGGAATGGTCTTGTCAACAGTAGCAATAGTTTCAAGCTTCTTCTTGAGTTCCTCGTTCTCAGCATTTCTAGGAGAAATTAATAAACGAAATCCCACAGATAAAAAAAATATAACATATAAACTCACAATCGGGCCTCTCGCTTGCCGCTTTCTTCCAGATCCCGTTCTAGGCTAGAACCGTGATGCTTGGGGGTAGAAGGTCTGGGAGATGCTGGACTACTATCAAGGCCTTCCAGCTCTTTTATTCTTTCCTGTAGCCTACCAATCGTATCTTCGTCCCGGGTACGCTGTTCTTCGGCACCTAGTAGTCGTTCGGTTAGAGCATGATTATCGAACTCGAGTTTCTTCTTTAGGTCTTGGATCTCATGTCGATCCTGCTCGACACGAGCAACAAGTCGTCTGTAGTTCTCAACCTCTGCTTCCCGGGCCGCAGAGACTCGTTGAAGGGTATCACTTTCTTTCAAATGCTGCTGGAGATCCTTGACCTTATTCTTCAGCACTTGGTTTTCTTTCTCATAATCTTGGCTGGCCTGTAGTTTCTGTCTGTATTTCTCAGCAGCATTGGCCTTTCTAGCAAGCTGGTCCCGCTCAATCTTGATCTCATCATATTCGTCCTGCAGAGTTTGGAACTTCTGGTTCTTAACACGAAGAGTCTCAAGCGATATTCTCAGGCTATCAATTTCATCTTGGGCAGCTGTGAGTTTAGTCTCCTGTGCAGCAATGATGTCCTGTGTCCTGTGTTCGTAGCCCTTGAAATTTGGTCCAATGTCAGCCTTTCCAGACTTGAGTCTTGCCAGCCTCTCCTCAGTGATGTTGAGTTTATCCTGTAACAGCTCGTTTGCTTCTCGAAGGCGTACATCCTTTCGATGGTATTCTTCTAAATCTTTCTCCAACTGCTTCTTCTCGTTTGATAGTTTATCATTCTCAACTAGTAATTTCCCCACACGCTCCTCAAACTGCAGCTCCGGGTCCATAGCCAAGTCACGTCGAGCCTTGTATTCATCCTGCTCGTAATTTATCTGGTCAAGACGGTCTTGTGAAGGGTTCTGTGCCTCTTCTATTATACCCTTCAGCCCTTCCTGTGTTGCTGTCGAAAGTTGTACCATTCGCTCGATATAGGATTCAGCTCCAGGGGATCTGATGGCAGCCATGAGAAAGAGCTTCAGCAGCCTGTTTGTCTCTTTCGTCGAGGCTGTTTCCGCAATCGACTTGAGGTCTGGGTCTGTCGAGAGACCAGCAGGTATCTCTCCATCATATCGATTCCGTATATAATTCAGGAGCAGCTTGTGCAAATGCTTGAGGTTCTGCCATCTTAGCACCCAGTGGTCTTCGGGTGAACTCTCTGGAAGCACGCCCAAGAACTCGTGGGGGTCGATGTCCTGCAGGATCTCCCAGAGTATGACGCCGTCGTATAAATCATCTGAGGACTGAATGGAGGTGCCCAGAGGAAAGCTGTTGATCCATTCCAGGAGGGTTGTGGTTTCGGGTTCGTTTGGCATGGTCACTTCGAGGGATGTGGCGTTTTGAAGGAGGAGAAGTGGAAATCGGAAAAGAGATCGAGGTACTTTAAAATTAAGGATATAATAAGTGCCAGACGATGGGCTGCATGCTGGCGATGCTGGGGGGAAAAATATCGGTGTACGTTGAAAACGCCCACTTTGGGGGGGAAAGCGATGGTCAATCAGAGGCCGAAGTCTAGCTGCAGCTAAACGTGTACCATGCTCTTAAGGAACGAGGGCCCAACAGGCGCCATGCCTCCGTTATATTATTACTGCCGATCAAGTACGTAGTTGATATACATATATTTAAGAATACGGAGTCAAGTTATTGTCATACATAATATTCTGGTAGACTATGTTGCTGTGGTCGCGTGTTTATATACATCTCTACCAAACGGCCTGAATATTCTGCAGCGAATTTATATGCAGCCCAGCGCATAAAAAACGGGTTTGGTTAAAATTCCAATTTGTCTTGGTATGAATGAGACATGGTCAATGAAACGAACGTATTTGAATCCACAGATCAGACTGGAACCGTGAATCTTTGGCCCCTTTATTGGAATATACATGGCGCGGCGGAGAAAAAAGAACTTCAAGCAATATTGCAGGGAGAAGCAAAGAAGAGTATGTACCCCGTATAGAAGAGTATTTATCAGCATTTATCACTGTACAAGGGGAGAGATAGAGAGGAAGAGAGGTCCAGTCTAGTTGACGGAAACGACTTGGTCTTCCTCGATAGAAGCCGGGTAAGAGGCATCCATGCTCTTGAGGTTCTCGAAGAGGTCTTCGGGGGCTTCGGCGGAAAATCCTCTGGAGAAAAAAAGAAAGTATTAGCAGGGCGCATCCGATGGTTGGCTGATATTCGCTCTAAACATACTTGATCAAGTCTATAGATGCAGGTTAGCGAGCTGATGGTCTACGGATATCGAGAAAGGGCAACTTACTGTACTCATGAGTGATCTTGCCGCCCTACAAGGTTAAAAGAGAAGACGGTCAGCACCTTCTATCACAAAACAGAATCAGAGGCCACTCTTACAGCTTCGACGATGGTTTCCTTTGCCTTCTGGATGACAGAGTCCGGCGTCCCTTCGGGGTAGCTGACGATGATGGACTTCATCTGGGCTGCCATGATAGCAGGCGTGAGGGCGGCAAGGACGAGAGCAAGGAAGGCTTTCATTTGAGATGCAAGTGGAAATGATATGTCAATATCGAGTTGGTGGTTTAGAGTGGTGGCGGCTTTCAGGGTGAAAGAGAGAGAGTACGGAGTAGATGTTTTACTTCGAGGTTATTCCCTTTCTTCCTTGTAGTTATATAGGTTCTCCCTTTCCCCCCTTTTAAACTGTGAAGATTTATATATCTGCCTAGGCATGCATTAGCCCAACCTATAGAGGGAAACGTTCACTGATGATGTTATTATTACTCCGTATTTTATTATATATCCACAGAAGAAGTTTCCTTTCCTCCAAGAGGAGAAAACCCGTGACGTGGTGTTTTCGGACTTTTTCACCCTTTTTGTCCCGCTTTTGGCCGACAGAGTCATGTGATGTCACATGCAGATTAGTCATGGTATATCACGTGATTGTCTTTTTTCCCAGCCTCAAAAAAGTTGAAGACGACGACGAAGCCGAAGAGTGAAGAAGAATAAGAAGAAAAAAGAAGAAAACGGAGAGTCAATAACATTTCCCCGTTGATATAAAGAAGCAGTGAATACGGCAATAATAGGAGGACAGACGGGCCTGTAACACTTCTTTCTTCGTCTTTCGATTCTCCTTTGTTTTCTGCGTATCAACCTCTTCCTCGACTTGACATCCAATTTTCTTCGCCCTCCCTTCAACACGCCAGTTGTTTACCATCTCTCTCACCGTCAGCTGCAGATACCATCGATCGTCCCTCGTTTTGTCCCTCCACGAATCCACGAGAAACTCCCCCCTATTGTGAGGTTGTTTTGAGGTCTTTTTGCTGCTGGGAAGCAAGTGACAGATACAAAAAACAAGGGTGGACAGGGGAGGGATTAAGGCCAGACAAGAAGGAAGTGGACGGTTATATTTGGCTCCCAGTTTTAGGATATTGCACTGGCATACATGCTCGCCATCCGATTTTCTGCAAGGAATAGCTAGCAACCATTCTAATATTTTGTCCTGTGTCTCTATCTATCCTTTTTATCCGCTTGATCATAAGCTTCTTACAGCACAAGAAGGAAGAAGAAAAAAAGAAAAGCAAAGAACAGCAAGAAAAGAAAAACAGAAGAGAAACGAAGAATTCTTACCAGGCAAAGAGGACAAAAAATCATAACCAAGGGACGTTTCTCCAGGCTTTTTCCTTTTTTTGTTCCTGATTATTAGGACTCTTCGTTTCAACATCTTATCCTCGGACCTTTTACCTCCACACTTTTCCTTTCATTTTTTTTTTTTTTTTTTTTTTTTTTTTTTTTTTTTTTAACCGGTTCTGCTGGAAGACAGCTGGAAGACAGCTTCAACGGACATACTGCCCGCCATGTCTGGACTCGTTTCTGACGAAGTTGCGGAAGACTATAAGAACTCCCTGGAGGACCTCACAACGAATGACAAGTTCCAGATAAGCAACTTGACCGTTATCGCAAAGGAGAATACCGAACATGCCATGGCCATCTCCCGAGTGTTGGAGAATCATATACGAAACGTAGGTGCCAATTTTTTTCCAATTTCCGCTTTCCCCCCTTCTCTTGTTTGTTGTCTTGCATACGTACCATGCCTTGCCGGATAATATTACTCTCGCATACGGGGGGGAGGATGCTGTAGAAAACTGGAGCGAGTTATATTCTAATTGATCTCTGTAGACGCCACCATCTCAAAAGTTACCAGCTCTTTATGTAGTGGACTCAGTTGTGAAGAATGTAGGGACGCCTTACACCCTGTTTCTGGGGCGCAACTTATATCAAACTTTTATGAACGCCTACACTCTCGTCGATTCGCAGACACGCAAGAAGTTAGACGAGATGCTTAAGACCTGGAAAGAACCTGTTCCAGGTTCACTGGATCCCAGGCCTGTCTTTCCAGTTGAAATCACCCGGAACATCGAGAATGCTCTGATCAAGGCTAGGACTGCGGCCCTTCAACAACAGCAGACCAGGAGCCAGCAGGAAGCCATGAGTCTTGGTAGAGGTGTCGGTACACCACCGCCAACATGGCGAAATACCCCTACGCCACCGCAAGGTGCCCAACGATACCCTCCCGGATATAGTTATAACCACCAGATGCCAACCAACGGGCATGCATATGTGAGTCTCAGGCACATACCGCAAATTCATGCACAGTTTACTAACATACAGACAGCCAAACCAACAGTCATATAACCAACAACCTCAGGAACCTACTAACCTCGCTTCTTTACATCGTGATGTCGAGTCACTGATATTAAATGTGCGACTCGAATTCACCGCTAACCCACTTAACATCGCAGTCCAGCAAAAACTCAAAGCCCTCCTAGATTTACAGAGTATATTACAGCAGCAACGGCTACCTGAGGCACAGCTAAAGCAGATTCGTGATCAGGTATCCCAGCTTTCTGCTGCCAGCGCAAAGCCAACACCACAACCCGCTCCTGCAGCATTACCTGCTCAATTATCGACTCCCGCAATATCCACACCACCAATTGGAACCATACCACCTCAAAATCCACAGCCGAACCTCCAAGCCCTCTTGAACCCGAACACTCTTGCAGAACTTATCAAGGCAACCGCACAGAAGCCTACTCCAACACAACAGTCTCAGCCATATACGCAACCAGCGGTGTCAGCACCGACTCTAGCAGCAGCCGTACAGCCTGCGGCCCCCTCACCCTTGGCTGAAAACCCGCTGATAGCTTCACTAAGAGCTCGTGGCCTTCTCCCGCCCGCAACAGGAACCCCCACAACGACATCACCCGCCCTTCCTTTTATCATTCCAGGACAGCCAACGTATACTCCCCCGGCTGCCAACCCTAATGCACAGGATGTTAAAATCAAAGTGCCGATGAGCTCTGCTTCAATACGAATGTTGGTGTCCCCGGCGGCCTACTCTAGTATCACGGTTCTTAACTAATATTTTCACAGACCTCGCCCAAACCTAATTGCTTGCTTGTACGAAGACAAACCAAACCGCTGCGGGACATGCGGTCGTCGATTTTTCTCGACTCAAGAAGGCAAAGAGAAGAAAGCCAGGCATCTTGATTGGCATTTTAAAACAAATTTACGAATGAATGAAGCCACCAAACGAAGTCAGAATCGAAGCTGGTACCTTGACGAACGTGTAAGCACCCTTTCTTCCATTCATTTTCCATGCATAACTAACGGACAGTCCAGGACTGGATAAAGTTTAGAGAATTCGAAGACGACATTGGTGCCGATGATGCTTCTGTTTCTGTTAATAAATCCAACGGCGACGATGCATCAGGTAAAAAGGCAGAGCAACAACGTTGGATCCACGCTCCAAATGATGCTACTCTTCGCAACACCCCTTGCCCAATATGTCAGGAGAATTTTGAATCTACTTGGTTCGAAGAGGCACAAGACTGGATCTGGCGAGATGCGATTAAAGTTGGGAGCCGTATATACCATGGCAGTTGTTATACAGAGGTGACCAAGGATGGCGGTACAGGCACGAATCCTGATACACCGCGGGGGCGAACAAGTACGCCGGACTCCGTGTTAGGAAAACGGAAAGCTGAGGTAAGAATATCACAATTGCAGCAGTTTAATTTCCAGCATATTCTAATCGGTGCTTTGTTCATAGGATTCGGATTTCTCTACATCTAGCGCCAGGATCAAAACCGAGCCAGCTTCATAGTCCGGTGGCTCCCGTTTAATGAAACTACCAAATAATCAACGCTTCACCGTTAGCCTTTGTGCTTTGTCACATATTACCGCATTCTTGCATTTTATATTGAAGCAAAAGCCCTTGTTTATACTCATCTACACTGTTGATATCCGCATTATCCCTCTGCATTCTCATCTTCTGTTTTAAATACTTGTTTCAGTCTTGTTCAAGCACAGTGATGAATGTTAGGCTTGGCCTGTTTCAGTTGCATGGCGAATAGACCTGTTTTTTTATCTCATTTTACTGTCCTTTGCTTGCTCATTATTGCTATTCTTCGCCTATGCAGACCACATCTATATTAATAATTAATAGAGACAAGAAGGCACCTATTCAATTGACGGAAATGGTAGAAATATCATTCTACACATAGCCCACCCAATATTCACTCTACCCGAGTTCCCCTACCTTTCCGTTAAATTAGGCTAGTTAGCAGCAACTTTAATGGGTAATTAACATTATTCGAACCACCAGGTATAGATACTGGAAAGAGCAGGACTAAGAATTTAGAGTGAAGTTGGAATATACTGTTGATTTAATAGAATATCTTATCGCTAGTAACAAAACCCATGTAGCCTCTTGTGTAAAAACTCCGCCCAAACTGCAAGGAAATCAAGAAAGCACCCTCCATTCCATTAATTTTCAAAGGTTTCCTTCCCCAGGGGGGTAAAAGGTACAATCATAACCTCATAACTTTGAGAATCAAAAACTAAGGCCCTCAGGCACGTAACCATCAACATGTGGAACAAACTTCATACAAAGGGAACAGAATTGAGAGATAGGCTCTCGAAGGCATTATACCCTTTGATAGGATCACGAGTGGCTTTGAGTCGCGTCAGTGGTGGTGGTCTTTGCAGTGCTAGAAGGAGCATGGCTGTTGACGTTTCCAACAGTGGTGTAAGTAGTGCCTTCAGCGGCTGTTTCGGCTCCAGATGGAGCAGGGTCTGCAGTAGCCGCGCTGAACCCTGCTGTAGCACCCTCGGTTGGTGGGGTGGGAACATCAGGGGAAGCCGAGTTTCCAGATCCATAGATGCTGCTATCCGTACGTGCATGGCCGATTACACCCTCCAGATTGGTATGAATGTTACGCTAGAAGAATAAGCCTCTGGCGGAGGTGACAGGCAGACAGAGAATGCAGTACATATGGACTTACCCGAGATCTATTTTCATCTGCATACCTAGCTGCAGCGGTGATAAGCTCCATGTCCAATGAGTGCTGCATCGGCATGATTAGCGCTGGGCGCGAGGCGTTGTTTGGATCTTCTGGATGGATTGCTGTATAAACAGGTTAGCCCATGAGTAAATAAAGCGAACGCGAAATACACGTGTATTCGGGGTTAAGGATGCTTTCTATAGCCTCAACCCCTGGTATATATGTATTAAGAGCAGCCTACATGGCAGCCTGTATCAAACAGTCTGAAAAGGCTATATATCAAATACACTTACGCTGTAGATTCAACAAGCTGATATCAACCGTGGTAGATGGGCTAAATACATCTTAACATCAGCCTTTATGCCTGCTAATAAGGGGGGAAGGGAGTCTTAGGCTGGTTACTTACCATGTTGGCCTCCCAATCTCATACTTGTGTTGTTGTGGCTGCTCTCCGTGAGAACGGAGGCATGAGCAAGAGAGAACACATCCCATTGCAATACCAGCGTGATAGAAGTCAAAAACACCTAAAACCAGGAGATACTGAGGGTGTAGAAGGAGGTTTGAATCACAGAGAGAGAGCAGAATTTGCAGTTGGGCGTGTTGTGATGATTAGCAGGAAGAAGGAAGGTGAAGGTGTTGTATAAATCTGCTTAGTCGGCGATCAGATATACACATGTATAACTTAGGCCATTAAGGGCAGAAGAAGATCCGATGTAAGGACAGGTTAGTAAATTAAGTGACAGCCATTGGAAAGTCCCATTGAAGTTGCATGAAAAACACTGCATGGCGTTTTTTCAGTGAGGTAACTTCCCATCAATATCAAAGGAAAAGAGAAAAAAAAAACAAAGATTGCAGAAGAAAGGAGAAAGGAGCATTGATATGGAAATATTGCTCATAAAAAAGAAGCAATAGAACAGATGCATTGTATTTCTAACAGGTAGCATATAGTATACAAGAGCACCAGATCCCATAAGTCTATACATGTTCCAACCACCAAAAGTGAACAAAAAGCCTCAAAGCAGGGGAATTAATGGTATCCCATGTATACAGTCATAGACACATATCCCTAACCACCCAAGGAGGCGAATGCGAAACAAACAGTAGGTAGAGGTATTGTTTTGTGAGTGCCAGGTATCCTTCACAGGATTACTTGGACAAGCCGAGCTTGCTAAGAATTGGAGACTCCTTCTTCTCAAAGACTCCTAGAATGCTCTTCCAGACTTGGCCGGGCTCCTGGCTGGCATCGATTCCACTCCAGATACCGGTCTTCTTGTAGTATCCGACAACTGGAGCGGTTTGGGCGTGGTAGGTAACCAATCGCTTCTTCAAGGCCTCAGCATTGTCATCAGAGCGCTGAACCAATGGTTCTCCAGTAATGTCATCCGTCATCTCCTTCTTTGGGGGGTTAAAGATCTTGTGATAAGACCGGCCAGATGCAGGGTGGATCAATCGGCCCGTTATCCGGGAAACCAAAAGACCATCGTCAATCTGGAGCTCGATGGCATGGTGCAGCGCCTGCTTGCGCTCACGGAGCATGTCATCTAATCGCTCCGCCTGGGCGACTGTTCGAGGGAACCCATCGAGGATGAAACTATTGAAAGGGAAATTTTTTTCGTATCAGTAAGCTCGTAGCATGGTCCCAAAAAATGGCGGTGGGTTCAAAACAAAACGTACCCCTTCTTACACTCCGTGTTCGATTCCAGCTCATTTTTAATCATGCCGACCATAATCTCATCAGAGACAAGCCCGCCTTGGTCCATAATCTTCTTCGCTGCCTTGCCCAGCTCGGTTTGCCTGGAAACCTGTGATCGAAGCATATCACCTGTAGACTGTTCAAATTTTATTAGAGCCGCAATCGATTGATAGGGGTTTTTAATAGAGACAAATGGCGAGGACAGGCGTACCAGATGGCATACGCAGAATTTCTCCTTGATCTTAGGCGCTTGGGTTCCCTTGCCTAAGAACCACGGTGGTTAACTGAATGTGTCCAGCGAATACGTATATTGCAAAGGCTCCATACCTGCACCTGGAGGGCCCATCAGGATCATCCGCATCGACTGAGCGGCCGAATTGGACTCTGAGTTACCGCCATTGAGCAAAGCCTGCTCCAATCCAACTATCCGAGACTCCAAGCTGCTGATGAGATCCTTGAGGGCATCGATCGACTCGCCGTTAGCTGGGGCCATTGTGAGCTGAGGAGGAAGAAGTCAAGGAATAAGAATAGTCTTTCAGGAATCAGAGAACAGACAAGACGGGTCACTCTGGGTGGGCGGCTGGCTGGGAAAGAGAAGAAGGAAAGGAAGAAGAAGAAGATGAAGCCTTCTGCAGGTTGAAGAACTGGAGGCGAACGTCGGGGTGGAATATTGCTTTTTCCTTCCCTGGCGGTTTCAACCTGCAAAGAAGTTCAAGCTTCCCGCGACGCCGAGGAAGAAGCTTAAAGCCGGTTCGCGGCAAAGATGACTCAGCAGTCACGTTCTGGAGTAGTCACGTGTAATGCCTGCTTGCTTGGTCATCATAGCTTTGTCAGATATTACTCATATAGCTTACTCATCATATCCAAAGGTTGCGTCTAAGCTTTCCAGCTTCAAATCAACATATGGACAAAACCAGCAACAAGCAAAGGAAGACGAGCAAGATATACACCGCGGCAGCTGCTTGTCTCTATCTTTCTCTCTTTTCTCCCACCCCCTAGTATATTTTGTCTTCTCTGCCCCGTCCATCATGCCTACCACCACCACCGATACCCTCTCCCTCGTTACAACAACCGTTACTGTCGCTCCCTTAGTTCTCCTCTCAGTGGCAGACCACTATGGACGTTCTGCAAAGGGGACCAGAAAGCGGGTGGTTGGTGTGTTACTAGGACAAAATGATGGGAAGACGGTCCGCGTATCCAACAGTTTTGCAGGTGTGTACTGAGAATGCGCGCATTCTTCTTATATATAGCCCGGGACTACGTTCACTGACAACACCCCAATATAGTGCCCTTCGAGGAAGATGACAAGGATCCCACCGTCTGGTTCCTAGACCATAACTTTGTCGAGTCGATGAATGATATGTTCAAAAAGATCAACGCCCGCGAGAAGCTAATTGGATGGTATCACTCCGGCCCCAAGCTGAGAGCGTCGGATCTAGAGATCAACGAGCTTTTTAAACGATACAACCCAAACCCTCTGCTGGTCATTATCGACGTACAACCAAAGGAAGTTGGCGTGCCTACTGATGCATACTTTGCCGTCGAAGAGATCAAAGATGTGAGATCCGACTTTTTCCCTGCCATCCGCTTTCAAAGCTAACCTGGTGTTTCTAGGACGGAACAACAACGTCCAAAACTTTCGTTCATACTCCCTCGATAATAGAAGCCGAAGAGGCTGAGGAGATAGGTGTAGAGCACCTTCTACGAGACATTAGAGATGTTGCAGTCGGCACTTTATCCACCAGAATAACATCACAACTCCAATCCCTACAAGGTCTTCATCTGAGACTTCGAGACATTGGTCAGTACCTTCAGAAAGTACTAGACAGAGACCTCCCCGTCAACCACGCCATCCTCGGTCACCTCCAAGATGTATTCAACCTTCTACCAAACCTCGCCACAGCTAAGCCGGGCACACCGGCCGGCGCCAATGGCGCGGATCAGCAAATTGAGAATACTGAGCTTACACGCGCCATGAACATCAAGACAAACGACCAGCTCATGTCCATCTACATTAGTAGTTTGATCAGAGCCATAACAGCCTTCCACGATTTGATAGAAAATAAGATCCAGAACCGTCAGCAGCAGGAAGAGAGAGAAGCTAAGAAGGATGATGTCAAGGATGAGAAGGCTGGTGCTAATTCCAATAATGAAAATAAGAAACAGGGCTCTGCACCTGGTGCAGAATCCAAGGATGAATCAGGTTCAAACGACAAGGGGAAAAAGAAGTGATAAATACACCATGCCCATGTTTGGATCTGTTGTGCTTCTCTTCTTTACGGCGTACTACAGCTCCATTCGTCTCTCACATGTCCTCTTATCAGAGAATCATTGGTACTAGCCTGCGATATGTAAAATATTGGCTGTATCTTTCCCTCCAATAGAACTTCTGTGATATGAATCAAGTAGCTGGAACCGGAATTATAGACATTAAATTCAAAGCACGTGTGCTCCCATGATTTATTTTACATTGAGGCCTTGGATATCTTTTTCATTAGCATCGTTATTCCTCACATTACGAGCTTCCCGGCAAACTCTCGAGAATCTATCTCGCACTTTCGTATCTTTCCTCCAAATAAACCCGGACATCGAGAGGCAAGCACGCACGCCAATAGATGCTTGCAGATGGGCGGGGAATCATGCATGAAGCAACAGCCTGTGGGAGAAGACGTACAGGGTGCCCTTTGGGTCAAGCACCCGCCAAATACCCAGTTTTTCTCTTTTGAATTGACATCAGCAGATCCCTTTCCCGTAGGTAGATTTGCAGGATTCCGAGTCTGTAGCAGTTGCTCATTCATATCCTGGTCAATGTCTCGAAAAGTAGCAAGCGTAAATGCAGGACATGTGCAGTTCCATGCATCAAGGAAAACTTGATATTCAATCTCTCTATGTTGGAGGCGCGTTTCTTCCTCTGCTCCAGCTTTCCGCTTTGAAGCCGAAGATAAGACAAAGTATATTTCACTGACAGAACAACCATCATCATAGTCATCCTCGTCAACCGTGTGTTGTTGTTGTTGCCTTGGGTCATCGCCACAATAAACCTCTATATGGCTTCCATCATCCTCATGTTCAGCGCGGTGCGTATCCTCTCCTCTGCGTCCCTTGGGCCGAATTGTATATTTGGTCACCAAATTTCTGTCGAGGATATCAAGGGCTAGGAGCAGCTCGTTTGGGAATAGACAGTGTAATGTCAACAGTAAAGGCTTCACTTTTGCAAAGGCATCTGCCGGCAGCTGTGATAATGGGTTCCCCGGCGAGCCTCCTTCATCATCTGCAGCATCCAGCCCCTTAGAGGAATCATCGAGAAACTCCTGTGATCGGCTACAGGCGGCAAGCTGCCCTATAAGAGCTGTGATAAAGAGTGATGAACAGGGAAGCGAGCTCTCAGAGCTTTGGGGGGGAGAAGAAGCTGGCATCAAATTAACCCAGGAGATGTTGATTTAAAACCGTGCAGCTGGGTGAACGAGCGGTTGAACGAGATAACCAGGGGGTAGGGGAAGAGACACGGAACGTAGCAGCGCCCTGTGGTGGTAGATGCGTATGAAAGAGGTTTCAGGAATTACACGAACTAGCAAGCAAACTAATCAAAGCAATAACTCCTTCAACCAGGTTCTGTCCCTTGCATGTTTATACAGCCTAGAATATGTATAACTATCATGAGCTATAATTATATCCCCTTAAATCCACTCAAATAAAGAGCTATATATGGCCTCACCTGCGAAATAACCAAGATAGCGACTCTATAAAGATAGCTAGACTGATCCATCGGATGGCCACAAAGTGGAAACACAGACCTCCATACCCCAATATACGCCCATGGAATGCCGGAAAAATGTCAAAGATCAAGAGAATTAGCCATGCAATATAGTTACTCTAGCGTTTGTTTGATTCCGGATCCCCAAAGATCCCCAGTACTTATCAGCCAAGGTTCTATACTACTTCAGAGAAACAGTCACTGGGTTATCTTGGAACCAACGTCATGCTTTGATTGAAGGCGCCTCTTTTTCACCTGATTAGCCCTTTGAGCCAGATGGCTCGACTTCACAATACCCGTTGATCTCGTACCAACAGCTCCTCTATGGCTGCCAAAGTCCAGGTGCGTAGGGCCCTTCTGTAAAATGCCTTTGAGGACCCCTGTTAAGACCATATCACCCATGGTGACCTGTACAGCGATCTCTGCGGGCTGGCCCTCCCAGCGGGCTCCCAAGCTAGGGCTAGAGGAACCATCGGACGGACTGTCTGGGTCTTCAAACAAGTATGACAAACCATCACTTACCCCAGGCGTTCCCAAGGCAGCTTCCTCGCACTGTTGCGCCTGAGGGTTTTGGATAGTTATATGTGCAGAGGTCTCATGCATGCTAGAGGCCATCTCCTCCACTTCGGCGGGTGGGGAGGGTCCAACCCCTTCTGCAATTGAATAGGGGCCTGCAGCATCGGGGAGTATATTGCTTTCTCCCAGTGGTCCTGTAAAAAGGGGCCGTCTGTTATAGACCAGGACATAAGGAACAGTCGTACTGTCATGGCAATTAAGCACATGGTTAATGTTGACTACGTTGGAGGATTCATCGTCCAGGCATGTCCAGGAGCCCCTTGGCCCCTTGACGTATGAAATATAGTGCCCCTCCCTGATAGTAGTTCCAAGGTGGACGATAACCGAAGTAAGCTGGTAGCGGAGGGTTTCTCCTGATCTTCCGGCCCGTGGAACCAGCTGTTGCGTGAGATCCAGGTCTTCGGCGAATCCAACCTTTGTTTTTACTTTTGAGGATTTGCCGCTTTCTGATATCTTGAATCTAGTGACCTGGACCATAAGCACTTCAGGTGCATCCCTGATAAACATGTGCCGATGAAGCGTCGATTTCGTATTACAGTTGCCGCAATGGTACCCTGAAATTTCTTCTGGCTTCATATACTCTTGGATGCAATCCTCGATAGACCCTCGCTGCTTCTTCAGCGGGGAAGCTCCTAACACCCACGAATGATCTCTTTCGGAGTACTTGGTGTTTTGACAGTTTTGGCATGTGCTTCGGTATTTGAAAACACTCTGGAAAATGTGTTGAATATCTCCCGTATACACATTGCTGATCTGGGAAATCAATTTGGTCAAAAATTCAACGCAGTCCTGTTGATCCTCAGAGCGTGTATCCCAAAATTGAGAACATGCATCCCAGAAACCCAGAAGGAATTCCTCTAGACTTTCAGACGATCCAGAAGACCAGTATTCATCAACTAGATGTCCTAATAAGCATGCAAGACATTCCTCATTCTGGGAGGAATCGCCTTTTTCTTGTATATGAAGCAATAACCAATTCACAAATAGTGGCTGATGTAGCAATGCTGTTAGGACGCAATTCCTATAACACAGCACGTCCTTTTTGTTCCGAAATCCCCTCGAAGTCAATGGTCTAGCTGTAAAATAATTCGCCCAGTTGGAGTAGAAAACTTCCAGCTAATCTATGTCAGTAAAATCAAGAAAGGGCCACAGATATAACAGGTGGATAACTCACCCGCCCTCGTCGTTCATCCCGGTTAGGGCTATCATCACTGTTTGGTTGAGTGCTCTTCATGATAAACCAAGGTATTTGCGTAGTAGTGGATATGGCTTATATTCAAATATATTTCCTTAATATTATCCCAAAACTTGTATCTCCTATATTTATTTCTGGTATAAGGTGAGTGTAGTAAGCAGTAATCACGTTATAAAGTATTTAATGTAGCCGTGTATGTCTTTCCTGTGGTTTTCTCCATTTTATACTCACCTAGCATGTGTCTCTTTCTATTTGTTTGTTTGTTAGCAGACAAACTCATTCATTCGAAGCCAGGGGGAAAAAAAGGCTATAATGGCGTTAGATATAGTTTAACAATGCTTTCCATGCCTATGCCTTATACTACCAAAGCCCTTATACTTCTCTTTGGTGTGTGTGAAAGGCTCTACATCAAGGCTACCTCAATATGTGACGGAAATATCCTCAAGAACCAATGATAATAGACAATAGGGAGGTAAATGAGGTGAGCTTGTATTACACCAGCACGGATTAAAACATTAGAGGCTGCTCATTATTGCTAATGAAACAATAATACTTAACGTGGCGTTGGTGAAAAGCATTGCCTTTGATTTTACACCCTCAGAAGAGGTTGATGAAATCTGGCAAGTTGTAGGAATCTCATAATTATTCCCCTCTGAGAGAGAAAAGCAGCCATATATGAAGCATATAGATCTTTGCTTTGCTCCATGTTCTTAAATATTTCCCTCCGTGTTTGTCTCTTACGCTCTGAATGCTTGAATATTGTGTTCAACGGCCAATTCAACCGCCTTTAAACAATAGGTATAAAACAATGATACAACGATATAGATAGTATCCCAGCACAAAAAAAAAACCCCCAAAGAAAAGATGCAGCTGAGAGGATGGTGAAGAGAATACTAGAGAAGAAAGCCGAATTCATGGGAGGTTCCCTGGTCACATGATGACTCCTTTTTTGGTCCTTTTGTTGGTAATTCACACAATACAGCTAACAACATCATGTTTGACCAGTTAAAGGCCAACATTTGAACACCACAAACATGGATAAGGGAACAAGGATCATGTTGTTGTGAAGTTGGAGGAGTTGGACAATGAAACGGCCGAGTGCTTCGAGTTTGGTGATGCTTATGTCCCTGTCCGCCAAAGCTCGGTTATACCGTTTGCTCTTCATCGAACATGGTCAGGGCAGAGATTCAAGAAGCCGCCCACAATGTAGATGAATGCTCTTTATCCCCGAAAGCCTTTGCTGACCGTTAATGTGATTCAGGTTCTGGAAGGGTAAACCATCTACTCAACGCATCCTGTACGCATTCTGGAATGCCGTTTCCGTTTGTCCACTGCATCTTAGTTATGCTCACCAATCACCCCTAGCCATGGATGGGGATGGGAGAAAATTTTCTCTGACACACCCGCTCTTTTGCTGAGCTCATGAGATACATATTTACATATTAGTTTATCTCACGCAGCCCGATGATCTCTTGAAGGCTTAATACAAACCAATCGAACTTCTCACCGCCTCATCGGGAAACTAGAAAGTTTAACAACTCATCGAGGGCATCATCGTATGACAATCGCGAGCGTCATTCCCAGCTCTACTTTTTTTTACAATACATTTCCAAGGCTCATACCCTTGCCTTACCTGGTAATCGGTACTCTGTTGAGGACGAACACGATCAACTAGCCATGGGAATCTTGCGCCTGGATCTCGGAGTTCATCCTTGGCTCCATTTTTTGGCGCACGACAGGCCACTCTCATGTTGCCTCTGCATGCAGCCATCATGTCTGTCTGTCACTTGATGAAAAATTCTCCATGCCAGAGAGCCATGGTTCGTCTAGCTAGCCACACGTATGCCTTCGTGGGATTTGACAACTGGGTTTTAGAAAATTTCTTTGAGCCTTATCCCGAGACTTCATCTAGAGTTCTCATACTCACCGTGACACATGGCCATCCCCGAGTGGGATAGTACTGGACACAATTTGCCTGAACAAGGCAGCACTATGCATGGCCCTGTTGTACTCCATGAGGAATGGCGGAAGGCAATTCCGGCACACAGAGCACCTTGAGGTGGAGTTCTGTTGCTTGACAGCCCAAGAGCTCACGTATACATGAGCTGTGGTACCTCCGTAGCAAATGTGGCATCGAATGAGTACAAATAGTACTATTGGCTAGTACTATATTCTGAGTTTCGTTTGCCGCCTGAACTGTCACTATCTGAGAGAGCGCATCGATCATCCCGGACCAGAAGTTATATAACAGAATTGGATTTATTGACTAGAATGTAGTAGAATCAGGGCGATTAGTAACATCTTGAACACCGGGTGGCACCAAAATAATTCAGGTTACCCCTGTCTCCTGTCTTAATTTATGACAGCACATAATCTTTCATCTCTGGCCGGAGAACGTGCTTCCAGGAAGACTCAATTCACACCGTCAGCTCCTCGCTGATGAATTGGTGAAGCCGCGTATGGCTCTAAACGGGTAACTATCTCATACCTGGGTATAATGGAACACTTTACAGAAGCCATGATTCCCGCATTGTTAACTGGGCATGCATCCTGATTCAAGTACCTGAGATTTATCATGCATACGTAAACCAGCGCCATGGTTTGAGAAAACGACTATCGTTTTGGTCAATTCTCGTAAGGAATAGTGCATATTCGCACGACAGCTGTGAGAATCCGTCAGCGCTGAAGAAAGCTCGATATCTCATTCTGCAGATGATCCTAGATCCTAGAGTCTAGATGCTCGAAAGAAATTGAAGACACCGCTATTAGGAACAACCATTATCACCCACTATGGAGATGTTCAGGGAAACACTGACACCAAGGAACCCTGCGGATCAGAAGTGAGGCGACCGATGCCCGAAAATTCCAGCCAAAGCTCTTGAGCCCATATTACTATGTAAAACGAGGGATTGCGGACTTAACCACGCATCCTTGTTTGGCTTACTGCATCGATTTGCTCGAGGAGCGCTGGGGCCAGAAGAAAGAATGCGGCGTACTATGTCTCAGAAAAGGTTTCATGAAGAACCTTTCGCTTCCGACTTTACCCAGCTAAGTCATAACGGTACCACGCTCTGTGCCGTGTCAGGGTAACATTTTTTCCTATTGGTGAAGATCTGATAGGTTCTATATCGGCCTTTACCTGTCCGCAGGTCAACTCTTCGCAGCAGGAAAATAAACGGCAAAATGTGCCTGAGTTCTGGGAAATATGTGTCTTCTTTCTCGCTTTGACGCAGAAAAAAGGGGTATCTATTGCACTCACCAGTTATCGTGACTGTTAATTTCAGATATCTGCGCATGATGGCCTAGGATTGGCGCCACAATATACAACTTAGGGTAAAAATCAGCGAGAAGCCTGTTTTCGGACATCCTTCCGACCAGAATCAAGATTACCCCTCAAGGAGTTGTTTGCCGATTCAGTCGAACCAGACCCTTTTAAGTACAGCTTCGCTTAAATAAGATCATACAGAAGTGGTGCTTACTGGTGGCTGATGATGACGTTCTGCAGACTGAATAACAAGCCCCTATCCACCCCCAGGGGATCCTCCGCGTGCGTACTATTATGATCTGCCAACTAATATAGTGGTTAGTCGCTAGTGCGATAATATTTGATCGCGATATAGACGTAGATCACAGGTACCAAAGTTGAGGGAATTTTAATTCCAAAGCAGAGAGCGAACAGTCAGGGCGGATGTGCAAGCCATGGAAACAAGCCCGGGATAAACACCAACCAGGAGACTCTTTTCACCAATTTATTTGCGTTCCGCGTAGACGGGCTCGCTCCATCCCGTTCAAACCTGGACCTGGGCAAGGCATCGACTGGGGGGGAGGATTTGGTGGGGGGTTTAGAGGGTCAGAGAGAGAGAGAGAGGAAGAGACAGAACAAGAGAGGCATACCTGCAGGGAACAGAATACTTTTGGCCAGCTAGGGCGTCGGAGAAACGAGGGGCGGAAGATCTAGCTGTCTCCACGCATGAATATAGACGACTGACAAGGGCAGGTAAATATAAGTGAGGTAGAGGTTAGCCGATGGGGGTTTTGCCTGAAGATCTTGGCCCATCTGTTCTAGCCTGGTAATTCAGGTACGAATATTTTAATCTCCGGGGAAGGACGCTGTTGCATGACTGGTGAAGCCAGGGATAGCTTTTCCTACGAATCCATGGACTGACGGGATCAGGCAAAGAATATTTCCTTAGAATACTGACTACTAGCATGCCGCCCAGTTCAAATGGGAATCTTCAGTGGGGGGGGGGGGGGGGATTCCTAAAAATCTTGATGTAAAAAAGAGGCGTTTTTTTATTTCATTTAGCTGACAGCGTACATAGATCCATGCCCGAAGACGAACCTAGAAAGGGGACAACCAGAGGCCAATAGGTTTCCCATGGTATAGTCGAGGTCTCTTATACCGGTTTTTCTATATAGGCCGCTCCCTGCAAGGCATAGGCATGTTTTGGCCGGGGGTTTGTACATTTACTCACGTCTCGACAGCATTTAGCATTGATGGTATAGCCCAGCCAACCTCTCTAGGCCAGGGGCTAGGCATCGCCGGGACGGTTTCCCAGAAGTCTGGATCGGATCAGTTTATATTATCCTCAATCACGCCATTTGAGATCCGCAGAGACATTTCGCAGCATATTAACCTAGTTGAACGTTATAATGCTGGGGTTTCTATAAGGGAGGCCATCCGTGGCACATTATAGTTGGATTTGGATATACAGCAAGGAATCGACTCCGTACGGAGCACTTCTGCGACGAACAGGTGGCCTTGCTGATGAAAGAACGGGAGGAGATCAGATTCCGTGTTTGAAATGGCCTAAGTGATGTTACTCTACGGAGTACATATCTATGTCTCCATAACCAGCTTGTTCGAGATGTGGCCTATAAACATGAGGAACTTTCTCAGCTGCAAGCATGGCCTACAGCCTTCCTGCGAAACTATCCGTCCGCATGACTTGCTTGAGGCGTCGATTGGGTTTCTTCGGCCATGTTCGAGAAATGTATATGTGGAATATGTTATAATTCCAGCTTGGCCATGGATGAGTTCTCTTCTCCCCCCTACATTCGTCCCGGTTACTGAAACCGTTAGCCTTGCACCCGCCTGCACGTATATATAGATAAGACGTTATGTGTGAGTACTACGTACATATATTAAGAAGTCTATATACACTTTATTCCATGACGAAAAAAACGAAAGAAAAGTCAGATACGGAGTTTATACCTCGTTTCCATGGGATATCAAACAAAACAACCCCGTTTCGTGTGTTTTGACCAGCTGAGAACCCCCAGACAGGCATTCCAGATACGTTTTCGTTATAATCTTTTTACTCTGCCAGGCATGTATGTACGTACATGTATCTATAGCCCCTGAAGCCCGGGCTTTGGTGTATAGCTAGGATTGGTGCGAGTTGGCTTAGGAGGCAGGGGATAATCCCGTTGGGACAAGAGTTTTGTCTACATGGTAGGAGTGAATATATACATGCCCATGCCACGGATACGCAAATCTGGGGTTGTTTCTGCTCATTGTCGGGATTTAGATTAACCAGAGCCTTGGGCCGCCCATGGTGAAGAGGAACCTGTGCATCGTATAGTATGTTCTTCGTCCAGTGTACCGGATTTTCGATGGGCTTAATTTCTTTTTCCTTCTCCCTATTTTGAAGACTAAGCGGTTCATTAAACTCATCTTAATGCATGATGTATAAGCTAAAGATGGCGTAGAGCATGGCCTTTCCCGCCTTGTCTCTTGCCTCTTTGCATGGCATCTCCAAAGATTCCTCAACTCCAACCTAGCAAGGCACACTCAGTTAATCTAGAAGCAAGCCGTTGGCGAACAAGGAACCCTTCCCACACCGCCCATCTCTCTCCCTCTCTGTCAGGGGGGAAATCCCGAGGAGTTGTCAATGCACCTTTTCCTGTCCCTTGGGTCGGAGTCGATGGATACATCATATCATTTTATATTTTTCGCAGGGGGAGAGAGAGGGGGGATATAGTCGTTACACCTGTCTGATGCATGGTTGGGTGTATAGCATAATAACGGTTGTCATCCGTAGCACGATCCATAAGTGGCGAGGAGATCGGTGTGGCAAGTATAAAGGACATCCTGCATCAAATCTCAAGTCGCAGGTTAGACATCTATACAACACAAAAACCGTGCCGCAATTCCCTTACACAAAGCTGACAACCGCTGTCACACGATAGAAAAAAAGGTACAACGTCAAGATAATTTTTTACACGACGTAAAGAACCCGACAGTTCGGTTGTGAGCGACCCTTTGGGACAGTAAATCATCCAATGAACGCGTTGGGGCTTCGGTTATCTGCATGACATTGCTCACATTTCCAGTTATTTTCAAAGGACATAAAGGAGGGTGGTCCTTGCTCGGCCAGGATCAAGGGTTGAAGCCGGTTATGATGTTGGAGCCAGCTTGGTATCGAGTGATGGATGGAGGATGGATTAACTATCGTAGCTCGTCTGGCTTGGCTGAGGAATTCAGGATTCCAAAAATATAATCCCTAACCCGCTCACACGGAATTATACACAAGACGAGAAACAAGAACGGATGGAGCCAAGCAAGGAGGAGGATGAGCAGCAAGCAAGCCAGCTATAAGGTTCGATCCCAAAAAAAATTCACACATTCTTCCGAAAACTCTCCCAAGAAGTTGGGAAGAGCAGGGCGAAGAACCTGTGGAGATGCATGCGCCAAGTGGGAATGGAGTGTACGTATTGGGGGAAGGGGGGTGATGGGCAGTCTGTCTTTGCAGCCTGCAACTGCATATGTAGGGGGCAGTCTCCTCCCGGATAGTTCTGTCTGGTTGACCGTCCTGCCTGAGAGGGGATGGGCTGGAATGGATGATGAGTATGGGGACGGGCCTGATGTTGGTCGGCTTTCTCTCGGGCACTCGTGTATTGTGTTGACTGACCTGGTGCTGCTCTCGGGGAATAAGCAAAGTGTCCGTGATTGACAGCATGCTATACGAGGGCCAGAAGTTAAGCTGGACAGGACACCCTGACGGCATGGCTATGAAGAACTGCCGAGCCTCTCCCTCTCTAGCCTCTCTCTCTCTCTCTCTCGTCTTCTCTAGCCCTCTCGCGGACCTTGGTTCGTCTTCCACTTTTAATTTAACCTTAACACCTTTATCCCTTCACCGCATGATCAACTCGATACTCTCCATTATATCGTCGAGAATGTGTTGACAGAAAGGGACTCCTCCGTCCAAGACGGGACATGGACAGGGGCATGGCCCGAAGAAGCCCTGAGGGTGGCTTGGGGGAAGACGCATGCATGAACGCTGCTGGATTGGCGGGTCTGGTCGTCTCTGCTGTCTGGGTGTACCATAGTATGTATGTACTACATACTAAGATGTACACAATTGCAGGGCCATTTCATCTGCAACTGGGCTGACTCGGGGAGGACGAGCCTCTGCAGAACAGCGTCATTGCCATGGGGCTAACGCAAGCCGATCGCGATCACTCTCGGATCCTGGGGAAAAGAGAGGAGCCGGGTCTAAGGAGGAGTATGAATGCCCAACTTGAACGGCTCCAAGCACTCTTTTCATGGAAGCAGTCCATCTCGATGTTTAGCACTAACGGAGCATAACAAACCGGCCAGCAGGGCCGTATCTTCCCCACAGTCTCAACTCTGCGTATATCCAGTTCGTCCGCTCAGCGATGTGGATTGGCTCGCGTAATTTGCTCGGGGAAGAGAGGATGCAGTCTCCGGCAGGAAGCATAATATTAAGCATCGCATCTCCCTTTAGCATGGCCCCTTTTCTTTTTCTCCCTTTGATCCCGTTGCTTTTTTCTCGCGCGGGCTGGAAAAAAGAAATCCGGTTCAATAATATTACATATTGTCCAGGGATCTCGGTGACGGAGCATACTTCTATGTTTGGAACACATCACACTCAGCTCTAACTGGTTATATATAATCTGTTTCCCTGTGCCTACCTGAATAGCCTATACTCCGTACCTATAGAAAGGGAGTGTAGATATATATACGGCGACGTATATAATCCCATGAACGCTGCAACGCTTGAGGCCCTGGAGATCCCAGAAACCCTTCATCGGGTCGTAAGCGAAGTTACCTCGACGTATAAAGATGCCGGTCATCGAGAGATAAGCAGTCTCCCTCGACAGGGTACGCTTCCAAGCCGCATGTGTATTCTCTCTGGCACTGGGCCATGACAGTTTCTTCTGCTCTTCGATATTTTTTTTTTTTTTTCCTTTTAGCACGGTGAGAGAGAGAGAAAAAGCCGGGCGAGGCAAATTATTCACTTACTAACTCCGTATAAAAGGCTCCAAAGGCCAACGAACTAGCCGGGGGAAGGAAAAGGAATAACGAGAAGGCTTTATTAGACACGCCCACTGATGTCATCGTCGTAACTGGATATAGTTGGAAAAGGGAACGAAAACCCAATCGTGATACATAGCGCCATGCGAAGCTTCATCATCACGACGGAGGAGGGGGAGAGAGGAATAACATCTCAGCGGCATGGTTCAGGGGTCAACGCCGCTGGCATCGTGACATGTACTTGGCCACTCCTTTGCGCCCAAGCAGAGTTCGCCGGGTACCGGAAAGGTAGCCCGTAGGCCCTCCCTAGGGGGAAAGTTGCAAAGTTGAAATCGTAACGGTTTTTAAGCCATGCCCGTCCACATGGGTTCGTCCTTCCCCCCCCCCCCCTGGTACGGAGAACGCCCGCCTGTTGCAAGTATATGGTTAAGCCTGGTGTATGTGTACACATATATATGTTATGTATATACTATGTACACGCCTCGGAGAAGAGAGATGGTTATAGCAAGGCGGATGGAAATCCATGTTCCCAGCAACCAATGATTAATTGGTGGAAATGCCCCTTGAAGCGAATCTGTTCATATATATAATTTTTCTTAAGACAGTCGAAATAGTCGAATGGTCGAAAAGGCCCCGGAGAATTCCCATCCTCGACAGCCGGCAGAGTGACTTGCCTTGTTCCTCTGCCTTGCTTTTTGATGCCTGTTCCCTCCGGCTATTCCCACATGGTCTCCGGAGCCGTGGCATATAGCTAGACATACTTACATAGCTTGAGAGGGAGGGAGGCAAAGAAATCCCCCTCCAGACGGGATCGATCCCGATATGATAGTTAAATGGCAGCTCCAGCTTGCTTGCTGGTAGCTTACCGGAACCTCTGCCGCCCACACCGATTCTTTTCCCCAGTCGTTTTCTTTTTTATCCTCCCGCTCTTTTAGATCGGTTAAGTTATGATGACATGGAAGTAAGTATGTAATGGAAATGGGAACCTCTGGGGGGAGTCGTTGGTTTCTTTTTTGACCATTTGTTTATTTGTTTATTCTCTCTCTCTCTTCCCCCCTTGCTGTTCCATGCTGTGTATGTATGCATGTATATAGACGACTTCAGCAGGCCTCGAGCCGCAAAGTGGCCGTCTCAGCATGAAGAATAAGAAACCCTGCATGCTGTCTACTTTGTCCTATGCAGCCGGTCAGAGAATGATTGAAATCGCAGGGAGAGGGGTGGCGGGAGGGACCCATATGCCTGCGTTAGGCTGCTCCCTTAGATGCCATCAAAGCAGAATACGAACCAACAGAAGAAAGAAGAATAGCGATATAACCAACTGTCTCTACGTTATCAGCAAGGACCAAGTGTGGGCCAGGGGGAAGAGATGCAAGTAAGTGTATACTTACCAGAAATCCCATATTCTATGTATAACAATATCAAAATAAGCATGTCTATAATATCTCGTAAGTTGAGTTTGTAGATCTAAGTCAAGAGATGGTCAAGAGAGAAAGAAAAAAAGCCAAACGAGTGGGACGAAGCTGGGCCACGCATCTTCATTCTTCTCCTTTTTCTTTTCTTTTTTATATAGTTATTTGATGAAGGAAAAGAAAAGAAAAATACAAGATTAAAAAAAAAGAAGAAGAAGAAACAGTGAAAAAAGGCTGTGGAGCCACGCAAGAAGTCGATGCAAGACCAGGATTTTTTTGACCATAAAAATAAGAAACGAAGACGACAGAGAGCAGGATGAGAGATATTACATAGCATCTGCTATGACGGTAGAAGCGAAATGACGGGTTCCTATTTGACAGACCTGGCTTCGTTTATATTTTTTTTTTTTTAACACAAAAATACTAAGTCTGAAACCCGTTGGAAATGCAGATAATGCTTTTTGGCGCGATAGTCGATTAAAGAATAATATCTGTTAGGTTAATACGTGCCCTATTATAATACCCCATACTGATCACCGGGTAATGCAGGTGGCTAAAGCTCGAAAAAAAAAAGAAGTAAAAATAAAAATAATAAAACGGAAGAGAGAGAAAAAAAGGAAAAAGAAAAGCGAGCGTGACAGCGGCTAAAGAGGAGTCCAAGATATATATGTATAGGCGGATGTTGGTTGAGAGAGAGAGAAAAAGAAACATTTTAAAAATAGAGATATAACAGAAGCCTCACACCCCCTTGCTTTCAACCTCCATCCACTCGTCTGTCTGTCTGTCTCTCTCTTCTCTCTCTGCACGCCACATACCGTCATCCATATCTCCTGGCAGAGGAACCAGAGCACATACATAACCCTCGTGGCGTTTGCTCAACCTGCGTACTGCAACTTCAATCACAATCCAGTCGGCCCCATCCTCCTACTTCTCCTTCTCCCCCCCCCTTTTTTTTTTGTTTTCAGCTGCCCTGGACTGGACCCATAGTTCGCAACACAGCTCTTCCTCGCCCTTCTTTTTTTTTTCGTTGACAAAGAGGATACCCTCCAGAGCAGGCCGCCTTATCGTGCTTATCATCAGTTTCCCCCCAAATCTGCTGCCGTGACCTGTCTCTCACCCACACTCTTCTTGTCGGGCAGTGCAGACCCGGGGCGTCAGTCAGAAAGGAGTCAGGACATGCTGTCTGCTTGCTGTCTCGGGCTTGGTTGGGCAAAGAATTAGTTATAATACCCATCATTGGTCATAGTTTGATCACCGCCCCTTGCTGCTTGCAGTCGTCGTTCCTCTCTTTCTCATTGGCTTAATAGCCCATCTTCAAAAAGAACGGTCATTTCCAGCCAAAACTTCCGATTGGGAATCGAGACAGGTTTTATCTCTCGACCCCGAAATCTCATCCGAAAGGCGGGTTTAAACAGAGGGAAATAAAGAAAAAGAAAAGGCAGTGTCTCTCGCATAATATTGTTTTTCTCTCCCTCAGTGTCCGGTTTCTTTCTTTTTTTCTCTGTCGAAGGGGGAGAATTCTCAATATACTTGACCGACTGTTCGTCCTTTGCTTTTGTACGGGGTACCCTGTACACGACTACCGGCCGCTTTTGCTAAAACCGTCACCGTCCGCATCACTTTTTCAATCTTGTTGACACTTCATCGTCTTCCACCCCATCCCTCTTTCTCTTGCAAGCCAGCTTTGGGAACATTGCATATTACAGCCTTCCCACCGCCTCCTTGACGCTGTACATCTTCACAACCGCAGTTACATCTGCCCGAAAATCAGCACTCGAACCAGTATTCAAATTGAGCCATAGAGCATTTGTGCTACCGAATCTGGGGGGAATACCATTGAGACCCGATATACTCCCGGGTTGATCCTTGCTCGAGGGTCCTCGAGGGAGCTCTGGACGTTGCATAAAAAGCGGTAGGTCACCTTGTCCCCTTCCGTTGCTTTCCCCGACTATTGGATTTCATTTCCTCGGCATTTCCCCTCTAGCCCACTTTCCCGTCGCTATATCCCTTTTCTCTTTCTCGTTGCAGTTGCACAAAACACACGTGCAATCACTCGCGACGAAGGAAACCAAAGGCGGGTGGGACTATGACAAAAGGAAAGTGGTCGAACCTCACCCCATAATCCCAGTCACGGTACTCCCTATATGCGCCTGGGTATGAGAGACAGTACAGATTCTTCCCTCCTTTTCCTCTCCAGCCTCAGTGCGCTTTCGGATCGTCGGTGAAGCGTTAGGGAAACCATTGATATGATAAATAACCCACTCTTCCCCCAACCTGGTTTTCAATTGCATCCATGAATCACCATCATTCCTCTTTTCCCCGACAAGTTCCAATCTCACAAGCAACCCTGAGCACTTGCCATTTTATATATATATTTGGATCTCGTGCTGATTATTAGTCTTCTTTTCTCCACAGCTGCGGCGAAACCTATTATGGTTTTGCGCATTGTTCCATATATTGTCACAGGCAAAGTGGATATTTCAAAGATACTGGGGACGCCAGAGGATGAGGAGAAGAATACGATAAGAATAAAGGAAATAATAACACCAGCAACAATCCCAACAATCCAGACAGGAATCAGAAAAGCGTACAGCGAAGGTTTCAAATCCCCAATTATCGAAATGGGCATCCCAAATTCATCAGTAGAGGAGTGGACGTACCAGCCAGCACCACAGGATCAGATTTCCATTCAACAACAACAACAACAATCGACAGTGCCGTCAAAGCGCGGCAAGAGTTCTCCCACGGGAAAAGACCGCATCAAGAAGCAGTCGAAGTGGTCAGCCGACGAAGATGCGCTGATCACCATACTTCGAGGCAAGGGGATGAAGTGGGAAGACATCAGCAAGAGACTTCCAAACAGAAGTCCAATAAGCTGTCGTCTCCATTATCAAAACTACCTCGAAAGGAGGAGCGAGTGGGATGAAGACAAGAAGAACAAACTTGCCCGCTTATATGAAAGGTAATTCCCCCATAGATCCAGAGTTGATATCAATACGTTCCATCCATAGACTGACCGAACATAGGTTCAAAGCAGATATGTGGGCTAAAATCGCCGAGGAGATGGCAATCCCATGGCGAGCGGCCGAAGCCATGCACTGGCAGATAGGCGAACGTGGCATGGCTCAACGAGCAGGTGTCACTCCATTCACATTTTCTAACGTCGCAACCTCGCCTCCCCAGAGAGTGCGAAGGGCCAGCCAGCCGACAATAGGCGCAACACGACGAGACTATCCTTCTCAAGTCACCCAGCTGCCTTCTGTCGCCGAACTCACTGCAGGCATTCCAGCATACGCAACACACCCATCTGCTGGAATGCACACAACATCACCACCTCGCTCCCCACCGAGCCCTTCCACACTTGAGGCATATCGAACAAACCCAAGACCGCACGAGAGGAGAATATAAACTCGGGCTAATCACCCTTATAAGTAATCAATACAATGATTGACGACTGACTGCATAGCGGGTCTGGGCGGACGGATTGCATCCAGGATATTTTGTTGGTGCTCGATTTCGGGGGCTTGTTTTATTATTTTGTCTTCATGAATGTGTAGCTTTAATCATGATTGTGTTATTTAATGTCTTTATCGCATGTTTTATTTGGCGACTGGTTTGTTTTATCCCGTTCAGACAGTTTTATGAAAAGCATCATGAAGTATCAAAGTCGACTCTGACGTCTGCTTCATCCTTTTCTAGATTAGGTCGTGAACCCCGCCGCTTTTTCTCGTCTTACAAATATCACGTGGAAACATATTACATAATTTATGATCCTTAGTAAGCTTTGATTACGCAGGCGTTCTTCACACACGATGATTTGACGCTTATACGGACCAAAAAGAGTGATTTAAAGATATAACAGTTAGCAAATATATCATGGCTATTCCAAACATAACTCTTCTTGCATTCCGTGGCAATATCAGCAGCCAAAGTGCACCCAAATTGTTCATGGAATTAACAAAGCATTGTGTCCTACCTAACAACTTGGTTGTAATTGTACGCGATATCGATCATGATGATAAGTAAAGTAGCCATACCCGTTCCTGGGCTTGGAAATGGATCTAGGCAACCATTTGATTCAAGGAGACCTTCATGTCCGTGGAAGCGGACATGCAACGGCCCACCAATTATCTTTTTCATATCCGTGGTCCAAAATTCTGCCGCGTGCAGCAGCAATGTCACTTTCTAGCTCACCCTCCTTGTAAAGATGGTAATATCTAAGGTAGGTGGTCGGTTCCGGCCCTTGCTTTGTCTTTAGCTCCTCGCCAGCTTCACCTGGGTGTATGTCCTCAGAAAATTTTTTGCCTCTGCTTCTTTTATCTTTTGCTTTTTTATTTTCGTTGGTCTTTAAAACCCATGGTACCATTACGTCTTGGTCATGATTAGCATCCCATCCACGTCTACTATCCTTTTGCTCCAAGGCCCAGACGTAAATAAGGGCCTTACCGCCAACTGTATCATCTCCAGTGGGCCGTTTTAGAGTATCTAGGATTGCGGCAATTGCATTTATCCTTCGTTCTGGAAGGGATAGGTGGTGTATCACAGCAATTGAAATCGCAAAATCAAAATAACCATCTGGGTGAGGCAGATTCAAAGTATCTGCTATTATTGCAGAATGTGGTTGATGTTGCTTTGCAATTGAAGTCAGAGCCTCAGATCTATATGGAACCGTTATTATGATTGAATGGGAAAGATGTCTGAGTAAAAACCAGAGGTCTCACCTGTCCGATGCCACGATAAATATGTTAGAATTAACCTTTAAATATTTCCCGTTACCACACCCAACATCTAGACCGATAGAACCGGCAGGGAGACCTTTCAAGAACCGCTCAACAATTGGCCATGGCTAAACTCAGGCTTAGAAATGACTATCATAATGACGACCCAAGGAGAATCAAGTGACGAAGAGCTAGACCAAACATACTTTGTATCGTGTGGAAGAAAAATGCGGTGCAATCTCTTGGTAGACCTTATGGACGTGCTCTTCTTCATATAATTCACTATTATTGTTTGCTTCCATGTTGACATCTCTCAAGGCTGAAATGTCCATGTACTCTGATGCAAGCAGAGACCATAAAATCGATTACATAACCGCATGGACGAAATCGATAAACGGGCGTTTACCGGAAATATATTAATCCTTGATCCGATGTCGGCTAGCGTTTATTTTATCTTGGAACCTTCTGTTTTAGTGGGGAGGAACTAGCTTTAAAGGGGGATTTGACATCCACAACTTTTGAGCCTTTCTTTTAATAAAACCCCTGAATACCATAAGCTGTTGGATAACTGTTACAGCTCTAATCCTATTCACCCCCTCCTCTAAAGATGGAGTCCCTTGTTAGCCCAGTCGATGTGTCAGTACTGGTGTCAGTTGCTACTGATAAAGGGGCTGATGATAAACCGTCATTTGCAACTGAACGCCGAGTAACCCCATCATGGACGGTCTCACAGTTGAAAGGAAAGCTTGAAACCATGACCGGGATCCCCCCAGGCAGCCAACGATTGATGTTAAAGTCCCCAGGCCGTGAACACCAATGGATGGATGGTGATGACAAAGTTATTAGTGTATGGAACCTTGCAAAAGGCTGTGAGATTGAGGTCGGTATAAGTAGACCCCTTTACCATTATTAGTCCTCCTTTGTTGATTCGCTGCTAAATTGATCCTTATTTTACTTCCATTTGCGAATGTCATAACGCATGTTTACACTAGAATCTGTATTAACAACTGTATTAGATCCATGACCAGCGCCCTGCTGCCGCGCGCCCAAACTTTACTGATGTTTCAACAACTGAGAAATTTGAGCTTTCTGACTCGACCTACGAGTCATTACCAAACAGCGTTCTTGCATGGAAGAAAGCTCAGAAGCTTGGACGTTTTGATCCAAATGCAGCATCCCCAGAAGACAAAGCAAGAGAACAGGTAGAGAAAGATATCAACGAGATCAAAACCAAAGGTAAGTTCTAGTTCTACACGTATTCGTTGAGCCTCTAGCCCTGATATTTCAACGAACAGGAATTAAAATCTCTGAACGGGCTATAATACTCCCGTCAACCCCGCCACATATCCGTAGAGGAACGATTAGATTTGTTGGCCCCGTTTCTGCTATCATATCACCTCTGAGTAAAACTTATTCAGGAGAAATACCCGATGAGCTGGCGCCGATATGGGTTGGTATTGAACTTGATGAGCCCACGGGCAAAAATGACGGTAGTGTGAATGGACAGAGATATTTCACATGCCCAAACAACTGCGGCTTATTTGTTAAACCCGAGAAAGTTGAGGTCGGCGATTACCCGCCTCTGGGGTTGGATTTGGATGAGGACATGGAAGAGATTTAAACATGACTTTATCATGGCATTTGCTCCGGTTAGAAAAAATGGATAATTGCAAGTTTGCGCTCAGTATAATCCGTGGGTATCAATCAGGACATTACGTTACTAAAAGCAGGGTGAGGAATGGTACAATCATATAACAACGCAACACCTTTACATGCATCTTATCATCAAAACCACCGCCAGCATGATTCCAATTTCGGCGGTTATTCTAATATAACATTATACACTCTCACACGGTTGTGTATGCAGGGTCTCGGTGGTATCAGGTAGTTTGGTGGAGGGGGTATAACTGCAGTCCATTCGAAAGATGCTTAATATAGATAGTATAGAGAATCCCGGTTGAGCAGCGCATACTGCAAATGAATAGAAAAGAGGTATGAAATGGATCCAACTATCATCCCGCTTGAGCACTTTGTTTAGGACGACCTCTCTTTTTACCTCCCTTCTCAGCAGCGTTGCCTTTGGGATGAGTCGGGGCCGCCTCTGGTAGGGGTGGAGCTGTCACACCAGTGTCAACATTTCCATCTGCATCTAGGGGTATGCAGCCCTGCGTAAAAAATATTGCAGCAGGCTTTTTATACTCGTTTGCAAAGCTGTAATTATTCCCTGGGGGATTTTGGTATAGTATTAGTAGCCACCTTCAAAATAAAAAGATCATATCATATGCGCTTGGAAATTCTGCTTACCTCGGGGAACTTGGAAAACACAGCCTTTCCCTGCACTAAACTGAAGACCTGCAATATCAACTCGAATTCTACCGTAATAAACGAAAAAAACCATGTGCATTCGCTTCGAATTTTTCTGTTTCTTGACTGCATTTGGAGGCATTTCCACGAATCCAGACCCGAGAAATGGTGTGCTAAGGATTTTGGCAAAGCGAAATGTAGAATCTTTGACTTCATGTGTCTCGATTGCCGAAGGAGCATAGGCAACATCTGTTAGAAGTCAGTTAACTCTGCTAATAAAAACACTCCTAATAATATTAATAATAAAATAACTTACCCATCATTTCTTCTTCTTGAGTACCAGTCTGCTTTTCTGGATCCCATATCTTTACGGGGCCATAGAACACGCCTTCCTGCGTCTCCCAGGGTTCGACACCTTCATCAGGCTCATCATCCGAATCATTTCCTCCTTTTTTCTTGTTCTTTGATTTCTTTTTCGAACTTCGTTTCTTGCCTCCTTGTTCGAGATCAGGGTCTTCTGTTCGAATGATCTCCTTAATTGTTGACAGAGGAAATCTATGACCAACTTCTGCCTCGCCGGTTCCGTAAACACATTTCTCATTACGCCAATATGCCAACGGCCGGACAGATACTCTGCCAGAGCGAGTATGCCGAACGGTCTCATCTGATGGTGTTTCTCGTCGTAGGATATATAAACTGCGTTTCTTATTAAGTGGTCCGTCATTTTTAGTAATATTGTCCACGACGTTTTTCAAGTCCTTCTCTTGTTCAGCGGTCATTTGAAGATTACTAGACTGAGTAGTTGCCTTCTTGGATTTCTTTGCAGGTCGTGGGTTCTCATCTTCACGATTTTCTGGGTCTCGTTCTTCCCGTTGGCTTTTTGGTTTCCTGCCACGCCGCTTAGCAGGAGGATCTGTGACTATATTTTCGCCATTCTTCTTCCCAGCTGCCTTGTCGGCCTCTTTGTGCTTTTTGCCTTTATTCAAACTATTCAGTACTGGCGGCGGCGAGTCCTCTGATAGCTCCGCTTCTACCTCAGACACTTGTGCATCTACATCATCATGTGCGGCACTTTCATGGTCATCATCAGCAGAATCAGCAAGTTGGTTATCTTCTGCTTCGTCTTCAATCAAATAATTGCCATCGTCAGAGAAGTCAGCGGCATCATCAGCCACTGCCTCAGAAGCTTCCTGTCCAGCCTCACCATCTTCCTCCATATCTTCCCCTTCCTCCACGTCTTCGCCTGCAGCGCCCTCTTCCTCTGCCTCTTCACCCTCCTCATCTTCCTCATCCTCCTCAGGCTGAGGTTGGAGCGACCGAACTTGTTTCAAAGGAGACCTTGAGGTTTGAGGAAGCGGATGAGTTATGTTAATTGTTCGTTTTGCGGCCACACGCGCAGATGTGGGACTAGAGAACTCGCTCTGTGGGAGAGGGGATGAGCGCAACCCTGGAGTTCGTCGAGGAGATCCACTCATGAGTGTTTTCATCGGAGAGCGAGATCGTGGTGGAGGTAGGTATGCATTTCGACCTCCTCGTCTGGCAGATAAAACATCTGATGGGTCAGGAATACTACTGCCTGGTAATTATATATTCCGTAAGCTACCGTTGTGTAGAATACACGTATAATGGCTCGGGGTGCAACGAGCTGGAGGAGAAATTAAGCATTATTTACTCACTTCCACCTGTCTCCATCTCTTCGGAATTCATTAATCCATCATTGGCAAATCCATTCGTTCTCACGGGGGATTTCTCGGGGGAAGAGAACATTCCCTCAATCTCTTCCATGCCATGTTCATCGCGTTTGCCTTCCTTTAATGTAATTCCAGTTCGCCTTCAATCATGCAGTGCGCGTCAGTAAATGAGCCCGAGTTAATAGAGAGACAGCAAATTACTACCTTCCGGCTTTTCCAACATTTGAATAATCAAACTCGCGACTCTTGACGGGGGGCCTGCGCGCCGCCATTGTCAAAGCTGTATACAATTTGGAGCCTGGTGTCGTAGCCCGCGCAGGTCAAGTATATAATAACTCCAAACAAAAATAGGCGGGTATTCTCGTAGTACTCTGCAAATGTGTTATGTCTGTTGGTCGGCGTTCTTTTTGCGAGTGATAGCTGTCACCAAGCTTATGTCTTGGATGAATATCAATTATGATAGCGAACAAGAAAGCGCAACACGAAAGAGGCGGCGCTAAACCCAAAAGACGCGCCAAAACAACCGCGCTTTATCGACCTCGAGATATATCCAGCCTCAACTTTTTGACCTTCGCTTATTTTATTGATAAAATCCAAGTAAGGAGAGTAATCAGACTTGAAGTTGCAATATTATATATATTATCCAATGGATGACTCTCAGAATGATGTACTGGATGAGCCTGCCCCTGAAATACGCAGCTCCAAAGGCACCTATGTTCCACCATCAGTTTACCACTCTAGCCTATTAGCTGGAGAGTCTTACGCCCATTATTCTCCCTGCCCGGCCGCTATCACCCCTTCGCTGAAATCCTCTACTAATGAGACAAAGACGGAGACTACACCATGTGTACTGGGCATCGACGAGGCGGGCAGAGGCCCGGTCTTGGGACCCATGGTCTACAGCGCATTCTACCTCCCTATGCACCTTCATAAATCTTTACTTGCAGAAGAGCACCATTTTGACGACAGCAAAGTCCTGACTCCTGAAGTTCGGTCAAATTTGATGCGTTCTCTGTGTACACCAGGCCATTCGCTACATAACTCCTGCGGATGGGCTGTCAAAGTTATGTCTGCTCGTGACATATCCTCGGGGATGTTACGACCTTCTATGGCAGCTGTTTATAATCTCAATGCACAGGCATTAGATGCAACTATTGAAATAATACGCGGTGTGGTCGAAACACAACGCATAGATGTCAAGGAGGTTTACGTTGATACTATTGGAAAGCCGGAAACGCACCAGGCTAGATTACTACGGGTATTTCCTGGTCTGAAGATTACGGTCGCTAAGAAAGCTGATTCACTATATCCCAGCGTCAGTGCAGCGAGTGTATGTGCTAAGGTTACGAGGGATGCTGCCCTGGAGGCGTGCTACGATAATTGGGTTAATCAGAGAAAGAGGAAAAGGGCTCAGGAATCAACAGGTGATGAGGCTACAGAGCAACAGGAGGACGTCATGAGTTGGGGTAGTGGGTATCCATCTGATGGAAAGTGTATTGGATGGCTAAAGAAGGATATGGATCCATTATTTGGATGGGGGACCGAGTGTCGGTTTAGCTGGGGTACCTCGAAGGAGCTCCTGGAGACGAAATCTGGACTCAAAGTCGATTGGCCCGCTGAAGAGGAGGATAGTTCAATGCTAGTAACCCAGTACTTCACATCAAAGTCAAAAGATGGCCCAAGTAATGAGTTGCGGGATTGGTATGGGCATAAGCCAGCGGAGATCTTTTAAAGGTTAAAGAGATGCTATCATTATCAGGGGGAAACTAAAATACATGTTTTTGAGGTGTATAGATAAAGGAAAAGTATTCTGTCAAGAAGTTGTTAATAATAAGCGATAATAAATCTTCTCTTTCACCCATACCCTTAGGTCCCGTATCAAAAGCACTGCGCCCGATTTCCTACTCCGACAAGCCGCCCATATAAAAACGAATCGACCAGGAAGCCGTAACAAAAATGGAGATTAAATGTATTGTGTCACCCTGCTACATTGTAGCCGTGGAGAAATAGTAATTGTCCCATAGGTATTCGTAGTCTTCAACTACGCTCCCTACAAGACTAAGTAGGGGTTTATCACGCAGCGAGCTTGTAAAGGATTTTATCCATGACCTTGATAAAATATTAGCTCCTAACAACCAGAAAAATTATAACAAGAAAAATACTTACTTCGTAACATTTTCGTAGAATGCACCTCTCATAACCCACCATCCCATGCTCCAACCTCTTTTGCTGAGTTCTTCCCTCTCCAGTTTTGATAAGCCACGTAGACCACCTGCGACCCTGTCGCGGAATTCTTTCTTGGCAAGCTGACGGCAAGTAAATTCCAGGCCAAAGCCAATGAGCCAGGGGGTCCAACTCTTCTTCTGCGTTCTATATCTCTGGAGTGCAATCGCATAGATGAGCGGCCGGAGAATATATAGCACTTCTGCAAGCTGGCCTGTCCCCGAAACCCTGTGTAATAATGTTTGTGGGGGTCTGACATCATCCGCAGTTAAAACTTTGGAGGTAAGGTAGGCCGAAATATCGTTCGCATCGGGTAAATTTGGCAACGACATTCCCGTCCGAGGCATTGTCCAGTTTAAATCGGTCGGTTCAGATGACTCACTTGGCGGAGTTTCCATGCCATTAAAGTCACCATTGTCTTCTTCCTCTGCCTGTCTTGGATCAACCTCTCTTTCGGGAAGTGGTGGGTTGACAATAGGTCGAGAATTCGTTATGCGTAATAATATCAATCTGCAGAAAGCCTTAACGGCCTCTATAACCACGACGACACGCCACCGAAGCTTCTCGCCCTTCCGGCGTGCCGCCATCTCCCACAATAGCTCGGTGTATTTGACCATCTGAAGCGCCAAGGCAACTTTGTGATATAGACGCGACTGGAAGCTCCAATACTTGGTATATCGAGTGTGCGGACTCGGAGTGGGACGTGGCTGAGAAGGGGGAAGGCGAGCAATAACTCGAGCAACGAGGGAGTCATGATAGAGGGAAAGTAGTTGAACACCCGAGTGAACTATTACGTTAGCCTATTAGTATTAACACCAAGACATGATTCCTGGTACGAAGCCGAATTACTAGGGGTAATAACGAACTCGACTCTGAGGCTAGCTCCGCTTCCCGGAATCGCCCTGGGATATAGTATTAGTACAAAGAGGCACATACAGCAAGAATGGCACTAATGGTGAAGCACTTACCCGGTATAATATACGTTAAGGAGCGCAATGCGGATTCAACCTGGCCAACTGAGCTGGCGTTTTTGGTGACAAACTCTTCGTACATCTCCAACATCTTTGCAGGCTGGAGGGCCTCCGGTAGTCGCTCCTGAAAACTCATTGCTGATATCATCTTGATTGCTTCATGAGGGAGGCTTCAAAACAACTGCAACGCCTCAGAAATCGCAGAGCAAAGCATTGTTGATTATCAACGAAAAAGCCCAAGAAGTTGCGACTTGCCTCGGCACTATGGTATTATCACGTGATATAGCTAGATCATTATCTAATAATTTTAAACCTAAATAACACGTCAACATAATAAAAGGCACAAAACGTTATGCATAGCAGGGCCAAAGCATCCGCTTGGACTGTTGCTGTAGGTGCTGTGCAGGCCAAGTGGCAAGTATGTAGACGTAGAGCGTTGGGGTTATTTTTTATTCTCATCTATAGTAATCATGCATATTGTTCCTGGTATTCTATTCGTCCGCAAACTTCCAATATCCGTTGTCCTTACATGCCTCTTTATATCTATCAAGGATTTTCTCCTGTTCAAATTTCTGTGCCATCATGCGGTCTTGTTCAATCTCCTGTGTATTCGGCATATCGGTCCTCCAATACCCAGGCGGCGATCTTCCGTGGCGATGGGCACTTCGATGCTTGCTAAACTTATTCGAAAGAATGCTGGCCTTGGCTTCAATCAAGATATCACGGATCTCGATGGGGGATTTGCCCTCTAGAAATTGTGCATAATTGCTACCTAGATCTTCTTGTAGAAGATCAAGGTCTGCTCGAGTAAGGGTGTTCAGCGAGCGAGGTTCCTCACCGAGCTCGTCTTTAGCCATGTTACGGTAGAGTGGGCCGCAACAATCTTGCCTTAGACATCCACGAAGCTGCTTCCTCATGCTCTTGTCTCGGACGACCTCATCGAATGCATAGTCCAGCCCTTGGTTTCTATTCGGGTTAAGCTTGAAGTGTTCCAGGCTAAGTTCATTCGGAGGCCTTTTGCGATAACGAGTTTGCGGGAGTATCTCATCATCTTCATCCACTTCCTGAGAAGAGGATACACCCTCACGACTCTCTGAATGCTGTGCAGAGTTAGGTTGTTGAATGGATGACGTCTTCAAAATTTTAATATTATCGTTTGGGGTTCGAGGGGTTGCAAACTTGCTAGATTTAGCTGTAGCCGCTTGAGGAGGAGTTGAGAGTAAAATAGGCCGCGGGGTATAATTAGTTTCCAAAAGGTCTTGGAGACGAGCCTGTCGCATTTTAGCGGCCGGTGTGCTTTCCTTAGCACCCGCAGTGTTAGAGGAGCGTAACGCTCTTCGTCCTGCCAAGTACTCCTCTGCTTCGTTGTCCTCAGCAACACGTGGAATGGCATAAGCACTTCTCGGGTAGTAAGGTTTTCGACGTTTTGACTGAGGCTCTGTATGGTCTTTGGGTTTTCGTATGGGGGTCACATTGGTATTAACAGACTGTAGAACTCGTCTTCCTCGCTTTTTGCCGTGCGATTCTATCTGCTGGCCTGCATTGAGTTCCAACTGATCTTCCTGAAGAACAGGTAAGGGACTGCGTCTGTCATGTAAAACGGCAAACCTAGGTTTGGGTAGTGGTGACTCGATTGGATCAAGTGTAGGACTGGAGACATGCTCATATCTACGTTCTTCGTAATGGATCGCATATTGCGGGATAGCAGCTACCTGGGCCGGCGAGCTGGGTACTGGTTCACTCTTAATGTCGAAAGGTTTATCAGCAGTGCCAATACCCGTAGGGCTCTGTTCCACTTTTACGGGATAGTGAGTGGGGGTTATGGCTCGCTGTCTGCGAACTGGCCTTTCTTTAACGATCGTTGGGGTATCTGGTGACTCTGGTGGAGGGAGCCGCCGCTCATCATACCTAAGGTCTTGCGATTGGGTTGACGCAGGATCGGAGCGATGATCTGGGGGTTGAGAAGAAGAAGGGTCCTTGTCGTGACCATCACAGCTCTGGGGCATATGACGTTTTATCGGAGGCAAGCTTGGAGACTCGGCAATGATTGTTTCCTTGGGATACCCTTGGCCGACTCTCCGGAACGTAACGGCCTCACCATTAACGACAGTCTCAAAGATGGTCTTTTCCAGCAAGCGGTTCCACTGAGCTAGCTTTTCATTGGTAGCCTTGTGTTTTCGGCGCAGTTTACAGAATGATTTTATCAGGTTGATATTTTCGGCGTAAAGGTCACAATAAAACCCGGAAACACGAGCGTAGAGGTCATAGTCCACAATTCCTGGAGACGAGTCGAATTTGTATATAAGGTCTTCGGGATCACGTCTCTTTGCCTCATCAAGGAGGCCTTTTTCGAAGACAGCATCGTCATCTTGTAGACGAGCGCTGTCTTGATCTCGAAGTTCCTGCTTGAGTTCGTCGACAGTTCCCTTGAGAGCCGCATTTTCTTTAGATATGGCTTGGATTCGTTGCTCCTGGCGTACTTGGTCGATATCATACTCTTTCAGCTTTTGAGAAGCTAGCTCAAGCTCGCGTCGGGTGGATTCATTTTTCTTCGATGTCTCTTGTATCAGCTTGAGAGCTTCGCTGTAGTGGTGTTGACATTGCGAAAGGGCTTCCGCTAGTCCTGTAAACGGATCCATGTGTATATTGCGGTAAGTTTTAGCTGGGAAGGGAGGCGTTGATTCTGTGCATCTCTTCGGCTTCGTCGTCGCCTTCTTAAACGCGCTCTCTTCGACGCGACGGAGACTCACGTGTTACATCATGTATGATGTAATCACAGATAAGATAAGATCGTGGCATCTTATCAAGAACGAAGCCGGAGCGAAAAGATTCATATAACTTACATGCCCATACCCGCACATATTCTTAGGAGGTCGTGTCCTCAGGTGCAGCTACATAAGGCCCTTGAGTCATGCTAAAACGTAGCCTACACGAGGATTCACCGGACGAGCGGCCATCCAAACGAACACGACAGCCAGATCGCCTTTCCTCGCTCAGTGATGAACTGCTCCTCCATGTTCTGAGCTTTCTTCCTATCCCATCTCTAATAACTTGTCAGAGGTTCGTATTACTCCAGCCTGTCATTCCTTGATGTATATCTAAACTAATTTTTTAAAAGGGTGTCTCACAGGTTCGCCGCGCTCGCAGGAGACTCGGAATTATGGAAGCGCAAATACTATTCCCGCTGGGTATGGCCGAGGGCCAGGCGGATACGGCAGGTCAGACAGGGAACCACCGTTAAGGGGCCGCTCGAATACTCACCCCGTGTATCGAGCTGGTTTAGCCACGGCCCGTTGACACAAGTAGGCGATGACAGGAATTGGAAGGGCCAGTATCGACTTCAGCATAATTGGTCCAGAGGCTCATGTCGTGTTACTGAGGTAGAAGTGGCCCAGCATCTGCTCACGCCTGTGGTTGTGAAGTTGGAGCATGGGGTTGTTTTCACAGCGGACATGGAAAATGGACTACGAGCTTGGTCGATTAAAGATACAAAAACGTGTCTTGCAACCGTATCGTTTACGGATGTAGGGGTTGGGGGTCACGGTTGTCCCGGAGTGCCTACCGCGATTGAAGTGACTACAACTGAGCGGAACCAAGGTAGTTTTGACGTTACAGTCGGTTTTGGAAACGGCGGCATAGCCGTTTATTCCTTTTCCTCCTGTCCTAACGGAGAGTCATTTGAACTCCAGCTCTGGCGTGTGGATTTGGCAGACTCGGCCGTAACAGCCCTGGCATCTCATAAGGACTTCCTACTTATCCTATCAGAGGATAAGGTCCTTTACCTCTATCAGCTATGTCGGGACAGTTTCGGTATGGGCCCGAATGGAAAGGAGGAGGAGAAAAACAAGAAGCAGTCGATACGGCTGATAGCGTCGCTTGTAGCGAACAACATCCAGCCACCGTTTTCTCTCTCCATCCGGACCACGCGTACTCACGCTATTGCGTCAGTCAGCTATACCTTTCCGCGGATAGGTTGTGGGTGGTCTGTCGGAATACAGGAGCTCTACTGGAACAAGGAGGGCGGTGACCTGACATCTCGACTGGCGACGACTGTGGATTCCCAGTACATAGGAAACGTCCTGACGGAACAGACCAGACAGCCGGCACTAGGCTCATCTGGCCCAGTCTTCTCGACGGCTCCCTCGCTATCTTACACCCAACCGCCCACTTCACTGTCCTACTCCCACCCATATCTTCTCGCATCACATGCAGACAACACCCTGACGATGTACCTGGTTGTCTCGACGGTCGATAACCTATCTATCAAAACCGGCCGTCGACTCTGGGGCCATACATCTGCCGTCTCTGGCGTACAGGTGAGCTCGCGGGGCAAGGCCGTGTCGGTGAGCACGAAGGGAGATGAAATTCGCATCTGGGAGCTTGAAGAAATGATATCCTCTCGTCCGGCATCGAAGACGGCGCTTCTCGGGGACAGAAGCGTCCAGCTCAGTCCAGAGCCTCGAAGATCAAGAACCAACCCGTTCAGCGTCCTATCTCGAGCAGTGAAGAGACAGGTTGCCGCCATGGAAGGTGTCAAAGGTATCTCCTCGGAGATAACTCTCTCCTGCATCAAGGGGCCGGTCGAGTTCGACGACGAGCAGGTGGTGGTTCTTCGTGAGCAGAGCATTGGCACACAATTACTCGGCTGCTACGACTTTACATAGTTGAAGGTATTCCTCCCAAACGAGTTGCTCCTAAGTGTTCACCCCTTTTCTTCTTTTCTTCTTCCTCTTCGTACTTTCTTGTACATACCTTATACATATAACTTCCAAGGATGATAACCCTCCAGGCTGCATTTAAATGAGAGTCACTTTTTTTCTCACACGGTTCAAGGCCAATCCTTGCATCTTGCAGTCACTTTCCCGGTCTTATACGGATAGACTGCATATAAACCACATATATATACTGCTATAGCCGGCCTTCAACCACCGAAGCCCCCGAGATTTTCCCTCCCCTTCGACCTCTCAGGACAATTCTGACATTTACTTGATCTCTGATTCGAGTACTCCAGAATCTGAGTACCTTGTACGAAGAAACGACCTTGAGAAACAGGGATAGCCAGATCAAGCCACCAAAGAAGAAAAAAAAACAAAAGGAATACGTATAAAAAGCGACAGATCGTCCAAAATTCTCCGAACCGTTTGATCGATCGTACAGCCCGTTGAGATCGCACACTCGCACAGGTTATGCAAAAACGACCGCAGGCCACGCCTCTTCCGTTATTTATGACCCGTCACCCTCGCTCGCCAGCATCTCTGCTGCATGGCCATGGCTTTTTTCTTTTCTTCCTCTCCCCGACGATGCCGACCATGACGGCTGTCCGATAAACAGTTTCGCCTCTGGCGTCAAGATTAAAAAAGAAATCCGGTTTTCAACCCTTTTATTCCTTCGTCTGTCCTGCAGGGTCAAGCCATGATGTGTCTTTCTTCCTTCTCGTCTGTCTGTCTCCTCTGACCCTGTGGCTCTTGACTTCTCTGTCCATCCCCCGTTAAGACGGGAAAACGAAGCACAGTTTCGCCACTCCTCGCCTGTCCTTGAGTATACAGATATATATATAATATGGGCGGGAGCAGGGATTGGAAGACGACGGTGAAAAGAAAAGAAAAAAGTGCCTCTTCCCGGTTTCGAGTGGCTTGCCGGTGGAGAAGAAGGACGGACAGCTGGCTCGTTTCTCACTCTCATTACTGATGCTTCGATGGCTCGATGGCGAGTTATCTATGTATCACACACACACACTCGTGGGGAGAAGCTGTATGTCTGAAGACTTTTCTCGCCTTTTCTTCTTTTCTTCTTTCTGTTCTTCTTCTCCAGGGGGTGTTTATATATTCATCCTTATATTCTCTTTTATATAAAAAAAAACCGGCCAGACCGCCTTCGCAGGTGACGCCGATAAAAAGAGGCAGTTTTTTTCTTTTCTGCCCATTCGAGAACTTCATCTTCTTTTCCTCTTCTTCATCTTCAAACATCAACATCAACTCTTCAGGTAAGTAATGGCATCTCTGTGTCGGCCCTCTTTTTTGCATCTGTCCCCGTTTTTGGTGTGTCTTGGTCAACCAGGTTCCTTTTTTTTTTGCCCCCCCCTCTTTTATTTTATTTTTTTTTTTTTATATTTTTTTTTTCTCTTTTAGGGCCCTTCTTCACAAGCGCCTTCACGTTTTCCAGGCCTTCGAGTTCCTCGCACACAAAAGAAAATATCATTTCTCTCCTCCGTTTTCTTCTACTCTATCTCAGACTGATCATTTTCTTCTTCTTTTTCTTGTTCTAGAAAAAGATCTCTTTTCGAATTCTCTTCTCGCCGGAGCCAGAAAAAGGACCCTTTTTCTTCTCAAAAAAAAAAAAAAAAAAAAAAAAAAAAAAAAACCAACCTCCCTCAAAACCCCAAAAAAGGAAGCAAAAGAAAGATAAAAGGAAGAACCAGATCTACCTTACTACAAGATGGAATACCAATCCGGCGGTCGTGGATGCTTCAACTGTGGGTTGCGCCCTTCTCTCTCCTGGCCCTGGTTTGATAGCTGTATGGGATGGTTGGGCTGGCATGACTTGACCTTCCAATTGCCTCTGCGCATGGGAGTATCTTGTTATTCTACCCCTTCACCCTGTTCTCCTGGCTATCCTGGGCTTGAATTCATCATCTTTTTCACCATGGACCCCGCTGACACACGCTCTAGGTGGCGAATCCTCTCATCAGGTTAATATGCTACGTTCTTCGTCTCTCCGTGGGATAACATTAATTTCTCCCTGATAGGCACGAGATTGTCCCAAGAAGGGAACTCCCACTTGGTATGCTCAGAGAATCATCATTACCTCCGTCAGTCCAATCAAATAAGGGAACCCACGCTAAATTTTAGATTCTTGGACACAACAGTTACAACTGCGGTGGTATGTCATGAGGAAATGCAATGCGAATTTTTTGAACCATGGAAGTATGCAGATCTTAATTTTTTCTTCTACGTTTATAGGACAGGGACACGTCAGTGAGTTTTTTGGCATTGCACTCGGAGAGCAGGTGTAGACTTGAGGAGACTCCCAAAGAGAGTGGAAGAAAAAAAATGAAAGAAAAAGAATGGGAAAGGAAGGGTTCGATTGTGCGTTTTAAGTCTTTCTGTAGCTGACCCCCTTTTCTCTTTCTTCCTTGTTCTAGGTCGTGAGTGCACCCAAGCTCCCAAGGAGAAGTCATGCTACCGGTGTGGTATGACCGGCCATATCTCTCGTGAATGCCCAACCAGCGGATCTGGTGACAACAACAACTACTCCGGCGGTTACTCTGGCGGCTCTGGTGGTCAGGAATGCTACAAGTGCGGCCAGGTCGGTCACATTGCCCGCAACTGCAGCCAGCAGGGCGGTTCCGGATATGGCAGCGGTGGCTACGGTAACAGTGGTAGCGGTTCTTACGGCGGCGGCGGCGGCTACGGTGGCCGTTCGCAGACTTGCTACTCCTGCGGTGGATACGGCCACATGGCCCGTGACTGTACTCAGGGACAAAAATGTTACAACTGTACGTACTTTCTTTGTTTCTTTCTAATTTTACACACAGAAGAAATAAATGATTGCTAACATTCTTTTCCAGGCGGTGAAGTTGGCCATGTCTCAAGAGACTGCCCGACCGAGGCCAAGGGTGAACGTGTCTGCTACAAGTGCAAGCAGGCCGGCCACGTCCAGGCCGCTTGCCCCAACTAAACAGCCAACTCGTCAAAAAGGTGTTGTGGAGAGGACAATTTTCTTTTTCTGCTTTCTTTATATGGCACATTCGCATGCATGCATTCCCCGGAAGTTGAAAGTAAAGTGAACTAAACAGAAAAAAAGAAATTGAGACCGTTTCCCGGTGATTTATCAAAAAAATAACTCGTCCATACCCCCTACCAATACATTCACCTCCCCTTATTTTATCTCCTGTCTGCACAATTGCCAAAGGAAACTTCTGATCTTCGAAAGGCTTGTATTCACTTTCAACATAACAACCAAATCCGAACTTCTCAAACTATTCGTTGAAAGTTAGTCTATCCGAAGAACCATTGCTTGTTGAATGGAAGGAAAGGGGGATCCCCCGTTGAAAGATATGAGAGAGAGAGAGAGGATGAAGCTGAAAGATGAGAGCAAGGAATGGATAAGAGAAAAAATACCTGTGAAATTTGTTCTGTGAAGAAACCTTTTTTTTTTTTTTCATGTCTCTTAAACGATTTATTGATATTACCGGCCTTTCTTCTCTTCCATTGCATTTTAACCCCCGTCAAGACTCCTTTTTCTTATATTCTTTACCGGCTGTGGTGTCTTCCTGTCTCTCACCTTGAAGCCTTTGCTACCCCTATGGCTTTTTTACATTACCAGCTGGCCCCAAGCCTGAAAATGAAGACAGATCGCTCCATTCGAAAAGATATCTTCCTAACTACTTCTACTTCAGCTATTGCCCTCTGTCTCTCTACGTTTTGGTCAAAAGAAAACTATTCATATCCCACGCCAACGACGCCGAAACAGCCAGAAATGTATACCCAAAGAGACCCCAGACCATACCATATATATACCACCACTCGCGAGCCACTCTGGATGAGGAAACAAATAGAACAAGAGAGTCGCAAATGTAAAGAATTAAACAGAAGAAGAGAAGAGCCCGGCCTTAATTCAACTGTGTCTGGTCTCTCTTCTTGTTCTTCTGATTCGCAACCTCCATTGCCTCTCCTAGGTCCATGTCTCCTACAATCTTCAGCTTTGTCGACGGCTTGCCCTCGTTTTCAATCTCAATGACTTCCGGGCCTTGGAATGAATATCTCATACCCGGTCTAGGACGGTATCGCCGTGATGAACAGGCTTCCTCGTACGTTGGAATCCCTCTGTTACGCTGAACGGCTTCTTCCTCCTCGTCTCGGTGCTGTTCAGCGGACTCGTTGATGGCTCTCTGCAGCTCATCATAGTTGAATTCCTGGCCTTCCTCGGTAAAAGGCCCCTCGGAATAGGCCTCGTTGCGAGATCTGCTTATGATTTCTTCTAACAAGTACGATGCTGGGTCCAAGACTTGAGTGCTTGCACTTGTGCGTGCCAGGCGATGCATCCGGGCCGATGGTGGTGGTGGTGTTGCTACTGGGTGTCGTGCAGGATCGGTGGCAGGCTGGCTGGATGTTTCACCTCTTTGGTCAGGGGAAGAATTGCTGAAGCCGAAAGAGCGGGATCTTCGAACCGCCGTCCTCACAGCGTCTCTCACTCGACGAGAGCCAAGGACAAGCCGGTTATCAGCTTCCACTTCAGCACGAGCGTCAGCCGCGCGAGATCGAGCAGCCAGAACCTGAGCAACCCGGACTTCGGCTTCGAAGGTCTCCATGGCACGGAGCTGTTCAGCCCTATCATTCGCAGTGGAACCGAAGATGAGACCCAGAGTTCCAAGATCCTGTCGTTGGCTGGACCCAAATCTGCTTTCCGCTCGCCTGATATCCCTTCTCTCCTCCCTTTCTCTCCTTACTCTCACCCTCTCTTCCGCCTGGCTTGCTTCTACCGCTGCCCGGAGTGCCTCTTCTTCCTCCCGTGTCGCCTCTTGCTCTCTCCTGGATGCCTCTTCTGCATCCCGGAGGGACTGCAGGCGGATCTCCTCTTCTCTGTTTCTGGCTTCCCTATCGGCTTCCTCTTGCCGCTGTCGACGCTCGTTGTCTAGCCTTAGACTCTCCGCAAAGGCTAGACGAAGCACCTCGTCCTCATCGTCATCTCCGCTACTGCTTCTGGCTATCCGTACACCGCTGTCTTCATTGTCAGACCCGGAAAGGCTCTCTGCGTCACTGCTAACGAAGCCGCTTGTTGAACCACGAGTGCCTGCAGGACTCTGCCGACGGTTCTCTGACCTCCTAGCTCTTCCTACACGTCGGTTCATAGTTGGGCCAGCTATTTTAGGGTTCAATGTATTAGAAGGATTCAGCGTCTCCAGCGATGTTTATCTATGGTATATCCAGTGGCAAGCAAGATAGTTAACAATATACTGGACTCTGAGGAGCGTTGAAAAAGGATTACCCATGAAGCATCCAGAGAGTGCTTTCCCGGTTTAAGTAGACCGTTGAGCCCGGTTATTATTGATTCCATTGATTTTAACCAACATGGAGTAAATATAAAATTGAAGTTGTTCGCCTTCACGGAAGCTGGAGGAAGGAGAGATATCATCATAGCTATCAAACTTACCTCTATATTCACCCGGCACAACCCAAAAGAAGAAGAAAAAAAAAACCGCAGATGCAACAGTAGCAATAAGCTACGAGCTACAGCTACACATCGCCATCCTCTTAAATCGAGGAACGTCTCCGCAGAACCTCTCTTCCTCCTCCTTGTTCATGCCCCATTCCTCTCGGAACGGGTGGAGAGCCATGTTCATGGTTCGTCCGAGAATCTCTCGGTCACCATGTCTCTCAACACGCTGTATCACTTCCTCCAGGATCCAGGATCGAGGAATAAACTGGGAAAAGGTTAGTTATTGTTTGTGATGTACTAACAGAGTGCAGTTAAGTACCTTTGGGTTTACTCCCTTCATGGAACTTATCCTCTCTTCGTCTTCCCTTTCCTTCCAATCTTCCACGATGCGCTCTCTCCATGACGAAAGCCAGGTAGCAATATTCTCTCTAGCGGATGCGTCGGTGTTTCCAATCCCTCCAACCCCTTCGTCGTGGAAGAATATGCCGGCAACCTTCTTTCTCTTCTCTTCGGTATCAATTTCAGTCACCGTCAATGCAGATAGTCTTCTAAAGAAATGGTTAAAGTCTAGCTCAAACTTCTCGAGCGTATCTAGAAGGTTTGAAAAGAGCTCGCCAAAGTCGGATTCTTTCTGCGTCTTCAGTCCTAAACGCGCAGACATCAAGCGCTTGTATTCGTTTAGAAATACGGTTTTGAATTCGTCTCCGACTTGATCTATAAGTTTTTCAGCACGAGCGATGACATCCGGTGCCTGCTCTTCCGTCAAACCCTTGGAAATGAAAACTTCATCATCGATCTTGTCGCCGATCCCTATCAGTTGGGAGAATGCCTCCCCGAGACGCACGAGATTCCACCATATCACTGATGGCTGGTTCTTATATGAGTACCGTAGCATCTCATCATCGTGGTTAGGGGTGTAGCTTGGATCAAAGTTGTCCATAAACGCAAAGGGGCCGAAATCCAGTGACAACCCAAAAATGGACGTGTTGTCGGTATTAAGCACCCCATTCATAAAGCCGTATGCCTGCCATGCCGCTACCGTCTTCGCGTTACGGCGCACTATCTCTCTATACAATCTGGTAAAGCGGTTCTCTTCCGCGCCCTTTTCACCTTGAATGGCATCTTTGGGAACTCCTCGGGGGGGATTGTCTACCAGATTACCATCAACAGGTGATCCCGGCGGCAGAGCAGCCGGCAGTGACTCCCAACCCGGGAATACATCTTCTGCAACGTACGTTGCCAGTTGACGTGTAAGCTTCAAATCGCTTCGAGCACGTAGTATATCGAAGGTGCCTATTCTGATCCATGACTCTGCAAAACGAGTAACGATCGCACCAGGTTCTAACCGTTCTCTTCTGACACTAGAATTGGGGAGAAGTGTCAGAGACAATGCTCGGGTGGTTGGGATTCCCAGCGCGTTTAGTGCTATCAAACGGTAAGCCTTGACATCAGTGTAGATATTAATGGACAAATACCAACCCTCGGAAACAATAAACTCTCGAATGCTGGAGCGAAGGACGGCCTTGCCATCAGCAAAGCGAGAATACGGAGTTAGGCCAGCACCCTTTAATTGAACTTCGTAGCGCCTGTTTGTCGTAGGGTTCACTGTTTCGAACAGAGAAATAGCACGCTAGGTATATGTCAGTCCTACAGACGAAGAGCAATAAAGGTCTGTATATGTATATATATACGCACTCCGTCTCCGAGTTGGCCGGCCCAAGTACCACTAGATCACTTGGGATAAGCATACTTTGCGTGAGATAACAGGTCAGAGGATGGAGCAAACGTACAACTGCCAACCTAAAAATCCAGAGTCAGCAGGCTTGTTCGTATAAAATGTGTCAAGGAACACTAAAACAAACCTCCATAACATTGAGCCCAGGGATAAATGCCTCCATCCTTCTCATTCCAAAAGATCTTATTTCCTGCAACCATATCTCGGAACTCCTCCGTTTTCTCCTCGCCCTCTTTCAAGCCGATATCCATCATTGCCCGAGGACTCACGCCCAACAACTCTGGCTCTCGGGCAGTTTCAGGTCTGACAAAGGTATACAACGCATTTTTAACCAGCCGGGGGCCTAGATGCTCGCGGGGTGCCTGGTGTGAAGCCAGGGGGGTATCAAACGCAGCATCAGGAGGAAGCTTAGAGGTGAAGTTGTTTGTCTTGGGGATATCAACCAACGAAACCCCCGGCGCATCAACAGTAGTGGTTGAAGAGTATAGCTGGTCGTTATTCTCGCCGGAACTGGCCGTATTGCCGCTGTGGATAAGATGGGAAGCCATCTGCGTCAGGCGGAGAGGAGATCGCGGGATACGGCGTGCAAGAGTACTTCTTAACAGCATGGAACCGATCGATCTCCCTTCATGAACGAGGGGACAGATCAATTCTATACGGGCCAAAGGAGTGATGGGCTAGTAGTTAAATGGATGTGAAGTAGTTGAGTTGATGTTTTATTGCTTTGAGTATTTTTTTGATTAAACAAAGCTCGTGAAAAGATAATCTTATCAATCATCCCCGGGATGACATCATAAAGCTGGCACATCCAACAGGAGAAGAGAAAGAAGATATCAAACAAGGTCTCGTATTTTCCGTCTCTTGGTTCGGGGGTCGCGGAGTGAAGGCTATTTTGAAAGTGTCTTTCTACCAGCAATCGCCCTTACATTTATGGCCGCCATACCGACGACTAAGCTGAGCGGTGGGGTGTCAGTTCCAGTGGTAGGCTGTCCCTCTTCCACATATCTTGCACCCAGTTAACTGGAATAAACACAGCTTGGATACGGGACAGGCACAGCATGGTACAAAAAGCTTGGGGATCAAGGAATTAACTAAGCTACTCTCGATGCAGTAAAGGCAGCAATTAAGACAGGGTACAGACACCTCGATGGAGCTGAGGCCTACGGAACCGAAAGAGAACTCGGCATTGCAATCAAGGACAGCAATGTGAAGAGAGAAGGGTTTTTTGTCACGGCCAAGGTGGAAAAGAGCATTGGAAATATCCAAGAGGCCATCGATACCACGCTACAGAACTTGCAGCTGGACTATGTCGATTTGTACGTATTTGACAGCCAGGTATGGCCACCAATATACTGTGGAAGTAGCTAATGTCTACTAGATACTTGATCCATGCGCCTTTCTTCGCTAAAACAGACGAAGACTTGCAGTTGAAATGGGCTGAGATGGAAAAAGTCCAGCAGTCCGGCAAGGCACGGTCGATAGGCGTGTCCAACTTCCTGCAGCCGCATCTGGAGGCAATTCTGCAGACGGCGAGTATCAAGCCGTCAGTGAACCAGATAGAGTTCCACCCTTACCTCCAGCATGGAGATTTACTTGCCTTGCATAAGCAGTTGGGTATCACTGTTGAGGGATACTCGGCGCTGACGCCCCTGATACGGGCCAAGGGAGGCCCAGTGGATGGAGTCGTCGCTCGGCTGGCTAAGAAATACGCTGTGAGCGAAGGGAATGTGCTTCTACGGTGGTCGATGGATCAGGGCGTGGTGACAATCACAACTAGCGGCAAGGAGGAGAGGATGAAGGAGTTCTTGGACGTGCTGAGGTTCAAACTGACGGCAGACGAGATCGCAGAGATATCGAGTCTGGGTGCACAGAAGCACTATCGAGCCTCTTGGAAGGGGAAGTTTGCACCAGATGATCGATCATAGGTTGATCTTATGACCCTGATATAGGCCAGGACACTGCTGGCGCATATAAACGTAGACTCGTCAGCCGTCGCACCATCTGTTTGATATTGAATGCAGGCTTTCCTGTCACTGAATCACGATAGAGACATGATACCGTCTCCTAGCTTTCGTCCTAGGGTATTATAGTCGAAGCCCTTTCTCAAGCTCGAATATTTGGATATCAAGATGGGCTCTTCTCAGGACAGCGTGAACCTCGCGGTGTCAAGCCAGCGGAGACATCAACTTCTTCACTGACCTTTTGTTTATTAGTTAAATATTTCCATCTTCCGTGGGCCTGAAGCTCTCCTGCCCCTGAGCAGTCATCTCGTCCCATCATGCTCCAGTAGTACTGATATAAGCATATATATAACTAGCAAGGCCAACGCAGCAGCATGATCTAGTCAAGTGTTTACCTGTAAAAAAAGAAAGGAAAAAGAAACGAAAGAGACCATCAGCTGGGCATGATGCAGAGGTACTTCTTCTCCCACTGTAATTTGGTGTGAAACGAAGTACCTCGACATCGTTCCACCGCCTTGGGGCCCTTTTTCTTCTTAACTAAACTTAAGCGTTTCCTCTTGTTTCCACCCGATTTCACCGCGACGAACTCCTTCATAATTACTGTTTACATGGGATCTTCCTAGGCCAAAGTCGAAAGAGGAAGAAGACGAAGAGGATAGACGCTGTCCAAGGGCGATGAAGCACCTCGTCGCCTCCCGCGCTGCTCCCATCACTTCTCCCTCGCCCTCCCTGTCGCTGAGCCTTGTCTTCTCTCCGCTAGATATCCGCCCTCCGCTCCCTCGATCCCGCCATTGACAAGCCCAAGGCCGTACCTGTATTCCACTCGTATATGAAGAGAGGTCGAGTGACCCGGTCGACTTGCAAGGACTCGCTGGGCTTCCTGCTGCCGTCCACGTCCTCGAATCGCGCTCCAGGTGCTACCCGAACGCCTGAAAAAGCCCACCGGCCAACGCATCTTCGAAGCCCGTAAAGCTGCAGCAAGCACAGAAGGCCCTTTAACGGCCACCGCAAATTCGCACACAGGAATAATTATATATACATCAGGGCATATATACGATATCTTCTTTTCACTACCTGACGCTCGTTTTTATCATAGAAATAAAAAAAAGAAAGGCAAACAAAAAAAAAACATAACACTGAGGAAGCCTTCCAACACACGGGAACCCGCGCAAGTGTAGGGGCGCATTCACCAGCACCTGACACCCCGGAATAAACAGGAAAAAATGCGATCAGAGTGACACTGTGAATGGGATTCAAGGCTGAGCGGAGATTTATCTGGATATTTTACAAGTTTTTTTTTTTTTCACTTATTGTGCTGGGCTTTTGGGTGAATGGGCTGGGCCTGGCGCAAACCATCAATGCCTCATTCACATCTCGTCTGTCCTCTGCCCTTTTGATACAAACACCAACAAACCGCACCCTCCCTCCTTTCAATTATTCCTCCGGCCTGGATGTTAACCTTGGACCGCCTCGAGAGATATCCTCTTCTCATTCCTTACCATCTGACATCCGCTCTCCATTTCGCAACTCGATAATACACAACGCATCTTTGCCTACTATACACCCTTTGCCATGTCGGCGGGCAGTCGCAACTCGCAATCACGCCTACACGCCGATAGCAGACCGTCTAAACCGTCGCTTGTGCCGTCTGGAAAGAGGTCCTATTCAGACTATCTGAGTGATATCGACCGGAAATTCAAAAAGCTCACCCAAGAAGTCCTACCAACCCACCCATACATCTTGTCAGTTCCCACCGAGAAGCCGTACCGGCTGGGATCGCGCTTCGTGAGCAACTGGGCAGTAGGGGAGAATACTTTGTTCTCTCCAGAGGAAGAGCAGCTGCAGTATATGACCTTTCTCCCGCACCAGGGAGAAGACACACTGCTCGTCTCGGTTGGAGGCTGGTCGGATGATAAGGGGAATATAATCCAGGAAGAGGACCAGAGACCCTCAAGCGCTGTCAGCATGGCTGCGCCACTAACTGGCTCACAGCAAGATGCGCTGGCCAAGAGAAAGAAAAAGATCACCCTGAGTGACTACAAGAAGAAGGCGCTGGAAACACCTCCACCGCTGCCTGGTGCAACGGAACCAACTACGAACGGCGCCAATGGAACAAATGGTAACGGAGCTGGGAGCATAGGGCGCACAGCGGACTCTGAAAAGCCACTGCGCAGACCGCAGTCGAATAACTGTAAACCAGAGCCCAAGCACCGCACATCCCAGCTCCCTGGATCGACCTCCTCAGCAGCCCCTGAAACCCGGCCTGGCGGCAACAATGATACCAAACGGAATGGATTAGATGGCCCTCCGTCGACCAGCACCAGCAGTCGACTGGATAAGAATACCAAGCTACCGCCGTCAAAACCCACTCAAGCTAAGGAATCTCCGCCTCGTAAGAAGCCACGGCTCTCCGCACAACCGGAAGAGCGAGATAGAACACCAACCAAGAAGCCAGGAAGGACCCATCAGATGGTCCCTGAACTACTCTCGCCGACTCTCCCATTTGATAACGAGAGCTTTAGCCTCTCTTTGCCGCCTTTACTATCCCCCACCCTCCCACCAGATATAGAGGAAGAACTGGCCAGGCTCCCCGATGATGGTCTAGAGAAGAGCTCCCGCTCTCACTCTAGTTCTATATCTAGCACATCCAACAAGGCTTTACCCAGCAAACCCAAGCCAAATTCAAACTCTTCATCTTTCCCAACCCCATCTTCAGCCAAACAGCACCAGCAATCTCCTCAGGTTACGGAGAAGAAGCCGGCAGGTATATCCTCCGCGAATCTCCCTCCAAAACCGCCCACAATATCGTCATCTTCTCCCGCACTTACATCAAGGACAACGGCTTCTCAACCTCCCCCACGGATCACAACAACCGCTCCCAAGGAAAGGCTGATCGTCAAATTGAAATACGGCCGACAGAACAGGAAACGAATCGAGGCGCTCTTGAAAATATCATCCAAGCGAAAGCCAACTCCGGTACAAGGATCTGGGAAACCGAAAGGCTTACCGGAGGCTATTGTCATATCTAGATCCTCCCCGCCAAATTCTTCGCCACAGCCTAGCAACTCTACCACCATGGGGAGGCAGCGGGAACCTAGCTCTGGTCACAAGCGACCCAAGACTGTGGATGGTGACGATATACAAGAGCCAGCTTTGAAGCGGCCGCGGAGTTCTAACACTCTCGCACCTCCCCCTGAACAAGCTCCCACACCTAGCATACACACTCCTAGATCGACTTCGGCCACCAAACACCCCCCTACATCCACGCAAGACCAATTTCTTACCCCCAAGAAAGAACCGAAAGGAGCTGCAATGCGCCGTGTGGGATCTGGTGACAGTGACATGAAGACTCCAAGTGGCAGCACAACAAGTGTCAAGATGACACACTCAATCTCCGTAGAAGGTCATCCGTCTTCTAGCGCCCAACCATCCGAACGCCGCGGCTGGCGTGACGAGTACCAGAGATTTGTTAACCTCGGCCGTGATCTAAAACACGCCTCCCAGCGTAACTCAACCCATAAATACAGCACCAGCCATGATATACAAGATGACAAACTGAGTGCCACTATCGCGGTGGAAGCCCTTCTCTGCTTCGTTTTAGCATTCATCGCTGAGCAACGCTTCCAATCTCTCAGTCGCCAAGTTGGTAACTCGACAGGCTGGCGCTCGATAATCGCTTACTGGCAAGCCGTCCTCAGCCGAACTACCTCTTACCCGCATCTCCATGGCCTGTGTCTTCTTCTAGGTGCCGTTTGCCATGAATCCATTCACTCTCTCGATCTAGAACGGCTGGCCGTTACCCCTTTTCCTGATGAACATAGTCCTGCCCCCACCCCAGGCAGCGACGGTAACACCGTGACCAGCGAAGAAAGCAAGAAACAGCGCCGTGAATTCGCTGAATTAAGAACACGACTTCCAGAATCCTACAAGGTTGCGCGTCGTCTATGGGTTGAAGGGTCCCGCGAGCTTTCAGACTCCATCCTCACACAGCATTACCCCAACACCTGGTCTAAACGGCTAAAAAATGCTGCAGAAAGAGGAAGAGAACAGCTTAAACTCGGCGAGTATGGAGGTGACTATTACCTTCCACTGGGCACAGCATCGACTCCTCTGGAAGCTGTACGATTTGGCTGGAGTTTCTTAAACGAATGGAGTGAAAGAGAAGGAGTCAAGTGGAAGGGTAGGTTGGGACTCTAACATTCTCCATTCTTTTTTTTTTTTTTTTTTTACGTCTATTCTATTTGTTTCCTTCCCATCTATTCTTGACATTATACTAGATCGTTCATCCAACTTCTCTACACGGCTTAATACCTCCGTTTCCCCATTCTTTGGAACTTCCAACCTATTTACCTCATTTAGCCACCAAGTCTACGTTCATATGTTCTCATTTTATCCCACTCTCTTCTTTGCGATACCATTGATTTCATCTCATTGTTTTGTTCTTCTTTCTGCCTCTAATGAATATGATACCAAGAAGGATAACTGACCTTCAGAGCCCTACTATTGCTATTTATTGTTTTTACTAGCGCCGCCTTTGTTTTCTTTCTTTCTCTCTTCATATTGACGACTTTTGACTAGCTCTTTTCCTTGTTTATTCTGTCTTGAATGTTTGGAGCATTGCGCAATAGGATGTGAGGGTGGATGGTGGTAGGTATTGATTTATCTACCTGCGAAGAATGAAAAGGGAAATGGGAAGGGAAAAAAATGGGATTTCCGATGAATATGCGAAGGATGATGATGTTAATTGTCTTCTTCTGTTGCTCTCTTGAGTGAGTGTATTATTTATTATATGTTGATCTTAGATATGATAATACCTCTTTGATCTACTGCCCATTGCTTTATTGTTCAGTTCTTTGCTGTCGTAGAATTTTTGCTAGATGAGGTCGCAAGCATTCCCCTGTAAAGGCTTAAAAGGCTGATATCAATAGAAAGATTTAGAAAGTATTCAATTTATCGAGTGAATTAATAAAACGAAAGGATAGTTAAAGAAGCAAAGCTGTATTTACAGGTACTCCCCCGCTCATGCAATGAAGAAACATTAATTGAAGCAAAGCAAGACCCTAATAGCAATAACCTCGAGAGACCCATTTCTATCAAAGGCAAATTCCAAAGGGGCAACACCGAAGACTAGATCACTGCATTAATTAACTGATCAATCAAGTCGTGGTGCTCTATCTTCTACATCCATACGGTCCGCACTGCCGCCGCCAAATAAGTACCCTGCCTCACGACAATAGCGTGCCTCTCGTCGTACACTGCCGACTTCACTCGCCCAGCAAACAACCGCCGCATCAACGACACCAGCTAGTACTCCCTCCATAGCAGACAAAACACCCCATCCGATCGTTCCTGCGATCAAGCCGACAATGTAGGCGTACAGACTGCCACGGACGCCTGGGCCTTTGCTACCGTCTGCGCCGGGGACCTGTAGGCTGCGGGCGGTAGATACCCAGCCGCCAAAGCCAAGGGCAAGAGACATCATGAACCGAGTGGCGTGTAGAAGCATCTTGGCTAGACGGTACGGCATTAAAGTGGAAGAGTAGTAATCCGAACGATTAGAGTCAGAGAAGGTGCGTGGATGGAACGTTGTGGCTGTTGCAGCGGAGGGGGCGAGGAAGACCATTTGATTGAGGCTTCGAGCTGAAGAGACTAGAGGCTGCGAGTGGATGGCAGCATATGTTAGGGTGAGAGGGTTGGTGAGAGCAGCAATGGGTGTGGGGACAAGGGAGTAGGCAGCTAATGATAACAAGGAAGATAGACGACGAGGAAGGACAATAAGAGGAATACGAACGACAAGGGATAGCAGGGTAGAAAGGCATATTGTTCCAAACAAAGTGGTCAGGGCATGGGTAAAGGCAGCCTGAACAATGTCCCGAGAAGTGGGCGAGGGCACAGCATTGCGATGGAAATACCACTGGCTAACAACCGCGGCGGTGGTAGTCCGTTGGATACCTGCAATGACGCCGAGGGACCAGAGATAGACCAGAATAAAGTATATGCCTAGCCACCAGGTACCAATATCAATGATAAATAATTTTTTGGCTCCGGATGCGAGATGGCCGCCGAGGAAGACACGGGTAAACATGAGGATCCATAGCCAACTCCAAAGAGCAATGACAGCTATTGTTGCAAATCCTAGGATAAGAAGCGCTGGATTCGCAGCTAGAATTCGACATGAAAACTCCAAGATACCGATTGCCTTGCCCGTTGAATGTCGGCCCTTCACGACAGAGTAGATCCAGGCTGCGGCCATGATTGCAGGGACTATCGAGCCCCATCGCATGACCTTGTCCTGGATACTGGTTCCATGCCAGGTACCTTTGAAGCTAGAGATGAACGGATATAAAGAAAAAGATATAAGAATAACAGGAACGGCGATTAGCATGGTATAGACCAGAGGCCGAATGTAAGAGCGTAACAATGCCAGCCAGAGCAACGCCACAAATATTGAAACTAAGGTATATGTTCCCAGCAGGCCAAAAGAGGAGTGTAAAGTAGCGTAAATAGTATCTCCAAGGAGGGGGATCTTGGATGGTGGAGTAGTATGAAGGTATACGATGAATGAGGTAGCGAATAAGCCGCCCAAACAGAGCAAGAACATATGACCCCAGAACATGTCATGCATTGGAGGTTCAGGTTCCCCGTATGCCACCGATTGAGGCATCTCAGAAGCTATCGAGCTCGGCGGCCTAGGATTGTTCAACAATGCCTGTTTGTCCGTCTCTTGGGGCATGAATCCGGCACTGGTCTGGAACTCATCATCGCCTGGATGACCTGGCAGTTTGCGAAAATGGCGTATTGGCGGCTCAGCCGAGGCGAATTCAGGTGGCGGGTCATCGTCATAATCTACCGTCACCGCATCTGTCTTTATCGAGTCTTCCAGTCGGATATCAACCATCCTGCCTTTCCCCGGACTAGACGTGCCCTGTGACATCGATCCGTCATGATCTTCATCTCCTTCGGGCTGTTCTGTTAAAGCCCCAGTGCCTGTTTTCCCTGCCGAATCACTAACAGAAGCTTTCCCACGCCATGAACTCCTTATCCCCGTCCCTCTGCCAAACTCATCTGCTTGGCCTGTGCTTCGTTCTGAGTGTTTGCTATCCTCTCCTTCGTCCCCTTCAGAAGACTCTGCCAACCGGCTTGCGCCAAAATGTCGTCTCGATCTCTGCAAAGCGTAAAGATCGGCCGCTTCTCGCTCATCATCTTCCTCCTGGAGCTGTTCGGTAGTGCTGTGGAACAACGGTGCATGGTGTACTGATGACCGAGGAGAGAATGCAAATGTCTGAGAGGTTGTGGAAGAATATGGGTTCCCTAGTGCCCGTTGAAGGTAGGGCCGTGACGGAGGTGGACGGGAAGAGGTCGGTCGATCAGGTCTCCGACTTCGATCCCGGCCATCTCTTGGAGGTGAGCCGTCTCCTGGTGCTATTCGGGACTGTGACTGTGAAAGGAAACGCGACGCATCTACAGACAATCTATTAGCTTATGTATGGAGTAGTTCGGTGAGCAGTATAAGATGTATCATACATTCTGAAAACATAGCTGACTCGAGACGATATATCGATGTGTGGGCGTTAATTCGTGATTTATGAAGAGGGCGATCCAACTCTTCTATAGCAGCAACTCTCCTTTGGAAACAGGCTACCTCGTATCATGAATAGAAGATTGACTTCATGTCAGAGAATATTTAGGGGCTCGAGGGGGAGAATGCCTGGTCTGGTTCAGAGCTCTTCTGGGGTGCGCCGGATGTTATGTCATTTACTATATGGAAAGCGCCAGAAGGTTTTTTTTCTTAAATATACAAGTATCAGTAAAGTTATAGCTCCAGAGTAGGCAGCACAGCACCTCAGGCTCCTCCTCCCAACGCTGATTTCGCATATAATCAAGCAAAAAAAGATCAAAATCAAGATGAAGGTCGAAGTTTCGAAGTTCGAAGAAAACGAAGAAAGCGAAAAATGACGGTGACGATATGATGAGGTAAGCATGTTAGTCATGTGCCTGTCATCAGGTGATTGGCGCTTTTTTTATACAGTAAGAAAAGGAAGAAGAAGAAGATAACAGGAGAAAGATAGAAAAAGAGCTCTTGTGCACCTGAACATGTGCTGCTGCCTGGTGCTCGTTGGTGCCTAGAGAGAGAGTCATCGGCTTGGGTCAGGGGAGACAACTAGGGGATCTCGTTAAGTAGAGACTTCATATAGTCATTACCTTCCACGGCTGACATGAAGCTAGCTAGCAGAGTGAGACAGTTATGGAGATGATATGGACTACAGACTATTAACCACGAAGTACTCGAATAACTCCCAACAGGATAATATCAGCCCTTTTATTCAACATCATCCATCCCTCAGACCGTGGCCGAACTTCCTCTATGGAGCTTTCAGCTTTGATTCGGCCAGTTGGAGTAGTGCAGCGCAACCCATCAGAAAAGCTACAGAGACAGGTTTCTTGTTCTTCCTCGGGAGCCTATATGCCTGGATTCTCGCCAGATACCGCATCCCAGCATCTGGCCCATGTCTCGACATCTCGCAGCATGAAGCATGCATATTGGGTAGTTGGAATATAGACGCGGCACAACGCATGCACGCCATCGCGGCACCTTTTCCGAGAGAACCAATAGCCTGTTCAACCGCATACAAGTATGACCATCAGAGACGGCATTTACATGTCTGAGAAGATTGCCGGGGCGACTCGAGCTTGTCCATCCCGCCTTGTAGGCTGGAAAGAAGTCGAGCCAACGGAGTAAGCCGTACGAGAGATGTCTGAGCCTCTCCCTACGTATCCCAGGGCAGAGCTAGCTAGCTTCTTCCTCTCTCCTCTTCACTTCTATTTCTCTTTCTTTTTTTCTTATGTTTTCTTCTTCTTGTAAGAGGGCGAAATAATGACGTTCGGCAGCAGCCTGATCAAAATAGCGTTGAAAGACAATACTTAGTCAGCAATAGTAGTCATCAGATCACGTGATATATATTCCTGAGTATCTGTACTGTGTATTGAATATCTTCGCTCCATTACCATAATATATCGGATACATAGGTATAGTTCCATAAGCAATATTAACAAAGGCCTACTTGATAACAAGTTATGCAGCGCTTACAGGCCCACGTTTCAGATGTGTGGCACTCGCAGCGCGTAGTTATCTATAACTATCTATTTTAGCACACCATCTCTTGTCCTTAGATACCAGGCTTTCCCTTTGCAGCAGCTAGTCGTCTATATAACTAGTTAACCAACGCTCTCCATAACTGTCATCTTCCTTTTACACTTCTTACTGCTTGACTTGCCTCAGCCAACTTGTTTCTGATAGCTAAACCATCTTGATCTCACGTACACTCCCTTTTACTGCTAACAGCATTTGAGCTCTCCGATGATGGCCTACCCAAATCGGATATCTCGGATTCTACTGACGATAATTCTAGAAGACCGACGATGGCTCAGAATCTAGATGGTGCTGATACCTCCGACCACGGCAAGTTCGTGGACTCGGACGACGAAGTCACGGAGTACTCTGAATCCCCCTATCGATACGCCGCAGGCTCACGCCCATACTACCCTCTTCGTATCGGAGAGCTGCTTAACGGAAGGTATCGCATCGAGCATAAACTTGGTCACGGTGGCTTCTCTACCGTCTGGATGGCTTATGATCTAAAGAGCAAGACGGACGTGGCACTCAAGGTCATGGCCGAGGGCGATTCTGGAGAATATGAATACCGCATGCAAGGAGAGATAAAAAAAAGCGTAAAGAATACATCCGGTCTCGTTCTCTATCAGTCGAATTTTTTCCTTCGAGGACGCGGAGTTGATCATCGGGTTCTTGTGTTCCCTATGCGAGGTCCGTCCCTTGACTCTCTAGTTGGAAGGGAGATACCCATGGCCAGCCGCATGTCGGCTGCCAGACAGCTGCTGGAGGCGTTAGCTAACCTACACGAAAGTGGAATTGTACATCGTGGTAAGTAACCCCTGGTTCCTATTTAATATATTGGATACATGCTAATAGCTACGTAGATATAAATAATAACAACGTCATGTGGGGTATTGCCCCTCTAGGCCATCTCGACAAGGCAGCCAAATACAAGCTCCTAGGCCGGCCCCTAAAGGTAGCCGTACCAGACGAGCCCTGGAGAGAAGGAGAGGTCGTTAAGCCGATAGTGGTCCCTGATGACTTACGGACAGAGTCATTCTATCTCGGTGACTTTGGTCTGGCAATGAGACTTGGTGACCCTACTATCCCGCCAGGTCGACCACCAATTACATATTGTTCCCCAGACCGACTTCACGGCAAGGATCCAAGCTACGCCTGTGATATATGGAGTTATATGTGCGTCTTCACGGAACTCTACGTTGGATTTGCACCTTTTCACACCTGGGCGAAGGGTGGAGTGATATCCACCATGGTCCGGCTCATGGGTCCATTACCCGTGGAGTGGAAGGGCCAGTACTGCGACCCCAGCAAAGTTCAAGATTCGTGGTATGCTCAGGAGAGTACATCTGGACCTAGGGCAAGGCCTGACAAAACCGAGATTGAAGACTTGGTTCTACGTGGGCGGCCCAGAGCTAGTCAAATTGAGCGACAACACGCGATATCCGTCTTGTCCAGGGGATTCAACATGTCTCCCGAACTCCGTCCGGCTGCGAAAGAGCTTCTACAAGACCCTTCGTTCAAAGCACTCATGGATATACATTGCCCATAAGATGAAATAGATTTAGCTCTTACTTCTCAGACGGAGTCCTTTAACGAGGACCTAAAGACGTCTTTATCTTGAGAATTAGCTTCTCATGGCTGATTAAACTAAGACTAGAGGCTCAATTCTTCTCTTTTGTAAAGGATGTCGGTTACATGAGATCTTAATCTTCCGTCTCGCAGATACTGTTTATCTTGGTATAGTGATAATCATTAGCTTCTTGGATAGTGTCTCGTCAAAATCGTGTAGTGAATAAGCAAGCTGTGGTCATAAGGCCGTCTTCCGTTCGATGGGCCGGCGCGAGACATGTACATCTCGCGTTTGAATAGTAAGTATCTCCACCGCAAAAACTTGCTGTAAAATACTTAAAGATACTTATAGCAGCTTCAGGCTAGGCCAAAAGGAGCAAGAAGCCGCCTTTCTCTTCTTCTCGCAACCTTTTTTTCCCCCCAACTTGCTTCTTTTTCACCGGGAATGAGACAGAGAAGAGCCGTCACTTTTCAACGCCGACAAGTTGCTTCTTCTTCCTCCTTCAACTGAAGTTCATCTTTTCTTTTTTAATAATTCTTTCCGGGCCTGGCACTGCTCCCCCGTCACCCGCGGTCGTCGTCAGCCCGCCTTCACCACTCCTGCAGCAAGCTAGTTTACCTATAATATCTAAGCTATCCTTCCCTGCTGTTCGATGCCCAATCTACAACCCAATCTATAACGTCTCTTTTGGCTTCACTTACCCCACGATCACTACCGGATTTCCGCTCGGACGGATCGATAAACCACCCCTTCTTCCTAGGTCCCAGCTGCTCCTCGGCCTTGTCGAGACGGTTTATACCCTCCTTCCAAGAGAAAACGCTGAGTCGGAACCTGTTTCTATGTCAAGCCCACCATGGGATTTCATTGCGAAGCTCGTCTGCATCGGTGACTCAGGCACAGGTAAATCGAGTGTGCGCAAGTCCATGTTCCATTTAACTCCTTTCGTTGCATCTCTCACTCTCTCACTCTCTCACTGTTGTTGAGATATGCTATTACCATGTTGCTAACCCTGCTATTCTCCACAGCTCACTGTCCGCCTTTGCGAGGGCCGTTTCAGCACTACCCATGATGTGACCATCGGAGTAGAATTCGGTTCAAGAATAGTGCCGGTTGGCCCACCAGCGTCAGATGAAATAGGAGTCAACTTCGACGATACCTCTCTAGCATCAACCCCATCTGCTCTCTCACCGTCAGCATCGTTCGCAGGCACCATCAATAACCAGGCTGTCAATAAGAATGGGAAGCCTGGCAGTGAGAAATCCATCCCTCCGTCTCCAAGGAGCCTCTCCGGGCTCCCTCCACCCCCAATCAAGCCTTTAGAACCCCCAGTTCAAAAACGCATGAAGCTATCTCTCTGGGACACAGCAGGCCAGGAAACATACAAATCTATCACAAGATCCTATTTCCGCGGTGCATCCGGCGCCCTGCTAGTATTCGATATAACTCGACCCCCAACATTTGCTTCTTTGACCCAATGGCTTCAGGACCTGCGGCAGATCGCCGAAGAGCGCATCGTGGTCATCCTGGTCGGCAACAAGAGCGACCTCGTCGACGACTCAAAGGGCAAAGAAAGAGATGCTGATAACCCCGACACTAGTGCCGATACTAATACAGATAATGATAATAACAAACAACAGCGTGTCACACGCGAGGAGGCGGAGGAATGGTGCAGGCAGAACAACGTCGTCAGATACGTTGAAACAAGCGCCAAGTCAGGCGAGAATGTCGAGAGAGCGTTCCGTGAAGTGGCAGAACGAATATACAGAAATATACAGCACGGCAGATATGATTTAAATGACCGACGGAGTGGAGTCAAGGGGTACGGCGCCTCAGCTGGGCCGGGAAACGGACGTGTCCCACGAACCGTTAACCTGGGTGTCAACGACGCCATGCGGAGAGGTCATCGTGGATGGACAGGCGGATGCTGTTAACTTATATACCCCCATACATTCTGTTTACTCTATCGGTATCATTTCTGCCTCTGCTGTTTTATTATTACCCATGCATGCATTTACCATTTACATTTACTTTACCCCTTTGCTAGGGGCCTATCTTATTGCTTTTAATGTATCTTGGAGAAACTCGCCCTGTACCCAGCTCCTTTATCCTTTCATTCCATATTCATGGTGTTCTATGGATGAGACTTCTCTACTTTTAATAATAAAAAGCGAAGTAAATTCTTCATCAGCTCTCGTTTGTTGGATTAGTCATCCATTCGACTCATGTTTCCATAGATAGGCCTTTTTTGTCCCGTGGTCTCATGGCCCAAGGTCCCGACCCCGGCATCCTCACTTTGATAATATCAGTCTCCTATATCAGTCTCCATCCTTCATACAGTACTTAGTAACAGTAATGGAGTCCGATTCTGAGAGATTAAGCAGCTTCCGTGAAGGATTCCCTGCCACGTTTGGCGGTTTCTTCAAAGACCAAAGTGGCCGGACGAAGCGGCTCGTTTCTTTGGTTATGAACTCACCACCGGATATAAGGCCAAACACGCGAATCCTTGCAGTCTGCGGGATTAGTGATGAGTTCAACGATGCAGCCAGTCCAAGCAAAGATGGCTGGTTCTACTCTGATTTCTTTGCTTTCCACACCCTACTTCACGGACAAGGAGCGTCCCAGACATGGTGCTGCAGTGACCAGCCGTCCACTCTACTCAACAAGTACGGGCAATATCTGCATGGAAACCCATATACCCAGCGACGTGTGGTTTTGAACGAGCAACTCCTTGAAACCGAGCTGAATGATGTTCACGTCTTTCCTTCTTCAAGTCTTCTTTCATCTTTCCTTGATATCCTGCACCATGAATCAGCCTTAGCTTCCCGGCTAAAGCAGCCTATTATTCTCTTTCTATTTGGCCATGGTGACGAGCTTACGAAATCTGTCACAATTGGAGGCGCCGATTTCAGTAGTGATGAGTCTGGTATGCTAGCCAGCGACTCTGAAAGTGACCTGAATATATCGACAGTAGCGAGTGTTGTTGGAGACAGTGTGGACCTGACTGTAATTTCAACCGCTTGTTTCTCAGGCGGCTGGGCTGTGACCTCAATACTGGATGCGACTGTACCAGCAGCCGCGGGGGAAAATGAGCCTAGCGAGTCTTGGGCTAAAAGCTCTTCGCTCTCGAGAGCTTGTGGAAGCATCTACACGTCAACGTTGATCAAAGCACTTACGAAGGAGACCTCAGATGAACATCAGTACTCATCACAACCAACATCACCTGCTACTGCCACGCCATTGACATACTCAGACGCGCCATCTACCTCAGAAGGGCGGTCTAAGATGTTTGCTGAGTTTGCACACACGGTACATCGGCTACTTTTAACAAGCGTCGATAAATTCGGATACCAGCACAATATCTCCTTTAGTGCGCAAAACGATGACTGGGAAACCCATTGGCGTAAACGAACAGGATTTCCTCTTGTCAATCTCCAGTCAAAGTGGGAGAGCCTAGACGCTGTCCCACCGCGACCATCGACTTCCCTGAATAGAGATCCTCTCGCCGATAACGAAGAGGAGGTAGACAGCACTACACTGGCTGATATTAGGGGCCAGTATGGTTCTGCATCCTCATACCTGAGAGGACTTCGCCGACTTGCCAGAAAATACCTACAAAGCTCCCCTGGTCGAGACTCCCTAGCTCCTAATACTTTGCTTCACCAACAGTGTATTGAACTCCTGGCCGGAAGAAAGGAATTCAGTACAGTAGAACTTAGTACGGTAGAGGCGGCTCTGCAATACCGGATGGGAATCAGTTTTTTAGCGAATCAACTTATAGTTGGTTCCATGTTACCCCTTCCTCAGGGAAAATTTTGTGAGGAATGGGACGAGATTAGCAAGTTCAGCTATGATCCCAAGGAAAGGAACGACCTCTTCCACCGATTGCTTTCTCTATTTCCAACGCCAATTCGTGACCAAGGAGTTAAAGGCTGGGTTAAGCCATATTGGTATATCGTCGCAGCACTGATCGAGGCTGGCCTCTCACCGCACCAAACGGAACATAAAATCCAGCAACTCTTTGAAGGTACGGTATATTACTACAAATATTCTCACATGTTACTAACAATACCATAGCCGTACAAGATATACAACAGACTCAAGAAGACACACTGCGAAGGCACCCCGATATTCAGTTGAAACGAAGACGCTTACTTAAATCATGTGGGAGCTTTCTACGGCGCATGTCACCGTCAAAAAGAGAGGAGAGATCAAACAGCCCGCATCGTACTTGAACCACAGTATGCTCTAGGAGTTAGTGAGAAACGAGGTCTACATATATGACGCAGTCAGCGCTACACCCCTGGTTACTGTCAATGAGATGGGCAACCATCTTATGCCTAGGTTCCCCATATATAACATACATGGGTCTAGCTTCATGGAACATCAGCCCCTTCAAAGCTCCGCTGCTCGTATAGGGAAAAACGGATATAAACATTGCCTACGATACTCTTGTCGCTATTATGACCAATGATCGATCTCCATAAGTCCCCAAGTTACCGAGTGTTTGCAATGCTCCAGCTCCATATCTATCTTCAAACCATTTCTTAACGTGGATAGACCCTATTTGCCATTGTAACCGGCCTAGACCATACACACTCTTATCCTGTCTGCATCTATATCGCCAATCCTTGTTTTCTTCAGCCGTCGCACCGCCAACCGTACGCCCTTCGGCCCCTGGCGGAAGAGTGCAAACATGCCTTTTTTTCTCAAGAGCCTTAGTTTACTATCAGATAGTCAGGTATCGCAACTTGTATATTAAATATATATCCACGTTGAAAGGAGTGCAAACACCCATGGTGCGTCCTATAAGGCTGCCAGTGTCGAATCCTCGTATCCAAGTAGATAATGGTTACTTTCTCATGAGTCATGTCCTGGAGATAACTACAGGCGATTTTACGTACCGGTGCGCCCCACGTCGTAGGTATAAGAGCTTCCCGTAGAGCCGCCATTTCTATTGCACAGAGTAGAAATAAAATTCTTGAATAAATTCCGTTTCTTCCTGGCCTATCTAATAATATCCCGGTTATCTACTTGACCAGCAAATATAGTTCCTCCGTATTTAATAAATCCTCCCCAGACGAACCATGGCAGTGACTTCAGAGGCAGCGATCGAGCCCGGCGAACAATTCGGCTCTTTGATGCTGGATGCCAACGAGCTACTCCACCATCCCTGCTTCCACAGAGTGCAGAGATTGATAAATCTGGCCTTCAGGCGTGACGATGGCGTCGCGGTCAACTCAGATGGTAAAAAGGGTCGTTTCAATTCGCCTGAAGATATTATCCCCTGGATCGGTAAACACGGTCGAATAGTTATCCTGTTCAAATGCAAGACGAAAGAGGGCCGACAGCACTCCTATAGCCACTCCAACGGTGGAAACGGTCATGTAAACGGCAATGGATCAAATGACTGCACCCCCAGTAGTGAGGAGCGTGAGATAGATACCAACGAGCCCGTCGCAACGGCCGTTATCAAATTCTTCAAACCCGACCTTGGAATCCAGCCCATCGAGGGAGAGCTGGACGGTGATATCGAAAAAGGAATTGGTGGGTTCCCCTTCACTTTTTATGTGTTTCTTAACATGTACCTTCAGTGGTGAATTTATACTTGAATATCAAATTGCGATTCCGGCTGGAACATGCAAGAGGGAAAAGCAAAGAAAAGAACCCTAAATAAATGACTGATCATCCTCACAGGCTATGACCCGGAACCCGAAGATATTCTTGCCATCAAACACTGGGAGCCTGCCTGTGTTGCCGTTATGCCGTTTGATGAATCGCTGAAAGGTAAAGGCCTAGCGACTCGCTGTGTCCAGATGCTGGAGGATGATCTTCTAAAGCGACTCGATGCAGCAGCACAGCAACGGCAGCGTGAAACAGGACAAGCGAGCGATACTTCGCCCTTGACTTTGTGGATTCGAACCAGGACCGATTTAACGGAAGCGTATTGGAAGAGAAGAGGGTATGAGGTTCTGAGCCGCAAGTGGTTTGCGAAGGGATGCTGGCAATATGATCATGACTTTCAGGTATCGGTCCTCACCAAGCAGGTCTCCTTGCTGAAGGGGAATTGTATCAAGAACTAGATGATGGTACGAACCAGTGAGTAGACCAGATAATCGAGGCTTTGAAAGCCAAGTGCTTGGTAGAATTAGCTAGGAGCGGACAAAGTGCATTTATTTCGAATTACTATTTTTTTTAGAACCAAAATTTTTTCAAAAAAGCGTTTATTAGAATACAAAATTCCAGTCTCTTACTGTCTTCGGGTGTATGGCGTGGCCTCTCTAAAGCAATTCCTGTCCCCTATTCCATTACAATCATAACAAGATAGTAAAAGCTCCGTCTGAAAGATTTCTCGTTTAGTTTGTGGCTTGCGAATTTTCTCGCGAGTATTAGATGTAGTTGAGAAAATCCAAGGGATTAAATTTGAGTATATGCCATTCCTTTATCGGTTGGCGATCTTCCAGTTGCTTAACCAGTTAAGGCTCTTCCACTGCTCGTTCGATCCTTGCATTCCAAATACGATGTCCTTGAAAACGATAAACAGTGCGATAACAGCGATGTAGAGGACAGAGTAGACGGCCCACTCAACCTTTCGGTTAAGCTTCTGAGTGAACCAATCGATACAGAAAGCCATTGTCAAAATAGCAAAGTATAAGGCCGGGTAGTAATGGTGGACATAGGTAACACGGGCCATAATCATGAAAGGGAGGTAGTGGAGGAACCAGCCCACGACGGGGTAAACACCGGAATAGTGGATGTGGTCGATGTCCTTCATGCTCAGTTCGTCATAACCGCGTTGCCAGCGAAGCAGATACCAAAGAACGAGCAGACCGAAAACACCCAGGCTCAGTGTGCTGCCCCAGTAGACAAACGGGTTTCCAAGAAGGAAATACTTGACGACATTATCATCCCAGGAACACATTCGGAGTCCAACGTTAAGGATTGGCCATTGCCAGAATTTGGATGCAAGGTCATCTTGCTTATCTGGGTCTGGGACAAGAGCATTGTTGGATGTCATCATTGCAACGTTCAGATGGATGAAGTCCTTCAGGAATGGGGACTTGTAAGTGCCAGGTTCACTTGGCGGAACTATATACCAAGGTATGTTAGCATATGGTCATCTAAGTGGCTCAAAGAGCGATACTTACGCTTCTCATTTACGTGCGACTCGATATTCCAGTGAGTATACACGTCTAGCGGCCTGTTCTCTTTGACGCAAGTAGTCTCGATTTGCTTGAAACCCCACTGGGGCAAGCTTACGCCGCCTGCTCTGAGATAACAGCCTAGGACAGTGTGACGTAAACGAAGCGCGGTAGTGAGAGTTCTGACCCTTGACTTATCCCTTGACGAGACATCCTTGGCGATTTCGATGGTCCAGTGATCCTTGGAGTCACCGACAGTGGTGTTTCCGTAGGCAGATACTTCATAATGCGACTTCGTAATCGGGGCAGCGACCGCGTGAGAGTGCAAGTTGCGGCCTGTCTGGGCGTGGATGAGGCGGATAACGTCTCCATTGCCGATAAAAGTGATTGGGCCTTCTGGGTCATAGTTCGGCTGAGTGCGGTTTGGGTAGATGAACCAATCGTTGTTAGAGTCCTTGTGGTGGTAGCAGGTGACTTGCTGTTGACCTGAGCCTTCAGGATAAGTTTGAACGTGAGAATGTAACAGACCACCTCCGTATCCCATGTTCTTCAAGGTGATTTTCGATCCGATGGCAACCTCAAGAGGACTGTCTTTCCCGACGTTCGTACCTCTCAAGTTGGCCTGGAACAACGAGCTCATCTGGGCATCACCAGTGCCGGAATTCTCAAGGACCAGGAAATGGATGTAAAACGAGAACATGTATACCAAGAATGGCACAATAATCAGACCGAAAACACGAGCCCCCAAGTGGTGAGCAAGAACTGTCTATTCATAGAATTCATATTAGTCCAGTAGAATCCAAGGAGAGAAGAAGGGGAATCGTACCTTTGGCATCTTTAGATCGCCAAATTTGTGCCAGAGATCCTCAGCTGTATAGAGTCCGACCAATGCAGTGCAGAACAATCCAACCCATTTAACACTACAGACACATCCAATGCTCAACCCGGTCAAGATAAGCCAGATATACCACTCTGGAGAAAAGCTCTCATGCCGAAGCCGGTGGAATCGTGCCCAGCAGAGAGTAGTAGTAAAGGTGAAGCAGAGAAGCATCGAATCCAAAAGGATGAACCTCGAAATCGTGGCGTATGAGTTTTCGCAAAGTACCATTAGAGTAATAAGCCAGACGGTTGGACGGCGGAATCTCAACTCTCGGGCAGTATAATAAGCCAGCGGAATGCACATGATGCCAAAGAAAGCGTTGAAAATACGCATGAAGGTGTAGTTCACTTCCTCTGGGTATTTTTCGCCAGACTTGAACTCGAAGGACCCGTTATAACCAGCCAGGTAACCCGACAATCCAATGAGCATTTTGCCCAGCGGAGGGTGCACATCGAAGTAGAATTCTCGTTTGATGTAGTATGAGCCGAATTTCCCGAAGCTAGAGGGATTATCATATATTAGCACTCATCCGCCGTGTATATAAAAGAATCAAACTCGATGTCTTACTGGGCTTCATCCCACGTCACGATATCCGAAAGACCGATGCGCCACAAACGGGTGAAGCAGGCGAGAGCCGTGAAAATCAACGGAGCAATGAACACTTCCAGGTCATCGAGTATCTCAAAGAAGGAGGGGGACTGCGGTAGAAAAGTAGAAAACGGTCAGCCACCAACCGCTTTGATCCGGTTTCAAAAGAGTCTGCCATACCTTTTCCGTCAACTTCTTCCCGTCAACTTCGATGCTTGGAATTGGAACATTGGCATTGTTTTTCTCTGCGCCTGGGACGTTTCTCCTTCGTACGTCTGCGTTGGGAGACGTGCCAGAGGCAAATGCTCTATCGTTAGCCGCCATACTTGGGAAGCTAACGAAGAGCCGGTCGGTCGTAAGAGGTGACGCCTTTAACGATGGGACAAAATCAAAGGTATTAAAATTGAAAGTAATAGAAGATAAAAAAAGTGCATCCAAGTTAAACGGGATAAAATAAGTGGTGGTTGAAAAGAAGAATAAGAACCACCACGACTCGTCAAAACATCCCTCTTAACGAAAGAACGAAAACAAACCCTTCCAGCAAGCTTGCAATGGGAGTGAAGAAGAGAAGGAGAATTTTTTTTTTAATGAGAAGAAAGTGAGGATGCGTCTCTTGAGAGGCGTGGTAAGGATTCCAGACAGAGTTGCGGGCTAAGGCACAGCTAAAAAGGGGGCTGAAGCCGGAACCCTGGAATGAGGCCACGTACGGCGTAACGAGGTCGCAAACAAAATAGTGCAAAGAGAACAGAATGAGAAGAATGAGAGAGAAGAAGAGAAATAAAACAGCTGAAACAAGCTATCGAAGGGGCGATGCGCGACCAACAAGCTTGAGAACGAAAAAAAGGTCCGCGAGAAGGTCGTAAGGTGGCCAGTTCTATATAGTCACGTGATGATAGTGAGATGTATGGTGAAAAGAGAGTGAAATAACAAGTTGATAGATTTGATATGGTAGGTATATGAGGTAGAACAGTGATTATATGTATGTATATAGGCTATCAATTTATCCTCGGTATATACATTGGCCTCTAGGGCGTATGTAAGTATGTTCTCTCCTCCTTCCTCGACAGATATCCTCCGTACCTTGAAACCAGCCCAACCCCTGACGCTGAAGCTGTAACATGGACGCTCCCCTTGCTTAAACATACTTTCTCCCAGCAAAGCCCAGAACCGTATATATATTTCCGTGGTGGGTATATGCAGGGATGAAGAAAAAAAGGGAGTGGTCCATGGTAGCGAAGGAGATGCATAGAAACAATGGTGACTCCAAAAACAAAAAATGAATCATGGTTGCCCACGTCTATTCCATTCGCCGTATTATGTTCAAAATATGGTGTGTATGATGACAATATGTTGTTGTGTATGAAGAGGGGGGAAAAAAAATGCTAATGAAGGTGTTCCCATTTCCATGATCCAAGAGGAATATTAGGAATATTGATGAATGTTGATGTTGATATGAAAACAGAAAGGTAACATACATAGGAATAATTCCTCCCACGTGAAACCCAGTTTCAGTAGAGGAGCCGAAAAGTTGGTATAAGAACAGTGTAAGGCAGGAAAATAAATAGAATAATTAGATATGAAGTGTGTGAGGCGGACTGAGAGTGCCTCAAGTGAAAGTGCTAGTGAAGGGTCAGTATGTTGCAATGGAACATATGAACCTATTTAGTATCCGGATAAAGAGAGGTAAGACGACTTGCGGTTACTCGTCTTCGTGCTGCCCTAGTTGGCGATACCGGCCGTGATCACCTCTGTTTTTCTTATCTTTGCCACGGTTAATAAGGCCAGAAATCCACTCTCCAATTCCACCTCCCTTCGGCTTAGTCAGTTGTTCCCCTTCAGCTGCCTTATCGGCGTCTCCAGGCATAGAGCCAGGCCTGGGGGTGGGTGGGCTGAGATGTAGATTGGGAATAGAAGGGCCACCTGTTTCGGGACCTCGTCGGATGTCGAATGACGATGGTGATCCGACACCGCCCATGAGGGAGCCGCGCTCTGCTTGAGTAGCCGGAGTGGGAGCAGCGGATTGAGCGTCACCGAAGATCAGTTCCATATCTTCAAGGCGGACACCACTAGTTTCCGGGTAGAGGAAGTAGACTAATACAGGTTAGCTGCGAAGGTGGTTTTCGTATGAGGGTAGTCTTCTTACCTAGGACAAAACTGCAGGCACAGAAGAAGGCATGCATGAGATAGAGTCTCCAGTGAATCGCCTCTTGCAGCACGGGGGTAAGCTCCCCGACAAGCCAGTTGAATGCCCAGTTCGTGGCGGTACTCAAACTAGCGCCCTTGGCACGGATGCTGAGTGGGAGGATTTCCGGGGGGTAAAGCCATGGTATAGGACCCCAAGAGAACCCGAACGCGGCATTGTATATCATGACGAATATGACAGTCAGGGCCGGGGTGGCTGAGATATTGAGATGTATAAAGTATGACATAGCAGACAGAGATATAATCATAAAGATAGCACCCCATAAGAGAATCGGTCGTCGGCCCCATCTGTCAACTAGATACCATGGTGGGATCGTGGAGAGCAAGTAAGTTATGCCATTAATTCCGGTCATCAGAATAGCATCACGGCCAACCCAGCCCGCAGACTCAAACACGAGAGGAGCATAGTATGAGATGACATTAATACCGTTGAGCTGAGCAAAGGCCTGGGCAGACATGGCAATGAAGACACGCCTGTAGTAGCGTTGGAACATGTCTTTGTATGTTCGTTCTCCTTCCTGTCTGGTGACGAGGACATTGGTTTTGATATCGCGGTATTCCTGTCTGGCCTTGTCATTGTGAAGGTCTCCTTTGCCGTACAGATTGGCAATAACGACCATTCCTTCTTCATCGTGGTCGTGGTCCAGGAGCCATCTGTTTGACCAGAAGTTAGACCCGTTATTAAGGTTATTAAGAGGGAAGTGCTAAAATCATACCGAGGAGATTCACAGATAATCAGACTTCCAAAGCCTAGTAATGCACCCATAACACATTGGAGGAATAATGGAAATCGCCAAGAGTAGTCGCTCTGAATGTAGCTACAGAAGTAGTCAACCCAGACACTGGCTGCATACCCACAAATATTCCCCGTAAATTCAATACAGGCAAGCTGACCCCGGTTGTGGGGTGGAGAGATTTCAGATTGATAAACTGGAACGATGGTAGACAGAGCACCGACACCAAGACCAGCTATTATACGCCCTATAAGCATCATAGGGATACCCGTAGCAAAAGTCTGGAAAGCACCACCAACGAAAAAGACCACGGAGCCGTAGAGAATAGTTCGCCGTCGACCGATTATGTCACCGATTTTCCCCACGAGGAGCGAAGATATGAAAGCTCCTACTTCGAGAATAGCTACCATGGTGCCGATCTCTGCACGAGTCGGCTGGTTGAAATAGTCTTTGAAATATTGGCCACTACGTTTGTTAGCAGATGATGTGCAGTGTGACAGACAAAATGTTACATACGTAATAATGCCAGACATAACACCTTGATCATATCCAAATAGAAAGACGCCTAATGACACGAAAACGCTAGTAAAGTACCTATACTTCTGTTAGCCTTTCTATACCCAAAGAAAAGGTAAGAGGAGACTTCTAAGAGAGGGGGGAAACATACAACAAGGGCTTGCCAACGAGGCCATGGGTTTTGGCCCTGCCATCCCGTGGCGACATCACGGAAGCTAATAACCTCTCTACTCTGGAGATTGTTCTTGGAGCTGGCTCAGGTATGCGGATAGCTTCTTTCAGGTCTCCTTTGTCGACAAAAGGGGTGTGCTCCTCCCCAGCTTCGTCTTCTTCGTAACGAACCCGTTTTGGCTGAGATGTAGAACCGTTTTTTCCATATACTTGAAGGTCGAGAGACCCTCTTAGTCGAAGACGTAAAGGATCTTCTTCGTCAGCAAGCTGGTCTGCAATATCACCAGAATCCGACCAGATGGAGAAGTTGGACTCTGACGGGGTAGGAGAAGGGGTCCTCTGGTTACCCTGTCTACCGCGTTCGGAGTCGAAAAGCGAGGAAGACTGTTCGGATGGGGGCCGGGAGGTTTGAATAGACCGGAGAGGTATGGAAGCGGAGGAGGTAGACGGTTGAAGTGAAGAAGGAATTGTGGCGGTTAATGTCAGGGCTTGCCCTAGGCAGCCCTATGATCTGAATAAAAGGAAAGGAGACGTTATATAGGTGACAGGGGAGAAAGAGGCGGAAGATGCCAGGTCAGGTCAGCGGGTCCTTTCTGCAGTTCGATGGGGACATGGAGAGAAGCGTAAAACGTATTGTAGCTGGGAACCAGATTTTTGGTTAATAGCAATAGTGCACCCGATGACCGACAGGAAAGTAGAGAAGATGGGCGTGATCTTTTTTTGACCCAAAACGTTTCCACTTCAGGCTGGCTGGTCAGGCTGGGGCTAAGTAGATCGGTTGGCTGTGAAGGAATGCTGGATGCCAGCCGCTGGAGGTTGATTTGACTGTCTTGGGACTTTTTTTTTACACTCTTTGGGTCGCTTTTTCGGTCGCTTTCCATTTCTGGGGAAAGATGACGGGGTCATGTGCTGCTTAGTCATCCCGCCCTCCCCACATAGCGGAAGGGGACCGTGTGTTGCACGTGATATGCCGGTTGGAGAAGTAGAAGCAGGAGAAGAAGAAGAAGTAGAGATGATATGGCAGGATACCGTCCCATAATACCCACAGAGGCATTTCCTCCCACAGGGTAAGCATTTTTTTTCCCAGTCTTCATTCTTCTTCCGCAGATGTTCGTGAACAGAGCTGATACAAAATCCGATAGGGCTCTCCGCCGCGTCCTGCCTGCTGTTTCTGTGCCTGAAGTGTACGGCTGGACTCATGATAACGGTCAGGTACTCATGTATACGGGGCTCATACGGTGTGTTACTGTTGATGTCGGGGACTCCTAAACCAGGCTGAGAGAGAAGCTTGTGAGCAGCTTCATGATATGATTCTAGAGCTTCGCAAATTGTGGCATACACTGGACGGGTTTTTCCTCAGCAGGGTGCCCTTATAAGACGGGTCCTACTCTCTGCTTACTTTATGTCGAAAAAGGCCATATCAACCGTGAGCCCCTTTGTGATGTTTTTGGCAGTGGAACCTGCTTCTCATTTGAAAGACAACACCTAGATACTTAAAAGTCCCAGTGCTCCATTAATGGAGTTGGTCAGCTCCCTTCCCAGCCGCCCTCCAAAATCAACTAAAGATGTATCCGCATTGTTACTATGTATTGATCAGAATATAATGGCCTTTACACTCATATAATATCGTATGAATGTGATTTAATCCCTACTATCGACACAGAATAGCCTCCTCGGACTCAACATGAAGCAACAAAGCTGAATTTATATTGAGTGTAGCCTAATCCCACTAACAGTAAGCATGGAAACATTGAATAAAATAGAAAGAGTGACGGCTATTTCGAGCCTTGCCGTATGTGTTTCCTTCTCAGCATCCGCCGAGGTAAACACGGAATGACGTCGTTCCCACGCTTGGAAAAAAAAGAAAAAAACAGTGTGAAAGAGGCTTCATGGTGTGGCTGCAAGTTTGTATCACCATCAGTCACCATGAGTCAGCCTGAATAATTCATTACCCATTGAAGAACTCCAGCTAATCATACAGAGTAGACAACGCACAAGAGTGCAATATAAATACGGAGAAGCGACCTAGGTGAACAGTTGTACGGAGAGCAACTGTCAAACCAACCCCTCCAAAGATACAAGATATATGCCCATAATCCAGCCCGCAGGAGAAAAGCCTTCTATAACTACATCGTTCACCATGTCTGAGACTTCCAATCGCATTATCTTCTATGACATCGCCATGCGTCCGCCCGTGGAGAAAAACTGCTGCTCTCCAAACCCCTGGAAAACCCGGCTGGCACTCAACTTCAAGGGCGTTCCATACTCGACCAAATGGGTGCCACTGCCTGACGTTGCCAAAGTCCGCAGCAGCCTCAAAGTGCCACCTGTTCGCAAATTTGCTGATGGCTCTGACTTCTTTACTCTGCCTATCATCGAGGACCCCGCCACCAACTCGTCTGTCGGCGACTCGTACGATATCGCAGTATACCTGCAGAAAACATACCCAGACTCAGGCGCGGGAGACCTTTTCCCCGACCAGAAGCTCGACTACACCTTCACACCTGATTCTGCGATCAAGGTGCCGCTCTCAGACTGCCGCGAGTGCGGGTTCCCCGAGTACGCCAGGTTCAATGTGAACGTTGACGCAGCCTTTAGCGCTCATGTGCAGCTTTCGACCCAGGAGTTTCCGTTTGACCCGGCTACAGCTGAAATCAGTAAGGCTGAGTTTGTCCGGCGCGCTGGTGCTTCTTCCTGGGACGACTTTGCCTTGGTCGGCGAGGCCAGAGAGAAGATGAAGGAATCGTTCCGGAAAGCACTCGGCGATCTGGGTAAACTATTCCAGAAAGACACCAGTGGGCCTTTCATCCTTGGTACAAAGGCTACCTATGCGGACTTGATGGTCGGAGCATGGCTGCGGATGATGCGCGCGACTTTGCCGGTGAATGAGTGGGAAGAGTTGAGAAGTTGGCATGACGGTCTATTTGGACAATTGCATGATGCCTTGGAGATATATGCGGAGGTGAAATAGGGTGACATACATACCCCATACAAAATTTATGAGAAGGAACTATATCTAGTTAATATTATCATTATGCTGGTTTAAATCTCGGGGACAACGACGGGTTGTCAGGAGGTTAAATAACGTTAAGCTATAATAACGTGAAGCTACTAAATATTTGACTATAAATAAATACGAGCGGCGGGTATGTACCCTTTGAGACTAGGATCTGAGTCAATCATCTCCAGGTCTTTTATAAATATATAGTAGGGGCTATATAAAGGGCCCTACCTCCTGCTCGCTTTCATCAAAAAAAAAAAAAAAAAAACCACCCCATAGCTGAAATGTCTTCAATAAAATTCCTTCGCCTACCACTCAGAGGCTCTCTTTGGATCCCGCAAGTCCGGATCCAATCGCAAATTCCACTCTCCAGAACCCCTTATCTCTACGGTCCCTTGTCGGCGTCTACTTCTACCTTCTCTACGCGTGCAATACTATTTAATGCAAAGAGCCCTCGTCATGCATCTTCCAACCCTAAATCCAACACAGAAGATAACCCGTTTAGCACTCCATCGGTCAGCTTGGAGTCGCTTGGTATTGGGAAGAATATGAAAGTCTTCTTACTCGCAGTCCTATGCGTTCTTGGGACTGTCGAGACATGGTTTTGGTGTAAGGCTATATGGACCTGGTGGAAGGGAGGCGAAAAGAACGCAGAGGCTGAATAGGGGGAATTGGTGCCCGATTGGTGGTGGTATAATGTACGAAACTATGGTTGTATGTGATTTTATACTCCGCCTTGACGAAATGGAGTATACAAGAGAGCACGCCCAAGCGCTGCATGTCAATATATAGTTACGGTCCGGGCCGTCGATATATCTTGGCATTTGGAGCAAATATTCAAAGAAAATGACATAATTCATCTCCTTTCTACTCCCACTCCATATGCCTGGGTTGATTTACGTATAATGTATCAACAAAATTGAATCATTTCAATCCTGTGGTTCCACAAGCCCTGATGTATAAAGAAAGCATCTTCTTGAGCAAAGTTGACGCACGGCGGTACTCCAGTGTATGTAGCAACTTTCGGATGCATAATTTCGTCTCGAGTCCGTTTCCTTGTCATATGCTAGTAGTGAAGGCACGGGCAAGGCCGTTTTGCCCTCAGTTTCCAATAAAGCTTCTGGTATTATGTGTATCTAGTAAAGACGCTCGTGAGTTAATAAAATAGAAAGCCGCCAAATATAATCAAGAGAGGTGAGTTTTCAGGTAAGGATAATATCGTATCCGTCGAGTTGTATATGTACAGCATCGGTGGGCACACCGTACTTGCGCCGAACTAGCTCAAAGATGATAAGGCCAGCACTGGTACTCGGAAGCTGGCGGAGAGTGTTGATAAAGAAGCCTCCATACAACCACCTCCGCCAGCCACCTATCCGTCGTGCCTGGCGCTGGCATTTCTTGAATGTCTCCATGTATGCGTTTGCACGGTGTTCCATCATCTCTCTACCCGAACGAGCATGTCGGATCCGTTTATCAAGATGGTCTAGGTTCCGATAATATATATTCTGCACCAGGCTGAGTGGGTGGAGAATTGCTTGCTGGAAGATGGTAGCCGTGATCCCTGCCAGCATGAGAAATGCGGGCTCTAACGCATAATGCGGTTTAATCACAGGAACCTCACCAGGTTGAGTAGGAGAGGATAGTTTCTGGATGGAGTGCGCCTGGAGAGAGCTATAGTATCGAGTGATAAAGTGATAGTACCCTTGGGCCTTGACGGTTTCGAACAAACTAAAGAACAGCGCGGATCCAAGGCTATCTTTCAGAAAGGACAGTGTCCAGCCGGAAAACACACCTCTGACGCCGAGTGCTTGGAGTTTATCCTTGCCGTAATGCCAGGCGCTACGGTACTGACCGTTTATCATATCGCTAGTCCTTGAACGGGCCTGTATGGCGTCCAGGGGTGCTGCAACGACAGATTGGATAGCACCGGCAGCAAAACCAGCAAAAAAGGTGACTGACGGTGATGGAGGTGGATAGACCCGTTTACCGCCCATCAATGTAGGCTCATGCAGGGACCCAAGGATTTGTAGATAGGAAGTATACAATATGGCTCCGACTCTGTTGTATATGACATTAGACCAACCAGGCGAACTTGACTACTGGTGTTATTAAAACTGACCCGACATTCGCTACTAATGGAGGAAGAACCTGACATGGTATAAAAGCCCAGCCCTGTGTTTGAACAGCATTTGCAAGGAGTCCTGGGGTAGTTGTCTTCCATGACCATCCACCAGTCGTGACTTGTGGTCCGATTGCTTTGGCCAGAGCCTCCAGGCAACATTTTAGCAGTGCGCATTTTCCGATCAGGGGAGCGGAAGTCATACCATATAGCTACACAAGATGTGTTAGCAGCATTCTAGGGGATATATAGAACGAGGAACTACTTACTCAACCCTTGTACGAAAGAATGCCTTCACCGGAGTTCTAAAGTAAAAGGCTACAGCTTGTGCACTTACGGCACGCATTCCAGCCGCAGAAGCACCGGTTGCCGCATTTGTCCTGGGCTTACGACGTCCGGCAGTATCGCCATCAGCAGCTTCTTCGTTTCCTATGTTGATATCACTTGGTTTCAACTGTGCTGGGCTATCGGTGGGAATGGACATGGTTGTCATGCGGGCTCGAGAGAAGATCCATCGGCAGGGAGGCTTTAAAGGGGGAACGCTCTAAAGATGAAGGACATGTCGGTCTATCTAGAGAGAAAAAAAGGATATGCTAAGATATACAAGGTCAAATGAAAGAAATATCAACCACGCGAAGAGAAAGTCATCTGCTTCTTCTGCTTCATCATCTTCTCGCTTTTTCTGCTTGATGACCTTTAAATCAAACAGTGCAAACACACTTACCCGCCGCTAACCAAAGGCGGTTAGATTAAAGACGCGCTCACGTCTCTTTTCTAAAGTGAAAAAGAAAGTCGAAAAGGTCGAAGAAAAGACATCAAAGTCGAGCATCTACAGCGCAGCTCGCTCAAGCAGCTCGTCGATATAGTAAACAGATAGCGGATGAGCTAGTGAACTGTTTTCGTCGGAAAAGGAAAGAGAGAAAAAGTCGAGTTCTTTCGATACCTTATCCGCTTCTACCTTTCTACAGCAAGCTTGAAGCTATCCAGCTCAGCCTGCGCTCGCATCACCAGTCCTCTCCGGAGGCATAACATCAAACCATGGGCGACACTATCAAAATCGACAGTACAGCCTTCTCGAATCGCCTTTCCAGCTTCTATTCAGCATGGAAGGCGGATAAGAGGTCGGGAAACCAGGTCTTTGGCGGCGCTTCATCGATCGTGATCCTCATGGGCAAGACTGAGGACACCAATTCATTCCAGAAGAGTAATGCAATGCATGTGGGTATTTTCGACTACTCTTGGGGCTTGTCGTGTCCCCTTATGAGGCGGTAGACTCGTACTGACTATGTATAGTTCTGGCTCCTTGGTTATGAGTTCCCTGCTACCCTTTTCCTCTTTACCACTGAGGCGATGTATGTGGTTACTACGGCAAAGAAAGGTATAGAAAAGAGACTGTTTCCCCTTATCGAGTGAGTATGTGCTAATGTGTCGATTTTTCTCCAAACAGCCAAACATCTCGAGCCACTACAAGGCGGCAAAATTCCAATCGAGCTATTAATCACGTCCCGCGATGCAGAGCAGAAGACAAAGATTTTCGAGAAATGTTTGGATATAATTAAAAATGCCGGGGTGCGTACCTGCGCTTGGATACCACTATTACTTTTCGCAGCTCTAACCTGTGAAATATAGAAAAAAGTTGGAACCTTACCGAAGGATACCTCATCCGGCCCGTTTGCCGAAGAATGGAAGCGAATGTTTGGAGATATCTCAAAGGATGTGGAGGAAGTTGACATCAGCCCCGCGTTATCAGCTCATGCTTTCTCGGTTAAAGGGCCAGAAGAATTGGTCAGTGGTCATGTCATATTGGCTAGGTTTAAGTACACCACTAACTGAATATATAGACATCAATGCGGAATGCTGCCAGAGCTTGTTCTGGCTTGATGTCGGAATACTTTGTGGACGAGATGTCGGAGCTTCTTGATGAGGAGAAGAAAATGAGCCACAAAACACTGTCTGGGAAAATTGAGGCCAAAATCGATGATGCAAAGTTTTTCAACAAGCTGGCTAAATTGCCAACTGGATTCGACGCGCAGCAGATTGACTGGGCTTACGGACCAGTTGTCCAGAGTGGTGGCAACTATGATCTCAGATTCTCTGCCACCCCTGATGATAAAAACCTATCTCCTGGTATCATAATTGCAGGGTTTGGTATTCGTTACAAAACCTATGCAGCAGCCATTGCACGAACATTCTTAGTCGACCCTAGCAAATCTCAGGAAGCCAACTACGGCTTCCTCCTCGCCATATACGATGCAGTCGTGAAGGACATCCGAGATGGAGCCGTCGTCAAAGATCTGTACAACAAAGCGCTGGGCATGATCAAAGCAAAGAAGCCAGAGCTGGAAAAGCACTTTGTGCGCAACATTGGTGCCGGAATTGGCATTGAGCTGCGTGATGCTAACATGGTCCTTAATGGAAAGAATACCAAAACACTCAGAAGCGGAATGACGCTGTGTGTATCTATTGGTTTCACAGACGTTACTGACCCGGACCCTCAGGACAAGAAGAATGCAGTATACTCAATGGTAGTCACTGACACAATCCGTGTCGGTGAGAGTGGCCCACTCGTTTTTACAAAAGATGCGGGGATTGACATGGACTCCGTCTCGTTCTATTTCGGTGATGAGGAGGAAACCCAGAAGCCAAAAAAGAGCCAGGGCGAGAGCACGAGAAGTAGCACCATTGTCAGCAAGAACATCATCCAGACGAAGCTGCGAGCTGAGCGTCCAACCCAGGTCAGCGATGGTGCCGATGCGCGTCGGCGCGAGCATCAAAAGGAATTGGCTGCAAAGAAGAACAAAGAAGGCTTGGAACGTTTTGCTGGTACCAAGGGAAACCAAAATGGGGTTGCCCAGAAGACTTTCCAGCGTTTCGAATCGTATAAGCGAGACAGCCAGCTTCCTTCTCGCGTTAAGGACTTGATTATTTACGTTGACCACAAAGCTGCATCAATTATTGTTCCTATTCTGGGGCGCCCCGTTCCTTTCCATATCAACACTATCAAAAATGCTAGCAAGAGTGACGAAGGAGAATATGCTTATCTGCGTATTAACTTCTTGTCTCCTGGCCAAGGTGTTGGAAGGAAGGATGACCAACCATTCGAGGATGCTTCCGCACATTTTGTGCGAAACCTTACTCTTAGATCCAAGGACCATGAACGTTTTGCTCAGATTGCAAAGGATATAACCGAGCTTAGAAAGAATGCCCTACGACGAGAGCAGGTGAAGAAACAGATGGAAGATGTTGTGGAGCAAGATAAACTTATCGAAATAAGAAGTAAGTGGGACTTCATTTTTTCCAATCTTATATCTTATTGATATCTAAGTTACTGACTGTTTGACTAGACCGCCGACCAATTAAGTTGCCGGATGTTTACCTTCGACCACAACTCGACGGTAAACGTGTACCGGGAGAGGTTGAAATTCACCAGAATGGTCTCCGTTACCTGTCTCCTCTCCGAAATGACAATGTTGACGTCCTGTTTAATAATGTCAAACATTTGTTCTTCCAGCCCTGTCAACATGAGTTAACAGTCATTATTCATGTCCATCTTAAGACACCAATTATGATTGGAAAGCGTACTACTAGGGATGTCCAATTCTACCGCGAGGCCACAGATATGCAATTCGATGAGACTGGCAACAGACGCCGAAAACACCGATATGGAGATGAAGAAGAATTCGAGGCTGAGCAAGAAGAGAGGAGACGCAGAGCTGCTTTGGATCGAGAGTTTAAGGCCTTTGCTGAGAAGATCTCTGATGCTGGAAAGGATGAGGGCGTTGATGTTGATATTCCATTCAGAGAAATCGGTTTTACTGGTGTCCCTCACACTTATCGATCCAACGTCTTGATCCAGCCAACTACTGATGCAATTGCACAACTAACGGAGCCCCCGTTCCTTGCGTTGACTTTGAGTGAGATCGAAGTTGCCCACTTGGAGAGAGTACAGGTAAAATCAACCGCTAAACAAAATGTCGAAAGATGATGAATGCTAACATACACATAGTTCGGCCTTAAAAATTTCGATCTCGTCTTTGTTTTCAAAGACTTCCACCGCACACCAATGCATATCAATACCATCCCTATGGAAAATCTTGAAGGTGTCAAGGACTGGCTAGACTCCGTCGATATCCCATTCAGCGAAGGCCCTCTCAACCTCAGCTGGGGTGCTATTATGAAGACTGTTACCAGTGACCCATATGGTTTCTTCCGCGATGGTGGTTGGTCATTCCTCGGTGGTGATTCAGACTCTGAAGGAGAGGATGAAGAGGAAGAATCAGCATTCGAGATTTCCGACTCCGAAGTTGCAGAAGATGAAAGCTCGGAAGAAGAGAGCGGCTATGATGACGACGATGCCAGTGATGAGAGTGAGGCAGCAAGCGATGACGAGAGTGAAGAGGGTGCTGATTGGGACGAGTTAGAGAAGGAAGCTATTAGGAAAGATAAGGAGGCTGCGAGAGCAGGGTATGAAGACAGGGAAAAAGCGAAGAAGAGAAAGCGTTAAGTCACATTTCCCTGTCTGCTAATACTCTCAAGTGCCTCTGATCATGTTCACACGTTTGAAATTTTGCTAGTGGTGCCTTTTACGATATGCACTACTTGTTCGTTTTCCACTTATCGTTGTAAAACAGAAGGACGGGAAGGGGCAAAGAGCTTTGTTATCTAGGTTACCAATATTTAAACGGCAGCTTTGGCTGTGTTTACAGTAAGATATTGGTATTCGGACATGTCGCCCTCCACAGGCTTCCTTGATCTGAGCAACGGGGTTGGTTGTAATGTTATCCCTTCTTTACCAGCCACACAATGCGATATGAGGTAATAAGAATAGTGTTCGCTGATCACGACGGTGGCACCATCGGGCACAATGTTAGACTCGGCCTTCTGTATCGATGCACACAACAGGGCTCTGCATTGCAGACTCTACGCCCAAGGCTATATCAATATTATGCAGATCAACATTGTTAAAAATAGACATAATCGAAAGAGTAAGACGCCAAAAATAACTTATATAAAAGTAACACAGCAGCCCCGATCAGTCCATACCCTATCAAATCCACCCTCAATGTGAACTAAAAGAAATTAAACAATGAAGCAGCAAATGGGGGACGCAAAAAACTGGTATAAATGTATTCAAAACAGCTTTTCTTTCAGCTAAAGGTATCTGGTAGTGGAAGAAGATGAAAAGACGATAGATAACATATGTAGGAAAGGTGCTGCATCTAAATTGGCAGGCTGGAAAACAAAGAGACATAATTGAGACGCCGATAAAGAGTTTTACATACATACATAACAGGGGATAATATAAAGTAGAGGAATGGGTAGCATATAATAAATTAGCCTCGTCTTCGGAAGTTGAAGAACGATTTAGGGGTTGTTGATGCTCCTGTTGCTGCGCCCATGGAGTCATGCTCACTATTCCAAGTGAGATAACGATGATCACCAAGTTTCCTGGAAATTTTGTTAAATACTATAACAGCAGTGGGTAAATGAGAATGGGATAATGCTGACGTACCTTGGTTTAACTAAATGAACAAAAGTGAAGATTGTTCCGAGCAGAATACAGATTCCACCAACGACCACGTATGCAATTCCCAGGAAAGGGTTCTTGCCTCCCATAACACTTCGTGTAGTGAGAACAATAGATTTCGTGCCTCCAAAATAATTTACGTTGAAATCTGTTTGTTCGTTAATGTGAGCATGGCACAACAATGGAGAAAGAGAGATGGCCAAGGAACATACTGTCTTGAATATCAATCTGATACGACCCAGCTAACATACGCCCCGTATCGTTTCGTCTCGCTAGCTTGCTGAAAGTTGGAAGGCCGGCAGTGCGCATCCAAACTTGTAATTCCTCCCATTCCTGGACATTTGGTGGCGGGTTCTTTTCAGTATATCCATCCGGATATCTCTTAATCCAGTTTGGAGGAGGGGCGACTTGGTCAAAGGTATATTTCGTGGGTTTATAGAGATCTTTGTCGGATGCCCAGGAGATGCCCTTGTTGGTCATCCTATATGTCTCATTCCCGTTGCTATCACCGCTCCCAATACGTTTGGGTTCCGAGAATGTATCGTTGAATACGGAGTTCGCAATCAGGCCACAAGGGTAATATGCCTTGCCGCTGGGATCAAGCCGGAGAGGATCACAATTGCCGGTTCCAATGGTTGAGTTAGGCACAGCAACACCTTTCATCTGGTCCAGGTCGAGAGATTTGACATATCGACGATGGTTTTGGTAGAAGTTGGTAAGGCGGTAGTAGAGATAGACTGGCGCGCCTATATCATTTGGTATATTGAAAATAAGTGAACAGACAGTTGTGTTGATATGGACACCGTTATCAAGAGTGACATTAACATTATCATTCTTATACCACTGATAAGGCGTATCTCCTTTTGATTGGGTTTTGAAAGAGGCTCGAACATTGCTCGTGGCATCTTTGGCATTGTCCTTGCCGACAGGTGCGTTATGGCAATTGGAATAGTCGAATATTAGCTCTTCAACCTATGTTGCGTTAATTCTGGGCCTGTATACTGCATCGTCGCAGGCGCAATCATACCTGCGAACTAGCATATATCAACAACCCCCCTATCGGTGCAAATATGATTCCCATTATAAAAAACAAAGGCAGGACAGTCTTCGGTGTTAAAATTGGCCTAGAAATTCATAAGTCAACAGGCCTAAAAAACTCCATTTCTGGCCTCCAAGCGCCCACATCCAGGAACCACCTACTGCCATGCTTTCAATCGTTGTTGACGAAAAGCCGTATCTATAAACAACCAATGCCATGGCCGCGCCCATCCGGTCAGCCCTACTCACTCCTTATTTCATAAGGGAAAGGGGGGTCGAAGGAAGAGCCCTCGTAGGGAGAATAAACAACGCACTTGCTGGCCTTCTACTCTTCTGCTTCTTTTCATTTTTATGAATATTTGGATCCTGCGCCTCGAGCGAATCCGTATGTGTTAGAGTCGGCGCCATCACGGCTGTTGTCGACTATACGTCACGTCGAGAAACTTGTTCGCCCGTGCCGTTCGAGATCAAGATATCGCTTCCTGAGTAACTCTGCCGTAATGAGGATGGCCTTAGACAGAGGCAGCTCTCTCTGTGCCAGTCGATCGCCCGTCTCTCTTTCGATAGTCGATGTCGCTGTCGCCGCCTTGTCGATAACCATCTGCTTCCTCGTTTACAAAGGCCAGAAAACGTCCGACTTGCCTTGCTTGGTAAGTTTGCACGTCATTTTAGCTTAGTCAGTACCTCAGCCTGGTGATTACGTACTCTCTGCTTATATAAGATATATGTTCTATTAATAGACATCACAAGCACAAGGCTTAGATATTATGTAAGCACTAAGTCCCCGTTTGCAGTAGCATATTTTACTGCATATTTTACTGCATATTTTACTGCATATTTTACTGTGGATGATCGATGTATCTATGCATGTATTCCGTCAAAACCACCGTTGCCAATGGTGTAAACTGAATCCTTCATTAATATTGAGAAGGATGGATTGCGCTATTATTTGCGCCCAGAAATTCTTAATTATTTGTAATTACCGTCGACTGGACTTGTGAATTTCTCTGAAAACTATCATGTTGAATTGAATGCTTCCTCCTTCTTAAAGTAGAAGGGATAGCCTGAAGGAACGAACGGAGGAGGCACCTGTGCTGACTTGTATATCGGAGTACACTGGTTCCAGATCCTCCTAGAAGATCTAAAGAACGATCAATCTAGACATGCCCTAGGAAGATACACAAACATGGTGCGGGCGGTCAGGAGCTACCGCTACTTTATAGTGGGTTTCTCTCGTGGCTATGGGACTTTGACCATCTAGGCGGGATTGCATTGGAGTAGTTTAGGATCTAATGAAGAGAGCCTTTAATTCATGTTAATAATGACTACTTTATCCACCAATGAAAGAATATAGCAAAGACTGGAGAAATCACTGTCCCCAGCGAGATTACTACTGGTAAGACTCAGCAACTCACCAGGAACAAGTTCTAGACAAGTCGTTCTTATCTGGGGCTCCAATGCCTGGCCCCTACCGGTATGGGTGTGGGCATATTAAGGGAATTTTCCAAGGAGCTTAGACTTATAGTGTGCTGATAATTCAGATACATAGAAGCCTGGCTAAGTACGAGGTACATTATCACTCTTGTCGTAGTTGTAACTGTAGTATTTCTAGAATGCAACCCCCAGTATAGATAGAAAGGAGACGATCTGAGCAGGCGAATGTAAGTCCGGACTACAAGACGACCTCATTGGGTCTTCAGAGATGGGCAAACACCAATTCTCAGTGGGAAAAGTGTTCTCGTTTCGTCTTGCCTGCTATGTGATATCTCAATGGCTGATGGATAAACAAAAACACATGAAGGGGGCAAATAGGGAGTAAAAAAAGAAAGAGGAAAGCAAATAGCAACCACCCGATACCAAACCACCGATCCGATTCCCGTATCTTCCTCCCAATGAGAATGATATGATGCTAGTTCCCCATTTGCCATTGCAATACGTGCGTCAAAAGAAATCAAAGAAAAGGAAAGACAAATGTGGTATACTGTGCTGTGCATGCTGTGCTGAGAGGATTAAACCGACGACCAGAGTGACAAAAGAACCGGCTACATGATGTGAATAGAAACCCGAATCAAAAAGGCCCAAACATGGAAATAAAGGAGGAGAAAACAGAGAAGGTAGGAAAGCAGGGGTGTCGTAGATAGAGAACCCAGTGCTGCGGCCAGATGCATCGGCGTCGACACCTTGATACCGTATAGGCCAGTATCGAATATTTCGTGTATAGATCGCAGAAGGTGAACGCAAGGAAGGTTGTCGTCGATGTCAAGGTGGGTCGGGGAAACGTTAGTCCAGCTAAGGCCATCCCCCCATAGCCGCCGCACTGGGTCGAGAGCAAAAAACTTTAACGCAACATCTTCAATTCCAACATTCAGCCGGCGCATCGCGGAAATGACAAAGAAAGGAGACAGTACCGAACGCCGATGGGTCATGATCGAGAATTCATTCTGGTATTAAAATGGGGATAAGTGCAAGAAGGGAGATGGGAAAGTAAAAAAAAAGGAATAGCTTGTCGCCGGCTCAGGAAGCGGTAAGTGACAAAGACGCGAAGAATGAATGGGGTATTGGGATGTGTTTCAATTTCATGTCTCAAAATCAAATGCTGAATTAAAAGGAAAGGAATAGGCAGGCTGAATCAGATATCAATCTGATGGTGGAAAGCAAGTCAAGTTTCGTTATTTCGTTTGTCGTCGTCCAGGTCAGGTCTAGATGTACTGGAGGAAATGCTCCTCCGCCAACCATCCGACTCTCTCGTATGCGGTCCATAACTTGCTCGCCTTGTTGACGTCGATCTTACACGCCTGCTGAGCGTCCGTTTTGCGGAACTCTTTGCCTGCTCGCAATGCGTTGACTCTTGCCTCGAAGATGCGGCGCTTACTAGCGAGGTAGCTAGCACAAGAGAGGCGTAAGGTGGAAGCAAGGCTAATCTCTGCAGGGTCAAGGGCATTTCGGTCTGGGTCAGCTGAGAGATCGAGCAATTGGCCCTTCCAGTCGGCCTTGAGGCCCTTGGTATTGCCGCGGAGGGTCTCAATGGGTGGACAGAAATTAGGAAGCAAGCGGTAGTCTGTCTCGTCACGGTTTGCACCGATTACACGGGTTGGCTTGGGCAACTGGTCGAACGACTCTCCTGGCTTTGACTTTGGCGTCGACTTGGGGGTGCGTCTAGCCCGTGATGGACGAGCAGGCCGGGATACCTCGTTGGAGGAAGGAGACGAGCTGCTGGGCCTGCGTTTTGACTGTGGAGCAGGAGCCAAGGTCTTGAGTTTGCTGGTCGACGACGGCACGATGGGTCGATACTGCTTCATCATGGACATCTGGCGGTCCAAGCGTGCTCGTTCATCTCTGGCATACGCGGCTGGGTTTGCATTGTACTGTGTGGTGACCCAGGACCAGAAGTAGAGATACTCATGACGGCTTGGCGGTTGGATCTTCTCCGGCAGCTGGAGTTTGTATGAGTTGGTGGCGATGTGTTCGTCAATGCCAGCGACAGTGGCCTCGTCAGAGCTGAAGAGTGGCTCGTCGTTCGGGATGGCGGTAGAACTCTCATCAGAGCGAGGGAAGAGGACGGGATCCCGGCTGTTGCTGACCGTGCCACCCTCTCTATCGACCGGCTCGTCGTCGCCGGTACGCTGTTTCTTGTTCTCGACGTATGGTGTGACGGGTGGCGATGGCAGATCCATCATCTCTGACTGCTTTCTTTTGCGATCTTCCGAGATTGGGGGTAGTTTGTTTTCTCTTTCGAAGGAGGACTGCTGTGACACGCAGGGCGAGAGGGTTCGGTTAAAGGAATCGTGGGGCTTTGGCTCTGGAGGAGACATCAGGCTGGCGACGGGTGGTAAGCGATTCATGGTGTGCACGCCCTTGTTCCGCATGCGTCAATGGCCGTCCTTGATCGATTTGCCTGAGAGATAAGAAGAGGTCTTGTTGTTGCGTTGAAAGTGGTAGATGCCGCTGTTGAAATTACGCCGCGGACGATGATGAATGTTTGATGGAATGGATCGAGAGGGAGAGGCGCAAGTTGAAGGATAAATACAATTATATACCCAACGGCCAGATGGACGGCTCGACCCAAGGGCAGGTGGAAGTCAATGGAATATTTGGCTTGGCAAGTGACGGAAGGCGAGGATTTGTCAGACAGCGCTAGTCCGCTTTCGGGCGGGTCTCGTGTGGCCGTGGCGAAGGCGTTACGGGGATAACGTAAGTCCGAAGGCTGCAGCGAAAAGATAAGGCGCGGCTTTATGTCGAGAAGGGCCGGAAGAGAAGTATTATGAAGAAGGGAGGAAGAGGGAAGCAAACGGTGAAGGAAGACGGAGACTTTATAAGCTGGTATCGACCCAGCAAGTGACCAGTGACTGGTGACCTTTTCTTTTGACCTTCTTGGGGCGGGGAGAGCAGGCGAAGCCGTGGAATTTCTGTTGCTTTTTGGTATTTGCAAAAAATTACGGGCGCTGTATTTGCAATACGGCTTGCTTAGCCTCCTTTTTCTTTTTGAGCTTAGCGAACAGCTTCTGCTTAATTCTTCTTCTTGTTCCTTCTCCCCAACACAAGGTGCGCTTCTTTGGTCGTTCGCCGTTTGAAGAGGGACTTTTTGTTTGCTCGCGGGAGATGGTTTTTTTGTCGTTGGGTCGATGAGTTTGTAAGTTTGATCAGGCAGCGGCTGTTATCGATAGCGCGTAGCCTTAAGACCATAGGTGAGTGGACGAAGAGAGGAGTGAGAGAGAGAAGAGAGAAGAGAGAAGAGAGAGAGAGAGAGAGAGAGAGAGAATCAATAAGAAAAAGAAGAGGAAGGAAGAAAGAATATATATAACCAGTGGAAATGTTCCTTTATGCCTGGTTCTCCTCTTTGATCGGACCATGGATTCGCTCAGCCGTTCCCTGATAAATATCTAACTAGCAACTGCCCCTTCACACCTGGTTGATGTGCTCTGCGCCTTAGTCGAGTGAGTTACCACCACGACGGTCCCAGGCGGCTAAATCACCTTCATCACCGACCTCTCACTGGCCCATCAGTTGAGACCAACAAGTCTAACACTGCCTAAAAAAGGCGTAAGAAGAAAAAAGAAAAGAGAAAACCCTCCCCCCAGACGGAACGCCATACTCCGGCCGTACCAGAGATAACATATGTATACGTTCTGCCCTATGTAACGCAAAATAGACCCATTAATACGTAACTAAAGGGGGCGCCAGGCTGCCGTCAGTTCGCTAGTTCAGTTCTCACTGGGTGAATCAGTCTGGGGGAATGTGTTGTGGTCTGATTGATCAATTGAGTCAGCCAACCCATTGACTGGCCATTGACTTCTTTTTACCCCATTGACTCTGACTGCCCATTGACTGCCTTACAAAAAAAACAACATTGTCTCTCTCTTTGTGCTGGCGAGTAAATAAGGGTGAAGCGAGAAAGCAGAGTAACAACGCCCACCCCTTAAGACTCTAAAAAAGAACGCCCCCTGTCAATGTCTTATTGTCCCGTTTGGTCGACCCACATCCGCCTTTCTTTATTTTTTTTGCTTCAGCTGGGAGCCTTGGGAGGGAGAGGAGAGCCTAGATGGGAATGCGGCTGACTGGGGTGTGTGTAAATGCATCAGCCTGGCCCTTCTGTATCATCATTCTATTATTATTTCCACAGCCCTCACCACCGTGCCTGTCCTACTCGATAATTAGCAATTGATCCAGGCAGCCATTATGTACGTACATAGCAAGTCAATTGATGGGGTTCCCGTCTTGGTCTCCTTTCGCTCTCTCTCTCGACTCTCCATCCTTCTTAACCCATGTAAGTCACAAGCCGGCCGGTGGAGAATGGCAGATGATAAGCGAATTAACTTTTGTTCTTATCGGTCAGGACATCATCTTTAAGATGGGTAACTCTGCGCATCTGTTAATATCCATCCTCTAGGCCCCCCCCCCTTGACCTGGTGTATGTAGACGGTGAAGAGGAGGCAACTCCATAATACGTGTGTAAGGGGGACAACTGTGGATGTCGATACTCCGTTAGTGACCTGACTGATGCCCAACGAAAGGTCTTCCTCAATTGACTAATCGCCGTAGCTGACACACGTCTCTGGCACATCTTCTCTTCAGCTTCGCCTTTCCAACGTTCCTTATCTTCTCGCTATCATGACCCGACCGTGTGATGCCGCCTTCTCGTCTCGAGCGCCCTTCGGAACTGTCATCTCGTCGCCATTATTGGTCAGTCTTCCTCTTGGGGGTGGGAGGCACAGCGAGAGGACCAGAGTTTCCATGCATGCATGCGCCCGCCCCGCCGCGAACATGTACAAACACATCTCATCTCTCCCTTTTTCTTTTTTTTCCCGCTCTCTCGTTTCTTTTTCATCATCTCATCGTCCTCTTCTCCTCCTCCTTCTTCTTCCTCCTCCCAACTCTTCTTCTTCTTTCCCCTGCAAATCGCGGCCTCCTGCCAGGTCGAACCTTGGAAACGCGCGTATCGTTACCGGTAATGTAAAATACAGCGCCACGTGACTCATCCAGTATCCACGGACTTTTTTCAAACAAGCCAACGACGTCATGGACTTTTTCTTCCAAGGACATGAAGAGCAAGCAAGGCAGGATACGGCAACTTAGCCATGATGAAGCAGACGCGCCGGAGGGTCGGAGCATCTCTCTGTCTGTCTGTCTCTATCTTCTTGTTTGGCTTGTTTCCCCAGCATGGCCCGAGTTACAGGTTGAGTTTTGCGGGGTGCGTCCAAAAAACAAAAAAAAAAGGAGCGGTCCATCCCTAGTGCTTGCTCGCCCCCCCTGAAAATAAAAAGATGTCAGCTTAGTTACCTTATTTTGTTTTTTCTTTTGGGCTGGTTATCGATAAGGGGGAGACATCTTATCGATAACTACATCTACGATCAGCGACCAGCTCGGCTTTTGCTACGACTGCCTCTACAGTTTATACCACGATGCACAGCTAAGCGTGCAGAGGTGTGACTGAGGACTGAATAATCAGCATACATGGTACTCCTTCTAATCAGCTTAGAAGGCCAGAGTCCGGCTCATGATGAATAACAGCAAGACATCAGCTCGTCTTCAGAGCGATATAAAGCGATTCCTTTCTTCACATTGTCTTTGAAGCTCTATATCACTATCAGCAGAGAAAGAAGACGAAGACACGGTTCACGATGCATTTTTTAGCTCTTGCACTATTGTCCATGGCCGCAGTCGGGTTGGCAAGGCCCAACCCACAGATCTTTGATGAGGTTGCATCGAATAAGAACATTGTACGGTTATCTTCTAGGCTCCGGGTGTGGAAGACTACTCACACGCCCATCTCTATAGCCATCGCTTGCCACCGTGTACACCGGCCCTGGCAACTGTTCGACTGACAGCTCTCATTTTTCGGTCCCGTTTGGTGACTTTGGCCCTGGGTGTACGTCTTTTTTGACCAAGGCAGGCGGTAATCACAAGTGAGTATATAATAAGTACTGTTGTACACACACAGGCTCCCATGCTAATGAGAGGCGTCAGCAAATCTATCTCCACGAGCATCGACCTGACATGCGTTACTTTCAAGTACGCTCCCCCCTACTCTCTCATTATATCATGGACTAACACGCCAAAGGGACGGAAACTGCTTAAATGAAATTGAAACACTCGTCATGAAGCCTACTGAGTGCCATAACTTCTCACCAGTTGTTGGGTCTTTCAAGTGCTTCATGGGGGAACAGACGTCCATGTATCCTTAGCAAATATCGTATTTACTAGCGGTATCAGTAATCTCTTTTCTTTTGCCGTTCTTATTCTTAACATACCACGCTATATCCATATACGATCAATATCATCTGTGCATCTCCCATGATAAAAATAGAGCCGTGATACATAACAGACTCCCACGTTTGTCCTCTGCTTCTTTAAACCAAGCAAGGAGATACAGAGCTTGTACTCTATACCAACGCTAAACTACAGTGCAAGGATCTATGATCTACGAACCAGCGGTGCAGCCAAGGGGACCGCGGGGGCTGTACTGAACCCCCAACTGGTACTCCCGACATAGTAAAAGGCCTCGAGCCCAGTCCGTATATACTCCGCCCTTCTGTCTCTACCATCTCAGCCTTCCGCATAGACATCTCTACATAACATGGCCTATAGTAATCCACCTGAATAACCCCTTCACATGCCTACATAACACCGATACCATTGACTAATCACATGAACCGGTACAACAATATGCATACCTTGTTCCTGATCCAAGAATCCATAAATTCCAGTTTCCTCACGTCTTACAACCAAGCCAAAAAAGCAAATATATGCCTATATTCCTTATTCCCCTCTCTCCTCCTCCCCTCCATCGCCCGTCCTCCAGCCAATAATGGCAGCCTGGAGGACCGCTCGTTCGCTACTCGCTGTCTCGTGAAAGAGTCAGGCGCTAGCTGATCCCCCCTCCCCTTTCGTCTTTGCCCTTGCGCTCCTTAATTCGGACTCGTCCGCCCGGGAAGACTCCGCGTGGACGGTCACTCTCTCGATAACACGACGTACGACGGCATGCGAGCGCGGATGACCAGAGCGATGGTGAACTCGTCTCTTGCACACTAGCAACAACTAATGCGGCAATAGGCATGGATGGTGGCGTATCCAGTCGCATCACGCATCCACGCTCGAACCCAGAACCATCCCCCGGTCATCTCGTTTCTCCGTTTGTATTGGCCCCCTCCCATCGATACAAGGTGTTTTGCAAAAAAGAAGGGGAGGAGAGAACACTTGATGACGCCGTAAATAACTCTATCACTCATCCTGAGTCACGGCCCCATGCCTCGAGCGACGTAGAAGGTCGACGTCTTTTTCTCCATAATCAACTTAATTCGGTTGGAATTGTTTGATGCTGCCTAATATGAGTAACAAGTTAATATACTTGCAAAAGGAGGAGCTTGTTTCGTCCGGTATTACCGGGAGCGAGCGAATGATGTGCAAGTTGCAGACGTCATCACGCATTATCAACGTACGACGGAAGTATTTTTGGATCCTCAAGGAGGTATTAATATTAGTTAATTGTTTTTTTGATATCGATGTTTGATGCTTGTTAGAGAACTTCTCGGGGGTAAGGGAGGGGGGATAGAGGATGCCTGCAGCGACTTGCGGTCTTTTTGTATTTATTTTTATTTTTCTTTGCTCCAACAAGGTCATTCTCAGTTCCATTGCATTCGGGATTCAATTCAATCAATTGAAGGGAAAAAAAACAAACCGCTGCCTACGAACAAGATTTGTCATCCGGATGGAATGGTCTGTCCGATGGAGACGATTGGGCCTCCGAAATTTTGGGCGTTGGCAAGGGGGATTTGAAATGAACAAGTGGCGCATCTTCAAGGCAGACACGATCTCGAACTTGATACAAAATTTCTCAGGCTGGGCCAGGGTGTATCTTGCCCCCCGTTTCCCTGAGTCAATGCTGATTGAGAAAAGTCAATGCTGGTAAGGTGATAATATACAGATTCCATTGAATAATTTGGAAGCCAAACTGGGACAGCGCTGGGCGAGTGGGGAACATATATTTCAAAAGTATTGTTACATGGTGATAAAAATAAACAGAAGATGGGCCCATTAACAGTGTCGACCATCCTGAAATGGCCATGCCTCATGATAGTCCAATTGCGGTTCGGACTTGCTTCATCGTAATCTCTGCGTTGGCTGACGCTTCTTCTGCTCCCTTCCGAGCCACCATGCCCAAGTAGCTCTCCTTATCCGATGACCCGGACAACGTCACCTTTGCATCTTCCTCCATGATTTCGACATACCGTTCTCTAATCGAGCTTAACATCTCAATAAGCTTGGCAGCGAGATCCTGCTTGAATGCCTTGAAGCTAGTTGACTCATATTCCAATGCAATCTCGGACGGGGTTCGTCCTGAGCCTGATGGTCCAGCTTTGATGGCTTCAGCATGACTGAACATTTCCAGCAGATTAGAAACTCCCGGTCTCTTCTCCGGATCGTACGTGATGGACGAGCCAGGGTCAGTGAGCGCGAGTCGAATTTTATGATGAATCTCTATCGGTGTATCGGTAACCAAGATTCTGGACCTATTGTCGACGTCGGATTTCGACATCTTCTTCTTCGGGTTCTTTAGTGACATTACTCGTTTGGCAGGAGCTAGATACTCTTAGGTTAATATATACAATATACATCGTAGTCACCCCAAGCAAAACTCACAGATCATTGCCTCCGGGACAGTAAGTACAGGCCCGTGGAGGTGGTTGAAGCCGTTGGCTACTTCACGCGCAAATTCAATATGCTGCTTCTGGTCTTCTCCCACCGGTATGTAATTTGCCCTAATCGCCCTTCATGGTCAAATACGTCCTATGACAATTTGGTATACCACGAAACGAACCTGTGAACGAGGACATCGGCTGCTTGTAGAACTGGGTATGAAAAGAGGCCTAGTTTTAAACGATCGCGCGCAGCAATATCAAATTTGGCGTTTTCAGGGAGGTGAAGTTTACTCTACTCATCCAAAGGGTTAGCTTAGCTGGGTCTCGATTTCTAATCCCATTGAGAGCCTGGGATATGTTTTCATACCTTCCATTGTGTCATCCGGGATAAATATCCCATTGATGAGTTTGCGCTTAAAATCCACATCAGCTCTGAATGCGCCGGCACCTATATTCCCTCGGAATCAATTTTATTCTCAGCAAGCCTATTCTGACAAAAAACTGTCTTCAGACTTTAAAAGCCGAATGCATAACGAACATCAGATTGATAGAATAATGTAGCTCTCTCCGGCTTAATCCCTATTGCTAAAAGCACAGCAAGAGATTCTTTCCGCCATTGTCGCAATTCTGCCGCATCTTTCGGTAATGTGAGGGCGTGTAGGTCGACAATCGAATAAATCAGTTTCGTATCTGGCGAGGAGGTGTTTTGTAGGTCTACCCAAGCACGTAGTGCTCCCAGGTAGTTACCGAGATGCGGAATACCAGTGGGCTGGATACCGGAGAAGACGATGGTATCCTTTGACTGTGCCGATTCTGGCGTTGTGGAGCTGTACCGAAGCCATTGGGGGTTGAAATTAGTGCGCCTCGAGCGAGTAGATGATATATAGTGTCTGTAGCATCTCAAAAGAGATTTCTGGGGAGCTGAGGTGGACATTCTGAAGTCTTGTCGTCGGTTTTTAATATTTGAAGCGTTGAAGCTTTGGAAGAGCTTCAATTGTCACGTGGTAAGTAACTAGTCAGGCACGACCTGGCACTTGATATTTGATAAATGAGTAGATAGTTGATAGATGAATAGTTATGTCATTGGGAGACTTGTACTTTATTTCCATAGTTGGAGGTTGTGACTCTGAGATAACGAGTGGGAAAATGACAGAAAATGACAGAAAATGACCAAGAAAGACAGTTTGATAAGTATACAGGTCCTGATAAATGATCTAAAAACAGCCAGCAATAAACACGGCAAACCATCCTATATCGAGTGTCATATGTTACAGATTAATAGGCAGTAAAGGAAGAAATAAAAGTGCAGTATATACGTGTCACCCCTTTCGTACCTCCGTGAGCGGTGCGGCGGTCCTTGTCTGTGTTTCTCTTTCCAGCATGCTAGCAATAGACTCTGGGAATTCAACGCCCTTCTTTGCTCCAAATTGCGCAAGTTCCGCATCAAGAGCCTTCTCGAGACTTGCAGCGGCCTCGTCCATCTCTTTTCCAACATCTGTAACATAGTATTAGCATTAAACCAAACCCTAACAAGGAATATAAGGATGAATGACATACCTAAGGAGGTATGCTCAAACACATTTGCCTTCATACCCACGCCATGGAAGGCGTGCTTCCTCAAGAAGGCCAGCCATGCCTGAACACTCTCTGGGTGACCGTCCTGGAGCTGTATCAGCCGTCGACATGTTATACGTTCAAAGTTCTCCTTGCTCTTCTTGTGGACAAAGGGGCTTCGTATGACCGTCCATCGTTCAACTATACGTGGTAATGGTACAGGGCCGCTTGCAGGAATATTAAGGTAATAAGCGGCGCGGAGTGCGAAGTCTGCGAAGAATTCAACATGGCGTGCACTGTAAGAACGGAGCTGCAGGTTGCAAACTGGTAGACCGTATTCTGGTTTTCGCTTAAGGGGTTTCATGTACGCTGCCTGAACTGCTTTGGGCAGGCGGAATTTGGACTTGTAGACTTCTAGTCGGTCGTCCCTGGAAAATGATGATGGCTGGGTCAGCAAGACCCAGACCTGCCGGAAGAATGCGCAGCTGCTGGCGGCATATCCTTGGAAGTCAGAACAACCGGGCTTACCATTCTTTTGGATCAGAGGCTGGTTCAGGTTCGGTGAAAACTTCTCGCCTATTTGCATTTTGCTGGTTAGAACATACCTGATGCTGATATAGGGCGCCGGGGATAGCAAGCTTACTTTATTTCGGGAGTTCCGGACTGTGATCCCGCATTGTTCTTCTGTATAGCTGATAGGAATTCTGGAGGTATGTCGGATGAGGATGTTGAGAGCGGACGGAAGAGATTGGTGACCTGCTTGAATACCGCAATCAGCCATTGAACCGCCCCGATCACTTTGTAGAGGATAAAACCTACCTTAACTCGCTTTGTGGCCCCTAGCACAGAGCGGAAAGAGGACGGCGAGAACATCATAGGCGTGATGGCTGCTTGTTTACTGTTATTTGGTTGCGCTTCGCTGCGTCCATCGACTTTCTTTGCTTAATGATTTTTCCTACGCAAAGAAACCGTGAATATTACATAATCAACCAGGACTTTCAGCCAATGAGAGTGAAGTTCTACCTGAACTACTTCGACTTGCGGGGAGCCGTTAAAAGTCGTTTCACGTTGAGATAAAATATAAAAAAACCTGTTTGCCCTTCGTTGGAAGAAGAAAAAGCCCGTCTTGCTCCTTTTTTTCTTAATTCGGAGACTCACGCTCTGTTCGGAGTCTATAGAACGACCAGTGTTTCTGAGCATAAGACTAGTTAGGCCTTGGGAACAAAAAATATAATAATGGCGGAGGCATCTGCTTTTGAACAGGCACAGGCTGCTGTAACATACCTCAGGCCTCAGCTGCCAGAGACTCTCCAGAGACCTCGAATTGCTATTATCTGTGGTTCTGGTCTAGGTGGCCTCGCAAGTACCATAGATCCTAAGACAAAGTGCGAATTTGACTATGGCTTGATCCCAAATTTCCCTACGTCTACAGGTATGTAATAACTGTGTCCCTTTGTGCGCTCCCCCATCTAGACATCCTGATCTCAAACGATATGATATACTATCTAGTTCCGGGACACTTGGGAAAACTTGTCTTTGGACTATTAGGATCTAACGTCCCGGCTGTGTTGATGGTTGGGAGAGCTCAGTAAGTTCTATAACCTCTGATCATATGCCTAGGTTGGGGCATATTCGAGAGGATCAAGATGTTGACGAGTACCAGCTTCTACGAGGGCCATTCTATGCAAAAGGTCACGCTGCCAGTACGGATATTTAAGCTCCTTGAAGTCGAGACGGTGGTTGGTAAGAACATATATAAGCTCAGAAGGTAACATTATACATTGACTATTCGGGCTAACTGTGGAATGGCAGTAACAAATGCGTGTGGAGGGCTGAACCCTGATTATGCAGTGGGAGACGTAGTCATACTCAACGATGTGTGTCTCTTCCAGCCTCAGACAAGTTTGGAATATCTTACTAAAAATGTCTCCATTGCAGCATTTATTCCTTGCTGGAGTTTCAGGGGCACACCCCCTGCGTGGACCAAATGCTGAAGAGTTCGGAACCCGTTTCCCGCCACTGTCCGATGCATATGATTTAGAACTGCGCCGAACAGCACATCGGGCCTGGAAGAAGGTTGTGCCCGCAGAGTCAAAGCGACGCATCCATGAAGGAGTATATGCATACTGTTCTGGCCCAAGGTGAGGCTACCGATATCACGTGTCTGTACCTAGAAGCAGAGGGCTAACCGAATTTGAATCTTGCAGCTTTGAGACTCGAGCCGAGTGTCGGATGCTGAGAATGTTGGGTGCTGATACGGTTGGTATGTCAACGGTACCGGAAATCATCGTGGCACGGCACTGTGGGATGAAGGTGCTCGCCCTGGGCTTGGTTACAAATAACTGTGTCTTGTCACCAGCGCCTCGTGGTGATGACCGTCTCCTTCAAAAATCGACGGTAGAAGAGCTCAACGTTATTGTTGATGAAGGCAAGGCCAACCATGAGGAAGTGCTGGAAGCTGGCCGAAAAGCTGCGTCAGACATGCAGGTACGCAGCACTACAACCATCCCACTAAGCAGGCCCAATGACATGTTAGCTAACCTTGTTGCCCAATCCTGTAGAAACTTGTCTCGCAGGCCGTTGAGGACATGTTCGCTCAATGATCGGCGAGCCCAAAGTCCTGGCGTTGTGAACCAGGCTGCGGTCACAGCCATGAAATAAAAGTCTTAGATAGACAATGGAATGCAACGACTTCATTTCATTGGCCTGGCTCGCTTGGCCTTTAGCTTTTTGTAATATGCCTTCTTCCCACTGGTCTTGGCTTCCTGAATTTCGGCATATTTGCGCTTGAAGCGGCCGCTCTCCTTCTCTGCAGCCATGACTTCTTCTGCAAAGTTCCTTTTACGATCCTTCTTTGTGATTCGCGCACTGAAGAACTCTGTGGGCCCTTCGATGATGGTACCAACCTGAGAGAACTCGGGTATTTTCGCCTTACCGTTCTCCTTCTTGTAGTGGCGGTGAGGATCAAGCACAGATCTCATGCGAAGTATCTGAAGGTCCCGCTTTAACTCAGGCGTGACTACAGTTTTGGGCAGATTGAACCACTTTGGCCCTGAGTTTGGTTTTTCCTTATTCTGTGCAACGGCTCGTTAGCATGGTATCCAGCAAGTGTTGTCGAGATTGTAAACAGTTGTAAGTTATCGAGCGGTATGTTCAGAGTAACTATGATTAAAGGAAGCTTTCATGGGAGCAGCATAGCCCAAGACGGACTACTAAACCTGCATCAAGAGCTCATGGCTTGGGATAATTTTTCCTCATAACGAGCTCGGGAGGGAATGATAGAAGGAGAAGCTGAAAGCTTACCTTGACCAACGGCTGTTCCACTGTGTGGATAGTCTCAGCAAGCTTCTTTGTTGACTCGGGGACCAATTTGGATTTATCGATAACAGCAATGCTATTAGACTGCTGAACATACGGCTGGATTGATTGCGTATGGTTTAGATTCGGAATTCTGCGGGATATATTAGTATATAAAACGTTGCATCATAACATATCAAACGAGTACACACCTCGGCCGTGATGCGGAGTCATCGACCTCTCCGGTAGCGAGGGAGATGACTCCATCGTCATAGTCCTTTTTGCCTGAGCTGTGAGAAACCTTCTTCAACCTTGTTTCAGCTTCTAGCAACAGACTCTGGATCTGTTCTTCGGACAGCTCCTCCTCGTCCTTTTCCTCCTTCGACGCCGGATTCATGATCACCACTTCAACAGCCATTATCAACCGTCCTTTTGCAGCTCAGAGAAAGTCTCATATAGCTCAGCGGGCCATCCCTTTCTCTTTACCACCCCTTTTCTTATGAGCAAAAGAGAGCTTTTTTCCTTCTGTTGATATTATGAAGAAGAAAAAAAAGGGAAATTTTTTTCTTGCGCGAGTAAAGTTAAATAAGAGAAAGTCACGTGATAAATTCATATAATTACCCGATTAGGAAGAAATCAACTTCATTTTCTCTTTTTCTTCTTTTCTTCGTGCTTTTGTTCATTTTTCTTCTGTTAAGACGAATACGCCCCGTGGCAGACATACACGGAGTATATTCGTGGTTCTGCTGTTATCGATGAATGTGCCGTGAACGACCAAAGCGACCACACCATCTGATCGCCTGGCTGCATGCAGGTCCTTTTTTGCGCCCAACTGTCCCAATAACAACGCATGGAGCCCCAGGGGGACCCGAAGAACGACCGAACGTCGAATACACGCGACGCAGCACACGATTGGAGATAGCCTCAAGAAGGGCCCTTGGGAAGTCTAGCAACGCTTCGTTGGTGCTTCATTGGCGCCCAATCTTGGGCGGATAGGGCTGCCAAGGGGGCCGACAACGCATCCGATTCGAGGACCAGTGGTGTCGCCGGAGACTGTTTTCCAATCCTTGACAAGGCCTGCAATCCATGATTGGGGCTCTGGGACGTGTTGTTTTGAGAGATGTTGTTCGCTATGTAGAGATCTAATCTGTAGATGTCATCGAGTGCTCATCTCCCTGTTACACCGAGAAGCAGGTACCTGCGAGAAATACACGTAAAGCATTCTCTATACTTATTATTTATGATACTGTATAGTCATATAATGCTGTTTTTTTTCCCTGTCACTGCGTAGATAGGTAGCATCTTGGGCTCAGCTTTTTTTTATTAAGCTAACTACCCTAAAAAACAAGTCGAGCTTTCTCACGGAGTGACTTACTCTTCTTCTCTTCTTCCCCCTAAAAAAATAAAAAAAACTAACCCTTGCATCTCGACAGAAGAAAAGAAAACAATATCTCAGCTCAAGGCGCACTTGACGTCTTCCCTTCCTCCCTTCCGCCTCTATATAACACTATATATCTAGCTCGAAGGCGCAGCCTCCCGTCTCTTTTCCTTCCCTCTCTCCCCACCCAACACGGTAACACCCTCTTCCCTCTCTCCTCGAGGTCGCGAGCTTTCACCGCCACTCGATCAAGTCTTCCTCAATCCCAATCTGAGCCCCTTCTCCTCTCCAGACTGTTGAGGCCGTCGTCTTCCCTTTAGACAAAAAGCAGGGAAGTCGAAGAAGCAGAAGAAGTGCACCCTCTTTCAACAGGATATACACAACGGAGAAACGACTTACATATGGAGCAACAAAACCAGGCTGCAGGCCAGCCATCGCAATCTGCTCGTCAGAACCTCATGCACCATCAACCAGCGTCATCACAGCCGCAGCAGACACAGCAATCGCAGCCGATATATGACACTCGGAATGGAGGACACTATGGTTAGTTTCACTGCTTCTTTGTTATACCAGTACCGGGGAGATACTAATGTCATGACTTCTCTAGGCGCAAGCGCAGCGGTATGTTAAGAATGAATATCTCCCGACATTCTACCCCCCCACGTACACACGTTTTGATCAGCAGCACTCCATCGAAGTTGCTTTTCTGTGCTTGATATATATATGAGAGCTTGGGCACTAATTGGCTATTGATGGGATCAGCTCTCTGCACAAGGATACGCGCCTGTTCCAGAGCTATATGCAGGTACATGGGCAAATGTAGGAAGTCGCATAGGTGCCCCATCTGTCTGGAAGTGCGCTAACCGTTCAATCATGGGGAACAGGTCAATCAAGGCCTCCAGGGCTCTGCGCGTGATATCTTGACTACATACTGGCAACATACCATCAACCACCTCGAGTCCGATAACCACGACTACAAGATCCACCAACTACCTCTAGCACGCATCAAGAAAGTAATGAAAGCCGACCCGGAAGTGAAGATGATCTCAGCTGAAGCTCCCATCCTGTTCGCCAAAGGATGTGACGTATTCATAACCGAACTGACCATGCGCGCCTGGATACATGCCGAAGATAACAAACGACGTACCTTGCAACGATCAGATATTGCAGCTGCCCTGGCAAAGTCAGATATGTTTGATTTCCTGATTGATATTGTCCCAAGAGAGGAAGCTACTTCTCATACCAAACGGTCAGCTCCTCCACCAACTAGTGCTGCTCAGGCGCCAGGGCCAGGCCAGATGCCCCCTCAGCCTCCTGGTATGCCACAGCAGCATCCCATGGGCCCTCCAGAGTACAGTACTATGCAGCATCCTCTTGGACAGGAACAGGACTACAGGCAGCCTCCAATGTACGGTGGTGCAGTACAGTCTGACCCGGCATACGGGCATCCCCAACCTCAGATGTTCGGAGAGATGTATGGGTATTCTCAATTACCCCCTCAGCAGGTGAGTACCTCTTCCTTATCATCTCCCTGTTTGTATCATACCTAACAAACATCCTACCATCTAGTAATTAATTCGAGCAATCGGTTGGACCGCATATTGTCAGCCTACCCCCTCAAACTTTCTTTGAATCAATGCTCTACATACCAAGCCGGTGCAATATCAGGTAGAATCCAATGCGAATCGAAATTGAATCGCTCTGTGGGATTTACAGACAGGAAAATGGAGCTCCTGGTGGGACAAAACCTTAATTATATACGTTTTATTTTTATGACCTGTCCTTCTAGCGGAACCTCCTTCATTTTTGATACCTTTTGACACCCGTTGACTGAAGGATGGGTTGTTATTGAGTTCTGTCTCTTTTGCCAGATGCTATCATTATCATTATCACTACTTATCCCCCTCTCTTAAAAATTGGTATCAATCGTGCTTCTCCCCTTTTCAATTATTTATTTACCCTGTCCCACCCAAGGCTTATTTTTGTACAGTTTCCAACATCTCGCAAGGGGAAATTAATAGCAATGCAAGGCGGGGGCGTCTCAAGGTAGTTTCACTTTGGCAGATATATATAGTACATAATGATGTGTATATTCAAAAATGCCCTTAAATCACTCCCCGGGAGCCTGAGCCGGAGTTCAGTACTTCTTCCCAAATCGATTTGACAGGCTGAATTTACTATCTGGTTTGGTTGGGCTTTGTACCGCTCTAGAAAGCCTATGCGCAATTTATTGTAAGTATCCACTGCCTTTTTTTGTAAAGAAGTGCCACAGGAGGGGGTGTGTGCACACATACTTTTCAAGTAAGACTGGTCCATTCATCGGGTCAACACGTCCATACTTCTTATTTCTCACCGCGATATCATAATATTCATCGGTGTTCTCGGCCATCATCAACTGAACAGTTTGTTGCAGTTCGTCAAGATTTTCACGCAGGATGGGGACTTCCAGGCTGTCGACGAATTTAGATAGGTAGTCCGCATCTCTCGCCAATGCCGCTACTCCGTTGGGATTGATTACTTTGACTTCAGGGTCTAGCGGGAGGGCCTATCGTATGTGTTGGACAAGCACAAAAATGAGAATAAAAGGAGGCCCGGAGATGGTGGGAAGAGACTTACTATAACCATATTGGCGACGTGACTGAGGGCATCAAAATAGATCAGCTCCTTGATCTCTGTTGGCAAGCCCAGAAGCGTAGAGTTCATAATATTTGACAAAAATCTCGTCAACGTCTGCATATAGTTACTTGGTTCCATCTGCAACTTCGGCGCATTCCAGTCATATTCTGCTGTTTCAATGAGGTCGTCAATTTTTGAGTTGACAACTTCAAAGATACGCTTTTCGGCTGCTTTCTTGTTCATTCGGAATTTTTCTGTCGCATTAAGAGTGATAGGGCCTTCGCCAGAGTTAGGTGACCGGGCTGCTGCTAGGAGTACCTCGAGCTCCTGACAGGCGATTTCGAAATGTTCCAGGTTAATGAGAATCTGGACTATTTGGCCAAGGTATTGAGATCCCAGACGCTCCGTGAGCATTTCGCATACTATGTTGCAGAGGAGCTCATCTAGTGACTACCATTATCAACTTTTGGTAAATGCTGCATTCCAAGGAAGAAAATATGGAGAGAAGTATGGACGTACGCTTCGGACGGTTTCGTCTATAATGGCTGGATGATCAAAATTGTCACTAGAGAAGTAGTAAAACTGGTTCAAGAGATTCCTAATATCGATGCAGCATAAAGGATACATCTGTGAAAACGGTAGAACACAAGGATACCTACGTTATAGTTAGAGGCTGGGCATAATGAGACGAGATATGGGTATATCGTACGTTTGTTCTTCTCGTGGTTTCTCAGGAGTATACCAGCTAACATTCAAGACTTTGTCGTATTCCTCGTCGCTCCGGATGGGCATAGGCATGTAGTCATCCGTTTGAACAATCTAATATCGAGTGGTCAGTGGCACCTAGATATCGCAGCAAGGTGCAATATAAAATACCTCCTGGAAATCATCGCTAAATCTTTTCTTTAACAGCTCGGTATACTTTTCGAACAATGTTAAGAGGAATCTCTCGAATGGGCCGACCGAAAATGACTAGCAACAAAAGTAAAATCAGAAGGCCATAGATGATGATTGAGAGGGTCATCGGTTGCCATACATTCATTGTCTGCATAAACAGAGTAATGAGATTCTTGATCTTAAGGATATCTTCCGAGTTGTCAACGGTCGGTAGCGCCTTTGAGATCAATCCAACGGCAGTCTGAGACATTGAATCCCATAGCTCTTCGACCTATTTGAGTAGGATTCATTAGTTAATTTTCTCTCGCTCCTTCAAAGAATGTAGCTAGCATGGAACAAGGGCCACTTTACATCGACCGGAGATCTCAATTCGGGAACCCGTTTCATTGTGGCACGCTCGACCAAGGCAAATCCAGCAATTTCTTCAAGCAATGTATGGAGACTTGAACCATCTTCTTTCAATAGAGTGATTGAGGTAGGCAATAGTAAATCTTTCTGTTGTCGTCTTGTCGTCGCATACTCAACCTGGAACTTGTCCATCTGGCCCAGGGATTGGTGTATATGCATGCACTCGAGCAGTGGTGAAAAGTCAACCTGAAGGTCATCATTATAGAGTAAATCGAATTCCTCCATCTCATCTGCTACCAATTCTATAGCTGAATTGAGTTTGAACTGCGATAGGTAAGGAACCTTCGCACTCCGCTCTGCTAGCCTCTCCTTTCGCTTGTCCGTATGAAACAGTGATAGTTCCCCTAAGTACTGTGACATTTCTCGAATACGATACAGCCATGTATTCAAATCGTCCATGACAGCATCTGCAATCGCCTTCTGTGTCATTGGTACAGACCGCTGTATGACTTCTGCGATCTTATATTGTGTGACACCTCTGAGATGAACATTCTGAAGCTCATCGAGAGCCCTCAACGCGGCATAGTGATTCTTCTTAGCAAGCAGTTCATGAACCTGGTTTGCAAGACGCAGAACTTCCAAACAGTCCTGCAATGCCTTTGAAGTTTCATCTATATTCTGGCGGTGGCTGCGCGACTCGACCAGCGCTTTTTTCTGTTCTGCTAATCGTTTTGTGCTTGCGAGAATGGACTGATTGAGACCGAGGATCTCTTGGGTTAAGTTGACGGTCCCCTCACGGACTTGAAGTAGCTGGTTAACTGAGGAGACGAAGTCTTGGTGTGTCGAGTTGCATATGCTTTCAATCTTGGCCTCGCGATCATCTGCGAATTTTGTAAGGGAGTGTAGAAGCTGCGTTGTTCGGTTGCCATGGCTGTATTCGCGGATTGAAGGGATGAGTTGGTCAAGATAGTCGGTGTCCGAGGAGGATAAGACGATCTGTCGCAAGAATATTATTAATTGACTTGTTATATATGTCTTAGACAGCTTATGCAAATAACATACTTGGTTTAGAACAGAGGAGAGATCGTTCCGGTGTGGTACCGGGGCGGGCATCTTGATCAATTGATGGACGGCTGTAATAAAGGTGTAAAAAGTAACAGGTTGCGCATTCTTGACACTACGCACTGAGAAGAAATATTAGGATCGTGAGATGCTGCGCTGTATGTTTTCATCTGAGGGTATATCAGCTCGCAAACATCCTCCCCATCGCATCCGCCTGGACTATCTCGAAGGTCTTCAGGCAGATAATAACTAGCAAGTAATCTCAGCCTATGAAGTATAAGATTACGTAATTACGAGTATTTGTTCACGTGACAGATCATGGTATTTGCTGGAGGCAGATAAGGGGTATTTCATATTTAACAGTTATATGGGGGGGAAAGGTTTATATTATTTGTTCGATCTATAGAAATTTGCCACTGATGACCTTAAAAAGCTGGATGAGAACGTATGCCTAGTGGCATACAGCACATTCACTGTTTTGCTGTCCCCGATGAGTCCCCAAATACCACCCTCCTTCAATGAGTTCAGTCTCGATATCCTGCCAATACTGAAGCTTGCCTCCGTCTTCGCTCTTAAAGTCAAGGTCACCTAGACGAAGCTCAAAGGGCTCGTCATGTTTATGTGGTACCTGCAAGTAATTTGTCAGACAAAAGCGTGGTCTGGTTTGCTATATATGTGGGAGAGGAGGAGTGGCCAAGTTTGGATAAATTGGCACGGGTTGATATCTCAGTTCTGTATGTCTCCTACCTTGACGAACATCGTGCAGTCTCTCAGGGTCATGGAAATGGCCCGCTCCTCAGCGGATGCATGGATACCTGGCAGGCCGACAGCATTCATCTGACGTTGCTTGTCACGAAGTTTGAGCAAAGTAGGGTTTCGATGCATGAAAGTAGCAACTCGCTGGGCATCGGGGCTGTTGCTGATGGCCGTGATCGCAGACAACACGTCTTCTAGATTATTCGAGGCCAGTTTGAAAGGGCAGAATGACTTCTTATGGTGGTGCTCTGGTCCTCCCTTTGCGGGCCCCTGGCTGGCCTCGAAATTCCTCTTCTCCCTTAGAGCACAGGTGCGGCACCGTCTGGCGTTTGCAGGCGCGGAGGGAGATTGAGTGAGCCACTTGGGCTTGAACTCCCATAGAGTAGCGCCGGAGCCGGGGGCAGTCGTCATGTCCCTGACGAGCAGCCCAAACGGCTCGTCAGTGCATAGATAGACGCCACAACGCTTCCTGGGCCTCCGGTTGTGTGCTTCGTCGTCCTTGAGCTTCTCATTGCAGGAAGCGGCAAGGCCGGCGGGCAGCCTGATGAGGTCCTGGCAGACGAGTTCGTCGTCCCGGAAGAGGGAGCGTATCTGCGAGTTGAACTTGCGTGTGATCTCAGCGTAGGGCGTGCCTGAGGTGATCTTCTTCCTCAGGCGGAGAAGCTTGCCTGCATAAGCACTTTGCGTCAGGCCCCTTGCATGGGAGCCGTCTGAGGCGTCGGGCTGGGAAGGAAGGGAGATCCTGTAGACTATGTTGGCGGCACCCTCAGCCAGATAGGTCAATTTGACGCCGGCAAGGAGTTCCAGCATGGGTGTCGACGCTGGTACGGGCTCTCCGGATACCCTCACAATGCCTGCAAGTAACATGCAAGGCGATATTATTCGTTCACCCCAAGAAGTCTCCACTGCCTTTTTTTTCCCTCTCCTTCGACTTTGAAATATATGGCGCGCGGTTAATTGTCACGTGCAAGCTTAAGTAATCCAGATATCGTTTATATAAGCTCAACGTCAATGACATCAAAAGAGGAAAAAGAACAAAGTCATTGAGTCCATCGACTATGTAAGAGTAAAAAGAGAAGTTAGGCAAATGGGAGGGGAGAGAAGAGTCAAAGTTGACGGTGACTGCCGCCTTTACTGACCCATGATTCCCTCTATGACTCTATGACTTCAAAGCCCAGTTAGTAGGATGGCTCCTAGGTTTAAGGGGGGGATTCATCCATGGATGAGAATTACCATGGATAAAGATACCCAGTCCATGGGAATAAGTGATTATTCCATTATCTTAGGCCAGAGTGAAGGGTGACACAGTGATGGGAAGGTTCTGCTTTTCTCTGCCTATATAATAATACCCTTTTCCTCGTGAAGGCCTCTCCTCTTCCCACCTGCACTGTCTTTACTTTTTGGATGTGTATACTCAGTGCTATATATCTTGGAGTATATCTCTATATACTATTGGTTATATATAACTGTGCATACTACAGCCTCCTTTTTCACTATATATTACCCACACACATAATATATATACCATATACTGGGCACCCAGCCTGGGCGACTCCTAGTCCATCTTGTCTGATATCTGGTTATCTGATATATTTTAGTATTCAGACATCTGATATCTAATATCTAATATATCTAATACATCCAGTATATCAGATTACCTTGAACTGGTTAGTTCTAGGCTGTCAAACCTGTGGACTGCAACTGTGATTCCAGGTGAGGAGGCATCTTTCTTTCATCTTCCGTCCCAGCCTCTTCTCTTTTCTCCTCTCCTCTCTCTGTCTCCGCTCCGCTGTGTTCTCCGCTCCCGTATCACCTCACGTCCTCTACCAGCCTCCTTTTTTTTTTTGCTCTCTCGCTCTCTTCTTGCTGCTGACATGTTGACAGTTGTTAGTGTGCACTAGACTGTCACTCGTGGGGGCAAAACCTGTGCAGGAAAGTCGTACTTTGTGCCTGTAAAGTGCCTGGTAAGCTGGACGCTGCTTGCACTCCCTCCCATCCGGCTCCTGTCTCTCTCTCTCTCATTCCTCCCAGCCAGTCTGTCTTCACCTTGTCTTCTTCTTCTTCTCTTCCCCTCTTTTTCTGTGACTGAACTTCTTCTTCTACCCGCCACCTACTAAAGAGGGGGAGAGCAACGAAAAAGAGGGGTCAAGCCAACCTCCTCTTTTGGACTCTCCGTATAAAAATCCTCTTCTTCCTCTTTCATCCTCTCATCCGTTTCTCTCTCCTACCTGAAGGCAGCATCTTGTTCAATCCCTTTGCTTCTATCTCTACTTCGGTCATTCTTCATCTATTCCAATATCTCAACTATCGAATAACCCAGCATTATCTCCTTTTCTCTTCCAGAGCTAGCTCAATTGACGGTCAGTAGGTACCATGCGCGAAACCACTCCCTTTTGCCCCTTCTCACGTCTCTCGTTGAGTCCAGAAAGCCACCGCAGCAGTCCAGACGAGATGTCGAGACTCGCCAGCAGCCCTCGATCTTCGGAGCAGGCCAATTCTCGCAACGGGTCGCCCGAGACCAGACTGACTGCGTTCTCTCCCGAGCACTCTCGTTCCCAGCCTTTTGTCCCAGCTCCGGAGTCATCGATGCGTGCTGCTTTGAGACGCTCCATCTTTCAACGGTAAGTCACTTCATCCTCTTTTTTGTCTTTCTTTTTTTTTTCTATTTTTCTATTTTTCGTCAATTTTACATCTTATCAGTTCACTTGACTTGATATCTTGTTTAGCTGACTCGAGAGCTTTACGCTAGGGAGGCACAAAACCCCTTTGTGTCTGTTCCTTCTGCTGCTTCTCTTCGCTCTACTGGACGTGTGCAGCTTTCTCCAACTGCCTCCAGCTTTACTCCTGGCGGCTACGACAGAAACGCGTCTGCTGGCTCCATGCCTTCTCCTTCCTTCTTGCAGGACCAAAACCCTGCCAATCTTGCTGACCTGACAAAGACTTCTGTTCCTGATACCCCCGGTCTTGTCAGTACCCTTTCTCCTCACGGCTCTGTTGATTTTGGTCCAATTGGTGGCGTCAGAGTCTCTCCCCCTTCCAGCTCCAGATTTATCCCCGGCCCCTATGCCATGTACTACCAGTATGGCCGTTTTGACTCCGAGAACCGCAACCGTGCATTCGTCATCGAAGGTGCTCCTACGGACATGCCTTATCATGATGTCGCCGCAATATTCAATGTAAGCATTCACTCCTCTTTTTGTCACAGGCCCTCCCGTTAACAAAGGGTTTCTTACCAGCACCGTGAGTTCAATACCGTCAAGGGACCCGTCCTTTGCGAGCTTCTTTCTCATGGAAGAATCTACGTTGGTTTCACCGACATCTATGAAGCAAAGATGGCTGCTGTCAAAGCCAAGTCCTTCTTCCCCAATTGGCGTTTCCATGCCTTGACCGCAAAGGAGTTCACCCAAAAATTCGAGCCCTTGCTTGCTTCCACCACTTCAGACTACGAGGGACAGATCTTTGCTACTGTCTACTACAATGGTAGCCACGCAGATGCAGATGGACGTGTCATTTCTCACTCGTTCAAAAACCTTCTCTCCACCTACGGTGATATCAAAGCCTTTGACAGCATCCCCACCGATCACAACAACATTGTCAACTTTCACGTGGAATTCAACGACACTCGCGCTGCCGATAATGCCGTGTCTGCTCTCAATGGCTCTTCTCTTCCAGTAAGTGGTTCTTCCATGTCTCATAGCATCTTCCGTTGACTCACACAATTCACAGGACTGCATCGTCGACATCAAGTATTTCAAGCCAGACGTTGTCCATCATGCCCATGCTCATCACCCAACCGAAGAGCCAATCACCCGCACTTCTCCAATCGCGATGAACGACTGTGGCATTTCTATGGCTCGTCGTAGGAGCTTCGGCTCCAATCATTATATGGAGTTGAGCCCAACTGGACGTTCCACGATCCCCGTCGGTGATCCCGCCGTTGCAACCTGGAACCGCAGATCTGAAGAAGGACATAACTTCCGTTCTCGTCATGGCTCTGGACGAAATCGTCACAACACCCATAATAACATGAACCAGAACCACGTCGACATTGAACGTATCCGTCTCGGTCTCGATGTTCGGACTACCGTTAGTGTCTTCCTTCTTCCTTCCTCCTTCCTCCTCTTGCAAGCTCTTACTCTAACTCGAGTCTATCCAGATCATGCTCCGCAATATTCCAAACAAGATTGACCAGGCTATGCTTAAAGATATTGTTGATGAGACCAGTCACGGTAAATACGACTTCATGTATCTCCGCATCGGTGAGAAGATTAGTGCTGCCTCTGTGATCACACAGTTGACTAACATCTCATAGATTTCGCCAACAACTGCAAGTCAGTTTACATTTCTTCCCTCTCGTCCTCATCATGACCTCCTGCTAAACGTATAATTTACAGTGTTGGATATGCATTCATCAATTTTGAAGATGTAAGTTATCCGCCTCTTATCTGTCTCACAGTCCAATGCTAACTCGTCTAACAGCCAATTGATATCATTAACGTGAGTTCGCTCTTGCATGTTGATCAATCACCGGCACTTACTAACAAATATACAGTTTGCAAAAGCTCGTGCTGGCCGCTCATGGTATTTATCCCCATGTCCATGCGTACATTCATCTCGCTAACCCGATACAACAGGAACTGCTTCAATAGCGACAAAGTTGCTGAAATTTCATATGCTAGTAAGCATTTCCCTCCATTGTCCTTTTTACATTTACATTTAAGCTTATACTAACAATATCACAGCCATTCAAGGAAAGGACTGCCTCGTTCAGAAATTTCGCAACAGTTCTGTAATGCTGGAACATCCCTCATTTCGCCCAAAGGTAAACATCTCACCAAGGTCAAGGGCCTTTGTCATCTGCTCGCATCACTGACAATCGTTAGATCTTCCACACTGGCACTGGCCCCTTAGCTGGCACTGAAGACCATTTCCCTGGGCCTGACAACCCATCAAAGATGCGCCGCAGCGTCGAGAATGCCGAGCATGTAGGTATGTATATTATCTCTCCCTACTCTCATGTCGTGCCTCATACTAAATATTGCTTGTTCCAGGCTTATTTGCCCCAAGAGTAGGCCAGCAATATCGCGATGAACAGCGTCGTCGTCGCTCACAGTTTGACCGTGGCACCACTGCGGCCGAGCGTGAATCTCATTGGACCCGTGACTGGCCTGCCCACCCTGAGAGAATGGAACAAATCCGTTCTAATATCATGAACTCTTGGTATGAGCCAACTGGTGGCAATCGTCATCATCATCATCATCTCTCTGGATAGCCTCATACTTACCGTCATGTGCTTGAACCACTTTGGTTCAATTAACACGACATCATCGGTCTCGATGCTTTTTTGTTACTTTTTTTTTTTTTCATCTCTCATCATTTTTCAGGCAATTTTTCCACTCCTTTAGCATTCCCTTTCTTCCCACATGTATTATATTTCTCTTATTCTTGCCTTCCTCTTTCGCCTTTTGCCTTACATACCCCGATATGCAAATACACAAACAAAACACCAGGCTAGCATGGAAGCTTGGGCAAAGCCGTTCTCGACGAAACAACCTCAACAAACACTGGTCAACATCATTATCCGCCTGCTTCCCGTTGGCGGATTTGGGTATCAAGGATATCACCATCAATTCATCAAGGCTCCTCAGGTCCCCCTCCAGGCTCACTCAGGTTTTTCTTTATTTATCTTGCCTTTTTGTTCTTCCTGCTTCCCCCATCTCCAGCTCGATCTTGCATTGTCTTGCAATTTGGTTTGCAAAGGGACCTCAAACATTCCTCAGGACAAGCTTGGGAGAACAGGAACAGAAAACTAGGACCTGGTATGTGGCCTGCCTTCATTCCTAGCCCCCGTTCTACCTATGCTATGCATCATACCTACGCTTATGGCTTTCTATTTGCCATATTTCTCAAGTTGATTCCCCTCATGCGTTGTTCTTCTGATATCCTACGCGATATGCTCCAACTTCTACGCTCCTTCATCTTCTGTATTTAACTCTCTTTGGTATTTTCCTTTTCTGTTTTACTTTTCCCTTCTCAAATATGTATTATCACCAGGTGGCAATTTTTGTGGCGTCAAGGATGGGCTTATGATGACCACAGCATGGAACAAAAAAGGGATATATTACTTGTTCTTGTCCTTTCATTCATTTGCTATGGTTCTGTATGCTTTGCTTGATATTTTCAACTTACGGCGCAAAGGATGGGCGATGAACAGTGGCGTGTTTATATTTCAAATCAAGCTGCAAACATGTATGTTAACGAAGAAGCTAAATCATTATGTAGCTTCGGATCAAATCGAAGACAGGTATGCTTCCTTTTGATATACTTCTCTTCCTACAAAAGAAATTTTTCAAGGGGTGTCAAGGCGAACTACCTATGCGCTGATAAGACAAAGGGCAAGAAAAAACGGTGTAGAAAACACCCTCACTCATTCGCACCCCAGCCCCTGGTATGGTCATACTCATTCCTCAGATCTGAGATGCCCCTAGCCAAACCAACAAGGGAGTCCATAAAAGTCCCGTTCCCACTGTTCAACCGTGCTCTCCTATCTCTCTCCGCGGGCGATTCATCAAGTCTCGATCCGCCGTTGACAGGGGATTCGCGGATCCGACGAACATCGCCCATGGTAACCATCTCTCCGTCCTTCCTCCTGCTTATGGCTGCAGCACTTATAGCAGGTGCAAACATTTCTGTCCAGGAAAGCTCTCCCCGGAAAGGAGAAACGTGAACACCACCCTCCGAGACGATATATTCAGCCGTAACGGGTTCGTAGCGTTTTTCAAGTAAAATGATGATGGGCCAGGCGATTATCCAGAGCTGAAGGATGACGACGACCCACCAGACAAATCGGTTGGTTCGTAGTTTGTTTATCCAATGTGGTGAATAAACGGTGAGTGCTGTATGGGTTGTTACTTGGTTAACATGTATGCTACCACAATACTTAGTGGCGCGAATGATGGACGTGATCTCGGCTTTTATAATGTCCATGTTGAGCCCTTCAACCTTGTTATGGAGCGTAAATCTACCATCGAATTGTTAATATATGTATCGAGATCTGCATTCATTTGAGGTACGAATAAACTCACGATTTCACTCCACTCTTGTCCTCGCAGTATCTAAGACACCATTCTCGAAGCACATCGTCGATCCTTTCTGAGGTCGCCTGTTCTGGATCCGATTCAGAGGGCTTATACTTCTTGCTTGCCTTACTCTTAAACCTTCCTCCACGGTAAGCGGATTTTCTGTCCCCGTCTCGCACCACATTCAATCTGCGGTAGTGATCGAATGGGGGATCCCTTTCCGCCCAGTACGAATCCATAGACAATATGGTGCCTCGGGTTTCAATTTGGAAATCAAAGTCTGTAACGGTGGAGCTGGACTCCTTGTTCCTGCCATCCCGTTGCTTAACCGTGTGGGTTCCTTTGACTGAGATAAGCACTGTAGGTGCTACTTTAGCCTGCCGGTATATAGTCTCATATAACGTCTCTGGGCTGGTTGTAAGGTCAGGGCAAAGGGTAACAAGGTATGATTCCCTGCGAGAAAACGTGTCAACGAGGCGGCTGTCTTGAATATCTGGGTATGGATTGATATAGGACTGCACGGGTGGAAGGTCTGGAAGAGTGCTTTGTATCTGGTTTGAACTCCCCGGGATTTCATCCGTATACGCTGGTGGATCATCATTGGGTTCATCAGTGTATGGCTCTACTGGCTGTTGATCGTGCAGACTGATCGCTGACCGTTTGGAAGCCAAGCTCCGCTGGCCACCTGCTATAGAGAATCCCATTGGCATAGGCGAGTTTCTGACTATCTGGAATAATATTCGAGGTATAAAGCTCCCTTAACTGAGTAAAGAAAAAAGAGAGAAGAGAAATCGAGGAACTCGCCCCAGGGAGCGAGTTTATATATCTAGAACTCCATCAAAACCCAGTGGTTAGAAATGTCTCAGCCGGAGCCTCGCTTCCTCCAGGCACCAATGCCTAATAAAACATCCCATCCTTTACCAAAAAGGCCCCAGCAGCGCTGTTTGTCTGCTGTTTTAGCATGCAAGATCGGTGGGTGCCCCTTTTTCGAGCTCCGGCGGCCACACTTCAAGGCGGACAAAACGCTGCATGATTCGTTTGTGATTGGCAAGCCGCATCTTGAGCCTCAATCCTTCGACTTTTCTCTGCCTGCTCGTTGGTGGAGGCGAAAATGTTCGTCTAACTCGTATTTATGTTATTTCAAGGGCCTCGATAAAGTGAGCAGAAGTAAAAATAAAGGGTCGGATGACTAAGCGAGAGTTTTCTGAAGCAACCAACAGACAAGACGAGAGACAGAGAGACAGAGAGACTGAGAGACTGAGAGAGAGAGAGAAGTCGATGAAGAAGGGTAAATGTCCACTCAACTAACCGAGTTGCCGCCGTCGTCTTCGCCTTTCGCAGCCTCCAGCGACGTCCGATCGATCCACCGAACACTACATCTACTTTACCACCGTAACAAGAACCAGCATCGGTGCACGAAATGGTGGAAATGGCTAAGCATGCTGAAGCGATGGACGCTGGAACTCGCGTGTGAAATCGAAAAGATCGAGAAATTCGAGGATGTCCTGAGTGGAGATGGCACTGGAGATGAGCACCCTTTTGCTGCGGTGTGGAAGATAATGAGGTATCTCCATGACGAGCTTGTTCCAAGATGTTATAGGTTAGTTAATTCAAAGTGTCACTTATTAAGAAAATACATATTGAGACCGAACCATTTGGTTAACTTGGGGTTCTTTTGTTTAGAGCATTTTCTACTGTGGTTGCAGACATTCAGTTTTCTTCCCTGGGCATTGTCCTGGTAGCTACCCTTGCTGAAGTATTCAAAATAGTGCAAGTAAATACAGGTGAACTATCAGCACTTGCCCGGGTACTCGACGATGAGAGAGGTTTGGCAATTACATCTAAGTCGAGCAGTAGCTTAGCTGCTAGTGAGGACTTTGGTGAAGTGGTTCGACGCTCTGAAGTTGTGTCTCAAATCGACAAGAAGGCTAGACCAACTGTCTCAATGGCTGGCGATTATGGGAAGAAGAAGAAAAGATCTGCCGTTGATAAGGGCGCGAAACGGAAAATTGACAGTGATACAGTCATGGCTACCGCTCTGGACAAGCCTGAGAGCTCGAGAAAAGAGAAGAAGGAGAAGAAAAAGAAACGGAAAGCCAATGCAATCGATGATATTTTTGCTGGCTTGTAATATATATTGCGTCCGGTGCAGAACAAAAAAAGTAGCAAAATATTATATCAGAAAAGGAGGATTCAGAAAGCAATTCTCACATAGAGAGGGATAAATATCTAGTTGTATAACCACTGCAACAAGTACTCCCCGAATAGAATATTAACGATAGCGTGCTGAGCCAGCGTCCACGCCATACTGTAAAGAAACTTGGGTGAAAATACGGTCCATATGAATAGATGTGTTCGTAGGGTAGTGCATGCTACCATAACCGCCAGAAGACTGGTGGCCACGAACATGGTCAAAAGCTGGATATGCCTGTTCGATTGATGTTTGCGAGCGGAGCGAGTAATGCTCAATAGATGGTGTGTGGCAGATACCCACCATATCGGCCCAGCCCAGTTGCTGATAAACGTCAGAATACCAACAACGCCAACATTATAGCCGCTTACGCCGTTGTAGGCGTTAGACAGATCGACCGAGGAAATAGCATTAGACCCACCGAGGGCGAAAAAGCTTGCGTACTGGAACAGAAGGGATGTGATGGTGATTTCGGTAGTAGACAATGTCATTGAACTGAGAATCTGTTGCTGGAGGCGGAAAATCGCAAATAGGGGGATATTGGTGGCGCGAGATTGAGTGACTAGTAATAGAGTAAGAAGGGAGTGAAAGGTGCCACGGATGTCTGTTATATATATATATATATATACTGTTAGTACGGAGCTCATAATGCCAACCAGGCCATATATATGGTTCTGAATACCTTTTTTTGCAACGCTTCGAGCGTCTTTTCTGGTAGCTCTCAAGTATATCGGATACATGGAACTTATCAAGACTCCAATGAGGACAACCCGGGCCTGGAAAACAAGGGAGAGTCCTCGTACACCTCTGATCAAAAATGACAAGAAAGGAGTATTCCGTATAAGCTCCGGTGCATCAGCGTCTGTGAAGACGACCTTGAATATGAATGAGAAGCTAGTCAGGGGAAGGTATAACAGTGATAATAGCTTATTCTTAGGGTCTCCTATGGACGTATTTGGCAGTAGTCTTTGATATAGATCAGTGTATGCGAAAAGTATCAGAATCCACATCACATTTGGATGCTCCCTGAAAAAAGTATTGGCGATATCTGGTTCTCCAGCAAACTTTTGACCAGTCTGGTTCCAGCGTCGCATAACCCTCGTCAGGGCAGCGAGGACAAAAGCACTAGTATAGCCCGACTTGAATTCTCGTTTGTTGGAGCTTAAGAGACAGTCAGTATGAATTTCAATTACACAAGGGGGGTAAAATCCAACATACGATTTCCAGTAAAGATAGAATATCCATCCGGAAACCATCCAGTACCAGAAGTGTTGCTCTTCTTCAACGTAACTGCTTGCGAACATCAGGGCTCCGTATCCAGCTAGTATTAGACACATGTATCCCACTGCTGCTGCCCCATGGCAGCCCTTTTGGGCACATGCATACAGAGCTATGAAGAACGCAAGCCCGGAAAGCGCTATACCTTGATATAGCCTTGTTAGGTTATAATTGCTCGCTGTGCTAGACATCACGGCTTGTGCGGTCCGTAAGAAGTCTAGAAGGGATGACTCGATAGCCAGAGATAGATTGGTATCTCCTATAGGTTGAGATATCAACTGCTGTGCTTTCTGCCACTTGCACTCAAGATTAGCTATATCCGTGTTCGAGTCACTATCACAATTGGCCGACTGCGTGGTAGAATCAAAATCGTAACTTGGATATGTTTGCTTCACGATGTTTATCATCTGTTTAGCATTTTCTTGGAGTAGTTGCAATCGATTAGAGTCTAGATTTTCGTTGTTTAGCTTCATTATAACCAGCTATTTTGGGGGAGCTCTCAGGAGAGAAATCATGGATTGAGCATCTAACCTTTTTTCCATAGCGGGAGAAATTGGGGGATAATGACCCCTAGGTTGTTTAATGGAATAGGAAAGCCAAGAAGGGCACTTAAGGTAGGGGCAATATCGGATTGGTCCACCTTATCATAAAAATCAAATTCTTCAGACGAGGTCTTAGGCAGTGACCTTGCAAGTCCCATTTCTTGAAATTTCGGAGAAATAAAGGTAAGGGCAGGGGAGGTTTCTCCTGGCGATGCACCACCATGATTACCGCCATCGTTCATACCATGGTCACCACATAGGACAAGTAGTGCAGATGATAGATGGGCCTCCTCCTCCATGAAGCCGTATATTATTCGGACTACGGTATCCATTTCCTTCTGTTTGGGTATCATATGGGGACTGCTCAAGTTTTAGCTTCCCTTTTACAACAGTTTACATTGATGCTAGCTTCCCAAGCTCACCTTCTCGGCCCAGCCTTGTGGCCAATATGGTCAAGGCCAAGATAATGCATTATCATGGCATTCCAGTCAGAATTGCCCATTTCTTCGGGGATATGCCGTGTCACATTGTTGTCAACTTCAGTGAAATCCTTTTGGTAAGAGTCAGTTGCAATTGATTCGTCAAGGAAGGAAAGCAAATCATTCATACTGAGACAAAGAAGCTCGTAGTTCCGTCGTGCCTGTAGAACATATCAGGAAACAACTTCAGCCATGTATCATCGCCGTACATGACGAGCCGCCCATCTGGCTTAGCTTTCAACTGGGCCAACCAGGTATCTTGGTGAGCGAGAGTTGAAGTGGTATCTGATTCTGCAAAATTAAGGATCACATCAACAAATGATGGTACAGATCCTGTTGTAATCGCCTTCACCCGTGGCATGGTGATGGTTGGTGAACTAGCATGGGCAGTAAACGGCACCGCTGCCCCAGACTTGATCAAGCTATCCACGAATTAGAATATATTATGATCTAAGAAGCTCGATCTGGGAAATTTATGTCTAAATTTACTAACCTTTGCGTAAATTGAAATCCAGAGTTGTTTCCATACACAAAATCACTATATATACCGGTCAGTTGGTGTAGAAGAAACAATAGGGGGTCCCAGAGTTACTACCTTCGCAGAGCATCTACTACCATGAATATAACCCGGTCAAAGATGGGCGACGGCCTACTACCATCATCTCCTTCATCAAAGACCGCCAGTCCAGGGATAAATGGCTTGTAGGGAAAGAATCCGCTGGCGAAGAGGAGCAGCGCGAGGGGAAAGAGAATAAAGGAGACCAGCGTGGCCATGTTTGAAGCGATGAAATGCATCTTGAAAAAAACGAAATTTCTCTCTAAACAAATGTCATTGGCCTGATAATCATAACTCTTCCATTGCCATCTCTGCTCGCGGTTTATATGATCATAATCATGATGTTGTTACTTCTTATAGTTTCTGCTTTCTCAAACGTTGTCTTTCGCGATAAGATAAATAGTCAAACAGTTCGTGCTTGCGCCCGCAATTCTGATTAGCGATAAATATAATAGCAACACTAGAAGAAATCGAATTATCCAAAGTAACGAATATTTTATTTTAGATCTGATAACTAGTTATAATTATTTAGACAGTTCAAATTGAAATACGGTGTATATATACTGATACTGTAAGGATTAAAAAACAACCAACTTTTGGTATCATTCCTCTCATATAGTCGTAGACAGAAAAAGCAGATATATCAAATGTCCTCAAACTCCATCTAACTCCAAATTCCCTTTTTCGAGTCAAGTTATGATGGAAAAATTAAGATTCCAATCACAGTCTACAAGAGCCATCGCGCAGCCAAACAATGTAAATATCATCGCTTCTTGTTCGCATTCGCTCTCTTCACTTTTCCTGGGTGTGGCGCAAATGTTATGGTGTTACGGGGTTTTCTTCGTGTGCGCTTTTCAATTCTGCCAGTCTTGCGGGAAATTCCACCTTCGATCTTGAGGGGAGTGGGCTCAGCATCTAGTACCGCATTAGAATAGATTCCATAAAAAGCACAGATTATTGGAAGACCATCAAAGGCCTCATTATTGACGCCAATATGAAGGTGAAGCGAAGGAAACTAATATTGACTCGGCAACCATTACCTTTCAATATATCAATTTTAGATCTCTCTGCTGTAGCGTCTAGAAAGAACCAGTTGTCAGACAAACACACTTGAATGAAAAGTTGCCGGAGGGATACATACCTGTGTTATTTGTATCGGCATCCATCATGCTAGCATCCGCCTTGGATGTGCCCGCCAGCTCTCTCAGTTTAGCAGAGAGCCGCTCTGTCCTCGCATCCGCTGCAGGCCCAAAGACCTTTTGGCGCAACAAAGCTTTGTTGTGCTTCTTGACACTGGATCGGAGCCCCTTTGCCATGGCTTCTTGGTCAGTTTCTGCTCAAAATATATTAACAAATAACCCAACCTGATGGAAACGAACTTTGCAAGCTTGAACTGAGAATTAACTTAGAAAAAAAAAAAAAAAGCTCAAAGATTATGTCATTCGAGGGTCTTGCTTACATCAGCAACCGCCGGCTGCAACTTTTAGATCTGATCGTGGGCGAGTTTCGCGAAAGGCAGCAGGACGTTTCCTGGACACTGCGACGGCGGCATTTGAGGACGAACAAGAGTGCGCAGGCCAGTCGCTGGAGCTCGCACACTGCTACACGATGGTAAGATACTCTCAGATCGAACGGTTATCCTCCTACAGCCTGCGTATCCGGTACCCTTTTTAACTAACCAAGCTGATTCCATATTAGACCAGAGGCCGAGAAACATACTGAAGAAACGAGCAGGATGGCGCCGCAAGCGCAGGACCCGGAGATGCAGCGTGTCATCGAGACGCTGCATACGCTACTCAACAATCAGCTTAAAGCAATCCTAAAAAGCGAGAATCTACCGGTCTCGGGAGTCAAGAATGCGCTCCAGGAAAGGCTTATTTCCCGTAAGTTTCTGGAAAGGAATGCTGCATCTGGCTCATCGTAATAACATATATTCTGTTACAGGTCTACATCACTATGCATATGGCTCGTGGGCAAACCAGGGCAAGCTAAATCAACTTATCGCGCGGGTATATGCTATAGCCCAAGGCCGGCCGTCACCCTCTCCGTTAACGGTATCAACCCAACATGCACTTCCGGCTCCAACCCCTCAACCACAGCATTCACAGACATTACCACCATACCGAGGGACGATCCCTCTACCTCCTCCTCCGAATCAGCTGGGTATGTTGTCTCTGGGAACTTTAGGACTGGGATATCTTTTTCCCCGCTGACGAAACCATGTAGGCCGACTGACCTTCAAGAAAAGCCCGTTTTACACCATTGTGGAACCCCTAACTTCTGTGGTGGAATGTCAGGGTATGACAAGCAATGCTATATTATCATGGCGATATCCCCCCAAAATGGCTTGACCAACATTTGACCCTATTTTCCTATAATAGTGAGAGATTCATCCCAGGATACCGTTCGTATGAAGGTAATCCTCAGCTCTGAAGTCGTCACACGAATTATATCAGAACCAAACATTCGAGTAATGGTTTACTGTGCAGCTGATAATGGCCTAACACATTATTCTCCGAGCGATATTGCATTTCCATATCAGGTTGAATTAAGAGTTAATCTTGATGATGTCAAGGCAAATCTGCGTGGCCTTAAGAACAAACCGGGTACAACGAGACCCGCGGATATCACTCACTTAATCAGAAAGAAACCAGGTTTTTTGAATAACGTCTCAATGACTTACGCACTGACGCAAAAGGTTGGGCCCTGATGTTCCATAACCATGCTGAAATCAAATTATTAATTTGGCCTCTAGAAATTTTTCGTTGTCGTCAACCTGGTTCAAAAACACCCTGTGGAAGAGTTGGTTACCCAGCTCCGAGTCAGGAAAACAATCTCCTCGGAGCAGGTTATCAGAGAAAGTAAGAACTATGCAAGTATTATACCCCTGATCAATGTCGGTAACCAATAATGATTTGCAGTGCAAGCCCGCGCTCAAGACGCCGAAATTGTGACGACTTCATCCGTAATGTCACTAAAATGCCCACTCTCAACACTCCGTATCTCAGTTCCCTGTCGTACATCGCTTTGTACTCATAATCAGTGTTTTGACGCCACATCATTTCTCCAGCTTCAAGAACAGGCGCCAACCTGGAGCTGTCCGATATGTTACAAAGCCACCAGTTTTGAGGCTTTACAAGTGGACCAGTAGGTGTTCAAAAATCCTCAGCATACCGGAGGGAGATGGCCTAGTAACTAACTTGCCAACAGGTATGTTGACAATATACTCCGCGCAACACCACAGTCAGTCGAGCAAGTGACTATCGAACAGAATGGCGAGTGGTCGAACCCAAATGATGCGCCTGAAACCGCTCCCGGTAGTAATGGACTTGCAAATGGCAACGGCGATGATGACGATGATGACCTGGTAGAGATAAATAGTTCCAGCATACCAGCCGTTAAGCGTGAAGCCGACTCGCAGGCCTCACTACATCATGTCACTCCAACTCCATCCCGGGAGGCATCGTCAGTTGCATCAGTTCCACGTCCCTCCACCGGGAAAAGGACTATTGGCCAAGTAATAGACCTGACCGCTAGCGATGACGACGAGGACCCCCCTCGTCCTGCCAAACGGCTCGCATTTAACATACCAAACGGAAGCCATACACACTCGTTCGATCTCTCGAGATTTTCAACATCTAATCCATCGAACTCACCTGCTTCACGTTCCTACCCCTACGAACGATAAAGCTTTCCGAGGTTCATCTTTGGCTATTTGACCAATCCTTGTGCGCATTTCCAGGAAACCTTTGTTCTTGGTTCTTCTTGCAACTATTTTCTACCTTTTTTCTAGACCATCCGAGGAGTTTACCTAATTTCATTTATACTGCGGGTTTATACCAAACATCATCATTTCTAGGATGGAAAACGGACCAAGGGGGCATACGGAGGCGTGGAGTTATTCAGTGTCTTCTCTTTTTTTTTTCTATTTTGTTTTCTGTGCTTTCATGTGCCCTATATTTTGCTATAATACTTATGGAAAATAGTAGGTCACAGTTAAGTACGCTATCATGATCATATCAGGCCACGAAACTAACCGCCGCATGTTGAGTGATAATCAACCTTCTAAGCGCGCGGGAGACCAAAGATTCCTGATAACACCAACAGAACAGCGTCTCGCACAGGATACCCATTACTCACTCGGTGACTGATATCATTTTTCCAGTCAAGTCAGAAGTGAGATCTCAGTCCTCACTTGTCCTTTTAACAGTCAATGATATTATGCCCTTCTACCTAAGTCTCCTTTTATTTCCCTTATATTAGACACTTACTTTAGACTCCTACTTCCAGCACTTACTTTGTTAACCAACTCTAGACCGTTACCTAGCTCAAGCAGACTTCACCCTGTCAAGATTGAGCCTAGTGCTCACGAAGGAATACCCCCCAGAAGCGTGTGGGAGATGGTTGGATAAACGCTCCCCATCACAGAACCAGCCCCCCTCAATCAGCATTTGATAGAGCGAGGTGGAGTGGAGGAGTCAATACCCCACCCACCTAGATAACTTCGATACTCAACTATATACTGCAGGCTCTGCATGACAAACCTTTGATATTCATCTGACAGAATCACCCTGCCAAAAGGTGTCTCTTCGATATATAACGGCATACCTAGTGTTAAAAAAGACAAGGGTCAAGACCAGAAAATAGATGTAGACAGCTTACAAAATATACCCATGCTGCTCAATGCTTGTCATCAGCCTTACTTGCCATGTATCTGGTTACCACCTCCCTGCAGTCATCTTCAACACCATTACTTTTGATAACTTCGACCATACCCTTTGATTCGCAGGACACTGAAGACTCCTTAGCTATCAGCCTTGCGAATAGCTTATCAATAACCCCACTCCTTCATGGAGACAAGGGAGTATGAAGCAGACAAAGAGCTGAAGGAGTAGCTGTGGTACGTGTTTGATTTTTACCGGTTATATAGACAGCATCTGGCAGCAAGGCGTTTAATAGGCATAAATTATTCTATGTTAGTTACGTTCTTATATATACTTTATCACCCTTGCTATATAGATAGTAAATTCAGCTTGCTTTTTCATATCCTTATTGGGACGGCTTCTTGCAAGTACTCTAGACCACATACTCCATCATGTATTCTGTTGATCTTGAGCAGTTAAACTAAGCTTTGACTGGCTTTAACTAACTTGTGGGCTTCATGGCATCCCCATGTTTATCAAGTGGAGGCTTCTCCATACTATGTATTCAATCACAACTTCTAAAGAGTTATTTGCATAATCTTCTCTCACGCTCTAGGTTTACATATGCTACTCAACTCAATACTCAAATATGTATGATATTGGTTTTGGCTTCGCCTATATTAACTCTAATATATTGTCCACGGGTTAGGCATGTTTACAAGTTGTTTACTTGAATGGTAGGCCTAGTTAAATTCCATTAAGATATATTAATTTGAGTATTTTTAATATACAGCACGGGTGCCTTGTACGGGATTTACGCCCAACGCACAGAGTTTATTAACCAGGAAAGAAAATTGGCCGTATTCCTTTAATTAAATATAGTAAGATATGCGATGTCTAAATAGATTTCCAAACGAATAATAATGTACATGGCTATCCAAGTCGCAGACATGCACCGTACAGATCAGAGTTAAGCCTCATATGCAGTCCCTATATATATTCCATGAAACCAAATCGCCATTCATTAAAATATTATCGTGTCAAATGCTCATCAAATTCTTTTAGTTCGCTTCCATCACCATGATAGCCAATGGAGTCCCTGTTGTCATCAATAACTCTGCCATATTCAAGGAGTAGGCGGTACATATAAGCCTCAATATCCTCGTTACGTAGAACTGTCTCGGCCCATTCGCGGCCCTGCTTGGCCAAAGTCTGCGCAGTTTTGTCATGACGAGCAACGTGAGGGTTGTCGGAGGGGGTATTGTTCGCATCCGTCCCAAGGAAATAGGTCATGAGCGCGTAGAAGTCGTCATATCGGTTGTCCAAGGGTACGAAATGCCTCCAGGCAAAAAGTCGCGAGTCGTGCCACTCACGAAAGATGGTAGCTTTTATACCGAGAGACTTGCTAAGGAGGAACGCACGCCATCGACCAGAGAAGCTGTGTCCGTCGATATCCACCAGGTATTTATATGTGAATTGGTGGGATAGAGAAACCTTCTCCTTGTAAGTATAGGTTTCATTATAGAACTCACAGTTCTCCGGAATACAGGCCATGGAGTCTGTGAAGCCGAAATCAAAATGTTTGTTGGCAAAAGCAGTTGGCTGGAATGTTGAGGTAGCCACATCATTTGCATTCGAAGAGCGGTCGTTGCACGGAAGGACCCGCTCGGTCTTGCCCTGGAGTTTTGTCCCGTTCATCATGAACTCGAGTCGTTGACGGTGCATACGAGACCAGTTTTCCGGAGTCTGGATACCGCCAGAGGTAGCTCCTCTCCAGAAGAGGGTATCATGTTTCTTGTCCCAGTCAACATCTTCAGTACCATCGTATGTGTATCGTTCATCATTCTTCCAGTACATATTGGCCGGGAAAAGAATATCACTGTTAACGTTCACTTTGCACTCACTGAATATTGGTATAAGAGCATCCGAGAAACTGATACTCGACGACGAAAAAAGAAATCCGTGGAGATCCTTTATCGCAGGCCCAACAACGCAGAGGTCGCTTGACATGTTGAAATTGGACACAAGGCCAACGACAGGTGTTTTGTAGCGAGCATCAGCCTCTTGGATGCTCAGGCTCGAATTCCGAGCTGGCGATTCCGGTGGACAGGCAGTTGACGCAATCTCCATATACTGCTTGGAAGGGATACCAGCCCATTTGACCTTGTCTTCTTCAGTCACATTGCTTTTACCCGTCAAAGACACAAAACCTTCCATATTCTTCGTAAAAGAATAGATGGCCTTGGGAGGAGTGTTTCGAGATGCAATCTCCTTCCCTAGCATGGCTTGCATGTCTTCCCACTTCGTCACCAACCGCGGCTGGTCTAGTGTATTCATGGCGATGTCCATGTCCGGCAGCTTCTCTGAAAATCGTGCGACAAGCGACTTCAATGTTTCGATTCGCCATCCATCACCGGTGATATTCGCAATAGCTCCATTCCTAACATGAATCGCTGCGATCGAGTTCCCTATGGGGTCCTCACATGCTGCGGCTACTCGCCGTCGAATGGCCTTTGGTTCCGCAGACCAGAACGGCCGAAGGTCATCGTTTATCTGATCGAAATCGTCGATATTTCGTACGTCATTCTCCCGGGCAAACATATACCACTGTTGTATGTCCAGTCCGTTAGTTTAGGGGTCCTTTTTCTAAATGATCAGGTGTTGTAGAAACAATCAGGGCATGTCGACACAACGTCGAAGTATGGGTACAGAGAAAAATGGTATATTAAAGACGGCCTACCTCCTTAAATCCAGGCGGTGGATGGCGACCATACCGTACTCTATACTCGACGACAGCCTCACTGAAGCTCATTGATCGAGCAGAGTCGTACGTGCGCCATGCATTGTCCGCCTGGTTTAACAATGCCTTTATTGGATCTTTGCCCCTGCATTTCTCTTCTGTCTCTTCATGCACAGTATCATGTGAAGGACCAACGCCTAATCTGTGTCGGTATACGGTGCCAAAGAAGTATATGAATAGAAGAACGAATGCGCCGCTGGTGAGAAGTAGCAACCGTCGGTGGAGAGAATGCGAGACCAGCATGATTCCGACAAACGGCCCCGTCGCAGGAGAGTATTGCTGTTTCTTATATAAATTTCATTGCACCGATCGAATCCAGCCGTGCAAGGCTCTCCTGGGAGGCATGGAAGTGTCTCTTTGAATTAATATTCTGATTCATTATTTTCAAGGGGCCTGGAGATAATAAGTACGAGATTTCTTCCTCCTCCCTAGCCTGCTGCTCCACCAATCCCGATCCCGGATTGGCTTGCTAATATTCGCCCGGAACGTTAATCCTAGAATAATTTGGGGCTTTCTAGAGTGCTGGGATGATAGGGGGTCTGGAGGCAAGCCACGGTGGCTCATGTTTATTGGAAGAAATGGCCATGTTTCCAGGAAGTTAGCATAAAAGGAGGCCTGTCCGTGTATTATTGAACTGGCGCCTTCTTCTACAGAAAACGTACGTAGATGATTTAGGATCCCATCTATCAACGTCCAGAGTTCTCCAAACCGATATCTAGTCATGTTGAGTCTAATAACTACTCCATAGAATCATATCTGTGTTGATTCGGCCATGCAGAACATTTGCTACTTTCGGCCAAGGGCGCAATGGCAACCCTAGCATATCCAGTACTTTCAAGCGACCTGATTCGATACACTATATATATATCTTTTGGTAAAAGGGCATGGAGGTTGGGGGCGTCCATAAGCTAACCCGAAGCTTCCGTAGAGGCAAATTTTGCTACAATTTTCTATGCTTGTCCGGCATCGGCAGCGTATTTGTAATATCCTTTCACTCAATAAGTGCCCAAACACTTCAATTGCTGATAATTTGTCTTCGCTAAAGTCCTTCTGGAGGTGGCTAGTCATTAGCTATGAGAACAGAAATGTCAATTGAATATCTTACCTATCAAATATGCGGAGGTAGAAGTATCTTGGCCTAAGTTTAGTCACACTTGCATCTCTGAACTAGGATAATATCTCTGTCAACAGGACGTTCCTCTCGCAAATAGCTCTGTCTCTTTGATTCTATATGTAGCTTCTTGCTATTTGGCTCGAAAGTTTGGAGAACATGATTACGTAATATTTATGAGTTAATTCAACGTTCTTCAAGCTGGAGAAGTAACAACAAACATCGAATGTAAAGAAGCACACCATTTGATGACTTGCTCTCAATTATAATAGTTATAGATTATTATATCCCTTCATCAAGCTCTTTACTTTATAACTACCGACATTGTCTATTAAACAGCTGCTCTACTGCTCTACAGCCTTGAACGAACTCCGGAGCTATGTCTTTCGACACACCCACACCTCCCTTCAGCGCTTCGGACCCTCATGCCCGCTTCCTAAACGCATCATGTCTAGATCTTTTATTAATCGAGCTTGTGCCTATGGCGGAACGAATAGTCCAAGATCTCGAGACCGGAGAGAAGGATTCCCTACTCAGATCGGGTGAAACCAACGACATTAAAGATAAGGAAAGAGAGAAAGAAAAGGAGAAAGATAGCAAATCGTCCGTGGCCGTTATGGATGACGAAGAATATCGAGAAGCTATATATTTTAGACTTGAGTCATTGGGGTATAGAGTCGGTCTGGGGTTAGGAGAGAGGTAAAGAAAGCCGTTCTGATTTTGCCAGCTATACGACATACCCCTTCGCGCACGACATTGGGGAACCCAGAGAAGCTGACATGGACCTATTTGATATGTATGACAGGTTTTCCCGTGATAGGCCTCGGTTTGCTGATAATCTCGATGTGATTAAGTTTTTATGTAAAGATCTTTGGACAATCCTCTTCAGAAAGCAGGTGGATAACTTGAAAACGAACCACCGGGTCAGTTGCTTGTCCCATTTATGGCATTGCTATACAACATATTTCCGAAAGGATGCCTGACTAACTTGGTGGATAGGGTGTGTATGTTTTAACTGATAATGCTTTTCGCCCATTTATCCGCATGAGCATGTCTGTCAGGAGTGAAGCAGTTATACGTGCACAAACAGTATGGGATATTTCATTTCGCTCTTATATTTTTAGTACAGGCTAACATGAGGTGAAGTATCTTTGGTTCCCTTGTGGTATAATACGGGGTGCTCTCGCAAGCGTGGGTATCGAGGCCACGGTCCAGGCGGAAAGCTCAGATCTCCCGTTGGCAACATTCCAGATCAAAACGACTAATAGTACTGTCACCAGCTCCGGTGGCGGCGTTGCTATACCGGCGGCCGCTTAAGGCCAACTTTCATGGCTGTAAATGTTACTATAAACTACCAGGCAGTGTATGATTTTGTGTATTTTCTTTCCTTGGTTTTTATATTTCATAGATACCCCTACAGTATACGCCTTTTGGAACCCATTTTGCTCTATGATAATCCTTAAGTCGTCTCCGACAGCAGGGTGCTAGAGAAAATGAAGTGGAGAGTGCTAAAAGGAGTCCTTATTTTATTTATTTGTTTACTTTCCTTTTAATGCGGTTCATTCCTCCGACTTTGGAGAAAATGGCAACAATATTTTCGGTTCTGGCTAGGGAGAAGAGATATTGAAATTTAAAAAGGGAGAAATGACTGCGCAAACTGATTTTGCAATCTCCTAGCAGTGCTTGTTCCTTCGCTATTTTCCATGTGAATGAATGACAAAACCGCAACACCTTCGGTTATTCAGAGCCTATGTGTGTTCTCTCCTGACCTACAGCCTAAATGACCAGAAGCAGAATGTTTGGTTAGTAACGATTTTCCACAGGTTATGGGCCGCGATCGAGCGGAAAATGGAACCCGGAAAGGCCATAGGAACATGGATGGATGGGAAGAAGCAACAGACAACCAAGGATGGTCCATATAAAACGACACCAGAAGACGGGAAACGGAAGCTTCGTGGGTAGCTGGAAGCGAGATGGGTGTGTTTACTTTTGTGGAGGGTTTTGAATAAAGTTAATTCCCTTAGCTATGTTACCCTCGAGGCCTTTCTTGCAGATTTCGAGAAGAGCCTTCTCCCTCTCATTGACTTGGGGAAGGATGTTGACGATGTTCTCAGAACCGGAGGGCTATATCAAGCTGTCAGCTATATCTCTAAAAAGAAGGGCCAAAGGTACAAGCTAAAATGTACGCACCCCTAGTTCGACTGGCATGGAGAAATATTCAAGCCCGGTCTCTTTGATGATGGCTTCGCCACCCTCGATACCGTTAAGATGAACGAAAGTGGGCTCAACAATACCCTTTTCACCCTTGGAGGCCTTGATTACGCTCAAAGCAAAGCTAAAGAACACACGGGTCAGCTTGGATCCCTCAACTATGTCTGAAACTAGGCAGATAAGTATGGCCATACCGATAACCGGCATAAGCCATAGACAAAGTGGCAGAGCCAGCACCATCCTTGGCCTTCACGACTTCATCACCACCAAACTGGACACCTGTCGTTGCAGCCCCGCATTAGAAATAATGTCTATGCCATCAGGAGGGGGATGAGCTAAGGTCATAGACTCACGTTTGATGATGTCAGCGTACTCGCTGTCAGGAATATCGGCAGCAGGCTTAGCCAGACTGTAGACTGGGACAATGGTCTCGCCAGAGTGTCCTCCAATAACGTGGATGGTGGCATTGGAGGGATCCTTCTCACCCGTGTACTTCTGGGCAAAGGTCTCTGCACGGAGGATGTCAAGCGTAGTGACACCGAAAAGACGCTTAGGGTCGAAGACACCAGCCTTCTTGAGTACCTCGGCAGCAATTGGGATGGTGGAGTTAACTGGGTTAGAGATGACGAGGACGAATGCCTTGGGGCAGAAATCAGCAACTCCCTGGACAAGATCTCTCACAATACCAGCATTGAAGGCGAAGAGGTCGTCACGAGTCATTCCAGGCTTGCCTTTATTCAATCGTTAGCAATTCAAACAGAAAAAAGAAACAGCTGCTGAGCAAAGGGATTGTCGGCAGAGGTGAGACTACGTACGAGGAATGCCGGCAGGGATGAGGACGAGATCACAGCCAGTGAGGGCATTCTTCAATCCATCATCCTTTGGCAAGTAGCCAGAGATTTTCTATCAACAGCACAAGTTAGCATGACGAGAACTATCTTAACCCCCATCCTCTATATATATACATATCAGGAACTCCAACTTACGGCAGTAGAAGAGATGTGAGAGAGATCGGCGGTAACACCGGGGCTGTTGACGACATCATAAAGGACAAGCTCCTCAACTAGAGGGCAGACCTTCAGGAGAAGGGAGAGAGGCTATATACCCGAAGGCCCAACTGGTTAGCCAGCCACCCCGCTCACAGGGTAAACAAGGCCTCAACAAGCAGGGCTACAAACCTGGCCAATGCCACCAGAGGCACCGAGAACAGCTAATTGGCAAGAAAAACACGGTTAGAACACCCTGAAGAATAGATATTTTTCTCTTGAACATTGGGTCAGGAACAGATATCTCACCAGCTTTAACCATGGTTACTGCTTGGATGGAGGCGGGGAACTATAATAAACAAGCTGCAGTGATGACTATTAGCATCTGTTATCACAAAGGTTCGACTATAAAGCGCCAAACACACGTACAGAGTGAAGCAGTCAGTGAAGCCGGAGAGAATGAAGCGAAGAAGAGAGAGTGTGAAGGTGAAGTACGAAGAAGAAGAAGAAGGAAAAGAACTCAAGTTGCCTTTTGCGGAGTTTATCAGCCCGCGGTAAAAGTCACATGTTGGCCCCGCTGACTCAGCTGATAACGAAAAGCCTTTTTTTTTTTCTTTTTATATCTTTTTATGTCTCGTTTATATACAAGCGATTACTTTCTTCTCTTCTGCTCGCGCCGGCGGCTTCATCAATCAGAAACATGGGAGCTTTGCAAGGAACTCTGCACGTCTACCCAATCAGCATCACGTGAGACCAGACTCGACCCCCACGGTTGCGATGCATCGCGCTTGGCAGGTTGGGATGTCGTCTCCGGCATCTGAAGGGAGCCCCTATATCACTCCCAAGAGACGTCTCAACAGGTTACGGCCGCCGTCCCTCCGTCGCTAGGGAGAAGACAACTGGTCATCAGTTCATGAATATCCATGGGTCAATATCAATGCATGCCAGGCCCCACTCTCAAGCTCCAGGAACACGGCGCGAGAAAGCTTGAATCGAAGCCATAGAAAAAAGCAATTGTCCACATCCCTCGACAGCATGGCTAAATATATAGCAGCGTTGCCCTTGGAAACATGTCTGTCTGTCTTACCAGATAATGTGTCAGGATCCCTTTTATTTTTATTTTTAATTTTACGGAGATGCCCTTGTACTAGAGAGCCAGGCCGAGGCATTGAGATATTCGTCAATCCGACCATGGCACGGAACTAATCGTTACGGAATATTCCGACTCTCCTTCGACGGAGACACGGAGAGAGAGCGCTTCTACGCCACTTTACCATGCGCGTCTACATAGGAAGGTGTAGTGGAGGGAGACGTCCGAGGGCTAGCCTTACGGAAACTGTCCGACACATAGTCTGAACCTGGCGCGAGAATATCTCCTTGCAGAGTATAATTATCGACGTCATCATTGGGCATCATTGATCAAAAAAGCAAGTTTGTAAAGGTTTCAAGGCATGACAAATTCAGTCCTCCAGACCATAAATCAGGAGACACTAAATGGATGTAAGTAGAAATCAATACGCAGCCATGATTCATATTTCTTTTTTATTGTGTCATGCCCTTAACTATGGCTCGGATAGGCTGGGAGACAGTAGTAAAATGGTATCTCCAAGGTTCACAGCAACAAGACGCCTCCATTCCCTCATCTCCAGTTTCACCAACTCATCTAAGCATCCTTCTCAGTGGCCTTTCGGGCCTTAGCGCCTCTGAGCTTCTTCTCAGGGCTGTCCTTCTTTGGTCGCTGGGATTTTCGGATAGCACTGGCACGGAAAACGGCCTCAGGGCGGAGGTCTGCCCGGTATCCACCGCACACAGTTCGGCTGGCGACACTCTTATATACCCTGGGTAGAAATATATGTTTAGCATGATGTTCAGTCAAAGGGGAGAATGTTCCGTCTCATCCCCTCTGCAGCTCATAATATCACAATTCTTCCGAGTCCAGAGGTAGAAAATTCGTGGTAATTTTTCGGGGAATTCTTACTTGCGGTTGGAAGAGCCGGAACCGTGGGTAGCGGTAACAGTGTTGGAGCCAGGTTGGTGGGAGTTATCTGGTCTCTTGGTGGTAACGGCGACACCACCGTTCTCAGCAGTCTGGATGCCTATAGCCTATTATAACCAGCAAGAACCGGGTTAGAAAATGGCAAAGTCCATGTATATTCTTTCTGTTGTTTTGTCGCGCAGCCGTTGATCAATTTCTCCTTTTGTCCCTCCACCTCGGACGTTGAACTTCCTCCCAATTATGCATCGCAATAATGGCTCAGATGAGGGCGAATAAATACCTTAGAGTTGACGAAACCGGCATACTATTAAAGAGAAAGCTGTTAACACAACCACCCAAAAGTGAAACGGGATTATATAGTCTTATGGTAGTGAATAACTCACCTTTCTCGAGTGCTTGTTGACCAAGTTCAATGGGTCACGAGAAAATTGAACACCACCGCCGTTCTTTCGCTTAACCAAGTAAGCATTCTGGGTTCCTAATTATTCGAAAAAGAATATCCATTCTAATCAGCTTCATCTGTACATTTAACCGCGCGCACCTTCACCGCAGCACAGAGTGCTTTCGCAGCATATCGAAAACCTAGAAAGAAACGGGAGGGAAGTTCGTACGGGCAATGCCCCAGACCAAGTCGTCGGACACGTTAGGGCGGGCGGAGGTAGCCATGGCGTCTAGGAGGGAGAAAACGGGTGGCTTGGTGAAGGGAGACGGAGGGTTGTTTGTAGAATTGATTGCTTGAACTTGATCCCTTTCTTTTGCCCTCTTTTGCTCTCTCAATTTGGCGATTATTTTGTTGTGCGTAATTTTTTTGACGCCTAGCAGAAAGCCTTGGCACGCGGCTAACCTTCCTTGTTGGGAAAAGCTCGCTAACTTGGCCCGTTTTAGTCTAGAACCTGACTCATCATATTATGTAAGTAAATGTCACGTGTATATGATTATATAATAATTCAAGGCTTAAAACATCTTTTGAGCAGAAGAAGAAGCAGAAGAAGCAGAGGAAGCAGAGGAAGATAATAAATATCATAAGCGGCGTCGAGGGCAGCATCACTCTTACACTCGTTCTACTTCTATCCTATAAAGTCTACTTCTCCTAGTAGACTGTCTTGTAACCGCCATCTCGACCCTCGAAACAGCTTAATCTTCCTTATCAACAGCCTGGCGCAAGATCCTTGATCTGCCCTGTATACACCAACGTCATGGGCTACTTTTACTACTCTCTTACCTTCTTTGCTTTTCTCTCTTTTGCAGGTAAGTCTTGGACAGCTTGACACTCTATATTCTTTTACAAGACCTCCTGTTGTACAGACTATATATAAATTCCCCAAGTGAGCAATGCTAATACTCTATTAATACAGCAGCCTACTTCACCCGAGACCGCTGGCTCCCTCACCTCCCCATTCCTGGACACCTTTATACTCAACTACCAACAAGTTTCCGTGGTGATGCTGAAGCTGGCTTATCCTCCGCTGACTTTAACCTGGCGGATAACATCGTGGACGGAGATTCCCGTGCTGGTCTAGATAAGCGCGGCAAGTCAGAAGTTCTGCGGATAATGAAGAGTAGAAAGGTGGATTTCAATGAAGCCAGACGAATATATACAGAACAACGATTTGCGAAGAATAATATCGGTCCTGACGGGAGGCCGCGGGATCCGAAATTTGTGTCGTTTTCGTGATGGGCTGCCGTCATAACCTACATCGCCCCATCAGTAAGACTCTTTATCGTCCCTTCTAATGGGATATCGCTCGTTTAGTTTCTTTCATTCTTGGTAAGGGAGCACAGGAGCATGGGGTTTAATATTTCAATCTTTTAATTCCTTTTTTTTTGTTGCTGCTTGCACGTTCTATGGATATTTAGCGGTAATCCGCTACTTCACTTCACCGTCCCTATCCAGACACACCTCCTTTGCCTGTTCTATTCCCAGCGTTGATCGTTTGTGCGATTTCTCCTTCAGTTGCGTTACCTGTATTAATAGTTATTCTTCATACATATCATTTGCAACGTTGCTGCACATAGCCACAAATAGTGTTATTTAAATGCGCCTTTTCGTGTTCCACCAACAGATGCCCTCGTAGATAAGGCATAAGTGGGAGAACCAAGCTTTGGAAGAGGCGTAGCTTGAACGTCTTCGTTGGCGTAAATTTTTCAAAAGTAGGTTTAAACTCCTTCCCTTGACGTATTAGCAAAACTTGTCTTTCATGATAACGTCAAAAAACAATTCAACGGCCCCGACCATATCCCTGTTGCTGGAATCCAGGTGGTAGACCGGGAGGTCCTCCTACAGGCGGCGGAGCGAAGCCTGCAGGTGCAGGCTGAGGCTGACCAAATCGAGGTGGTTGGGCGGGGAACCCTGGAGGAGGCCCGCCATAGCCAGCTTGAGATGGTGGAGGACGCGCAGGAAGCCCCGGGGGAGGCGTAACTAGCGGCTGAGGAGGGTGTGGTGGTGGATGCGGTGCATGTGGTGCACGATGATGTGGAAGTGGGCCGGCCATGTTCATATTCGGATATCCCCCGTTCATAACTGGAGGTATGCCTCTGCCAGCACCAAAGTCTGGTGGTGTTGGTCCAACACCCATTGGCGGCCGTTGCTGTTCGGTTTCCATCACCGGTGGCGTCGGTACGGTGGAGGGAACATTTTGCCCGCCGGCATTCATAGCACCGCTGGGTCCAGGAGCTGCACCACCGGCGAATTGAGGAGGTAGTGATTGTTGCGGTTGAGGTTGAACATTGTGTTTTCGGGCCTGTGCAGCGAGCATTCGCTCCGCTTCGTCACCGTGTCTCTCTCCTTTACCGTCCTTCTTATAGGCGTATTGCACGGATATCTCCTTATTCATAAGATACTGCCCATTCATATTGGCAATAGCGTCATCGGAAGCCTCGAAGTTGGAAAACGATATGAACCCATAGCCTTTGGACAAGTTTGAGTCGTCTCGGGCAACCTGCAGTATATACAATTAGCACAAAAAATGTCGAAGTAAAAAAGGACAGTAGTAAAACCAACTTTAGGAAGAGATATCAATGATCCAAATCGACTGAACGTATCGTATAACACTTGCTCCGTGACCATGGGGTCCAGATTCCCAACGAACAGCTCTGCGCCAACTTCGACCGTTTTCTGCTTATCGGCAGACGCCTTGTTAACTCGAATAGGCTTGCCATATAGACGGACTTGGTTCATAATCCTTGACGCATACTCTGCATCCTCCTCACTGTTGAACTCGACGAAACCGTAGCCTTGGTGTGTTTGCGTGACGCGGTCTTTTGGGAGGTGCACGTTAACAATACGACCAGCCTGGAGCATCAACTCCCATACCAGCTTATCTGTAACTCGTTCATCGAGATTTCCAATATATACTGTCGCCTCCTTATCTTGTTCCCTAGTTTCTATAGTTAGCATTCGTCCGTATGCAGTTTGGTTTCGAGAGGTAAAAGAATGCCAAAAGACCTACCAGTGCCTTGCGCCGGACATGATTGCTGCTCAGACTGAAAACTAAGCGGTATATCTGTCTGAATAAGACACGCGACAGCTATTATCTCCTCGAAGTCAGCGAGCTCTTCAATATCTGTCGATATGATGTAAAATGTATACATAGAAAGGGAGAAAAAGAACAACCAAGTCGAACGCCAAGAAAGGAAGCTAATTTTTTTCTTCCAGATCTTTCAAATGCTTCAACAACGACGAACTTCTTCACTTTGATCAGTAAGATAAAAAGAAAAGAACAAACACCGCTGAAGTCACGCTCTTCTACGGTCCGATACCATACATCAAATTACAAGGCAAACATGATGCAGTTTTCGGAAGAGACAAAGGTAAGACTATCTCTCGGCTTGCTGGTTTATTCCGTCCTGACATGAAGTATAGGAGCGCATCTCCAAGGTCATCGACATTTCGCGGGTTGCCATACACTAGTGAGTGAACGAGGGACATCTTTTCAATCCTTTGCAACACGCCATGCTTAGTTTTTTGGGTGTGAGCTTTCGATCTGGGGGGCTAACGGTTGCCGCTTGATGGTTCTACAGTGGATATCTTCCATTGATTGTCTACCTGGGTAAGTGACAAGAGACCCGATATCAGTACCTTGACGGTTTCAATTTGCTAACTTCTTCCAGGATACACATACAGTGAACCACGACCGGCTCTTCTCAAGTATGATGTTACCCTCCGGCTACTTACTAGGCACTCCAACTTACCTAACTTCATCGTTAGACTCCTCTCTCCTCTCGCATAAAAACATCACACGACGAATATATTAAGGGTGGCATGGAAAGGCGTACGACTATACAATGGCGGTATTTTTTATACGAACGGCTGGAAATAATAATTCTTGACTATACAGGCTTGAGGCTATGTGCATACTCGGTCCCCTTTTACCTCTTGAAAGACCAGTCAGCCCTGCTTGGACTGAAACCACGCTGCAGTTCCGCCGCATTTACTTCACGATAACTATGGAGGTTGAATACCAGACCATTCAAACCGAAATGTCTCCGTTTCCTTTCCTCATGTATTACTATAACTTTCCCAATTGAGCATAGCCTTCTTTTTACACATTCCTTACCAGTCATCACCTTGTAGGGCTAGGGAAGACAGTATGGTATAACCTATCAAGAGCTCAATTCTCCTCATTGTCTGGGGAAGCTCTTGGTTTGATCAGCTTGCTGGTATATAGGAGTATTCCGTTGTCCCGGATATCCCCATATTTTGTAGAATTTCGACGCAGGAAGAGCTTCTAGACTGCTTCTGAACACATCAAGGAGCTCCTTTTTGGAATAAATCTACCGGCTTCAGACTCCTCGGCTTCATAAAACGGGTGCAAGAATGTCTCTTCGGTCAAAAGAGTCTTCCCGCCCCGTTTTACAAAAGAAAAGTTCAGCTCCCATCAAATTTTCTTTTTCAATCACTATAATGCTTTGACTCCAAACAGTGAGCTACGGCGATAAACTGAAGAATACCCAGGATTAATAGTTGTGAGGGTTCATGAATGACAATAATGGTCTTTCCGCATCGTTGGTCGAGACGATAGCTGGCTTTACTGCCGGCGTTTGCTCAACTCTGGTCGTCCACCCGCTTGATATTGTCAAGACAAGGCTCCAAGGCAGGTTAATTCTTAAATATTATAGCTTTTTTTTTTCATGAGGATAAGGACTGACAGTGTTTATTTCATTCAATTGCAGTGGACCGGTTTTCCTCCTCACGCATTGGTAGCTCGCTCCGCATTATCCGTGACATATCTCTCAATGAAGGTGGAATACAGGCATTCTATCGAGGCCTTACGCCTAATCTTGTCGGAAACTCCGTGAGCTGGGGCTTATATTTCCTATGGTACGGCAAGATTAAAGAGCTTTTGAGCGTGGCCCGCGGAGCAGGAGATGGTGCCGCTAGACTATCGTCTTTGGACTATTTCCTTGCATCCGGAACGTCTGGTATGTCCGTCTATTCATAAACATTCCTGGTTCCATACAACGTGAAATTAACACTCTATATCACTTTAGGGGTCCTGACAACCATACTTACCAATCCAATATGGGTTATCAAAACACGAATGCTTTCCACCGGCGCTCATGTACCAGGCGCATATCCCTCAATGATCTCAGGACTCCGACAGATATACCGTACAGAAGGCATTAGTGGCTTCTACCAGGGGTTGGTCCCTGCTATGTTTGGGGTAAGCCACGGTGCTTTGCAATTTATGGCATACGAAGAGTTGAAGAGATACCGTACACGCATGACCCAACCTTCCTCTCCAGACGGACTCACGAACCCGACCGATACGCCCCCGGCACAGCTCAAGGCCCTGAGCAATATCGACTACCTCGTACTCTCAGGGCTATCTAAGATTTTCGCAGGCTGTGCCACCTATCCTTACCAGGTTCTTCGGGCCCGGTTACAAACGTACGATGCAAGAGGAACCTATAAAGGTGTTCGTGATGCGTTTGTGCAAACATTGCGAACTGAGGGACTAGCTGGATTCTATAAGGGCCTGGGACCAAACCTGGTCCGCGTCTTGCCCAGTACGTGGGTTACCTTCCTGGTGTATGAGAATGCAAGGATATACCTCCGGGTAGATAAATGAAATTACTTACTCTCGTGGGGATGATTGCGTCCATTTTGCTTCCGTGGAAATTTACCATATCGGCATCATGCAGGAACAAACGCCCTGTTTGTCTATATTTTTCTTCTCCCTTCCTCGTACCGGTGGCTCAAGAAAGAGTTTGGTATGCTGCGGATGTCCGCTAGGCTACGACGTGTGCATTCACAGCCCAGAATTCAGCTTCTCAGGTGATCAACCTTTGATAATTCAAGGATGCGGTCGCAAGAGACCTGGCACAGCGTTGATTTTTTGTTTTCTTGTCTCAGCGCAATATACTTGACCGTCTTTCCCTGCCAATTAAGCTACTATCACCTCGTAGGGATCCCTTGGTTGATAAGAACGAGTCTTGATATATGACATGTCTTCGCTGAGTAGGCTATAACTCCTCTCAAATCTAAACAAGCAAACAGCATAATATGTAGATAAAAATAAACAAGGCTGACTTTCGAGTGGAGCTAGCGAGGTTTGGCTAAACTGTCAAGGTGTATGAGAGGCAAGGATGGTTAGGGATAGAAGCCGAAATAGAGGGTGGGGGTTTAGGTACAGAGACGGCGAGAGATGATGATCGCAAAACGTAGGGGGGTTTGGTAGGTACATTGCTCTGAAATAGCTTTAATTGATAGGGTTGGTATAAAAGCAACAAAACAGATTGGTATAATGGTATGAAACTACAGCCAGGCAAGAAAAACACCTTGAGCGAGGAGAGTGAAGAAACCAAAAAAAAAAAAAAAAAGAATAAAAAAAGAAAAAGAAGTCAAGGTATGCTAGCTGCTCATGCTTTGTATCGAGAAAAAGAGAACCATGGAATAAAAAAGGAAAGGAAAGGAAGAGATAAACACAAGTCCCCTCCGTGAATGATGCAAGCAATAGAGTCGAGCGGTTTAGTTGTAGCAGGAGTGTTGAAAAGATATGAAATTAAGCAATTATTCCTCTTGCAGTCGATTCGAAAACGCAAGAATAGGAAAGCATTTGCCCTTTCTTTTTGCTGGTAATGAAAAAGAAAAAGGATGTAGTCAGTCGAGCTGAGGTGCTTTTTTGTCGTATTTTTTTCGCGGTAATACTTCCGCCAAATGCTCCAACCCCCCGCCTTTATATACTCCAGATATCCATTAACTGTGCTCGATTTCCTCCCTTCTTTTTTTTTTTTTCTTTATGGGGGTGTTGGTGTTTGAATCACCGCAAGACAGATTTGGATGTTCCGTCCCCCGCGGGTTATTCATTCTCCAGGAACCTGGTCAGTGGCCACCTCGTTGGTACATCTGCTCGTGAAATTCAACGTCATCACTGCTGGGTGTTCCAAGGTAGGTACCGCGATGGTAACTTCTCTCTCGCATGAGCTTTGCCTCCTCCTCATTGCCAAGCGGGAGCTGATGTGTGGGCATTCTGCTGTTTGAAGGAGCTGGGGCAGGAGCGGAACTCATGATATTATTGGCGGTCGTGTCAGAGGTACTTGTTTTGGTGGAATTTGAACGAGCTTTTGCAGTCGATGAGACGCGGCGGTCTTTCCCACGGCCTTTGATACCCTTGTTGCTGTTTTTGTAGAGCATGGCGAAGTACTCCCACAATTCCGCATCCTGTGGGTTCATTCTGTCGGGTTCGGTGATCATGGCAAAACGCATAGTGAGATTCCGTAGAGTCTGTGCATGGAATTTGTTTTGATGAGACTACGGCAGAGTTAGTATCAAGTTGCTTTTGCGACATGCTTGCTTTGACGTACCTTGAGGTTTCCTAGTTGCGTAAACTGTTTCCCACAATCATCTAACCGGCAAGTAAACGGCTTTGCTTGGTCGTGGGTAATCTTATGAGCGCGAACATTTCCACGTTGAGCAAAACGCTTGTGGCAGATATCACAGGAATAAGGTTTCTCTCCTGTATGCCGCCGTTCATGGGTCTAAATCGAGAGTATTAGCCTGATTTGAACACGCCGTCAGGCGATTGTTATTGTCAAATTACCTTCAGATTTCCTAGTTGGGAGAATCGTTGGCCACATCCAGGCTCGCTGCAGAGCTACAGGTTTTCAAAGAGTCAGCAAGCCAGATTCCGGTAAACTGGAGGTCTTGATGTAACATACGAATGGTTTATCACCCGTGTGAGCTCGCATGTGAATGTCAAGATGGGTCTTTTGGGTGAAGTTCTTGCGGCAGTCGGGAAGCGTGCACTCGTATTTGCGCCGTGATTTCTGCTTTGTCGTACCCCGGGCTTGTTGGTGAGGAGCATAGCCAGGCTGTTGCATCTGCTGGGCCTGCTCTTGTGACATGGGAGCTCCGTAATTCGGCTGAGCCCACTCGGGGGCGCCGCCATGCATGGAAACGTTACCCGGTGTCGATGCAGAATTGTTGAACTTTTGGAGCGGCGGTAGTTGTAGCTGGGTTTGCGACGTGCTTCGCGGCTTCGACTGGATCGCCCTCATAAGGGTATCGATTTCGGTAGAGAACTCGACTTCGGGCTTGCTTCCTGGCGGGGACGGTAGCTTGCTGATTTCTGCACTTCGGTTGTGTTGTTCCATGGGTGCACGGGTAGGCTGTGTCTCTTCAACTCTCGTGGCCGGCGTCCCGACCATGCGAGACACGCCGTTCTTCGCATGTCGCGTATCTGGGATCGGTTGCTGCAAGGCTGCCGGTTGGTTTGGCGGAAGCCGCGATTGTGACGGTGGCAAGTGCGGTTGCGGTTGCTGATGTTGTGGATGAGGGTGATGCTGCGGATGCTGTGGGTGTTGCGGATGCGGAGGCGGAGGTTGTTGTTGAGGATGCTGTTGGTGGTGTGGGTGCGGTTGGTGCGGCTGTTGTTGCTGATGCGGTTGGTGCGGTTGATGCTGTTGGTGAGACTGATGAGGTTGGTGCTGCGGTTGATGTTGCGGGTGATGCGGTTGGTGATGCGGATGCTGCTGCTGCTGCTGTTGCGGAGGAGGAGGTTGCTGCTGTGAGTGGTGGTTCTGCCCAAAGAACCCGTGGTAAGATGCTGCAGGGTGCTGGTTCGTGTTTAGGATATGGCCAAAGTCGAGAGAGGACGACTGGATCGGTGCTCCGTACGAGAGCGCCGGGTTCGAGTAATAGGTGATGTTCTGCTCATGATGCGGTGCCATCATCCGTCGGTGAGTGACATTTGCCAAATCATGGCTCGAAAAAGTACACGGAACAGGCACTGCCGTCTCCATTTTTAATCTCAAAGGTATTATCAGTGCTCCAAGTTTGGTGGCCGAACCACATCCCCGGGCGAAAGAGATTCGAAGCAGTCGACGAGGTCTTTGGACGTCAACAGGTTAGCTGTCCCAGTGCTGAAGAACGAACAACGAATCCAACGGCCAGAGACGAAGAGACGAGTGTAATTTTTTTGTTTTTTGCTGGTACTTTTTTAATTATATGTTTCTTTTTCGTAGTCGTGCTGCTGCTCGGTGAATATTTTCTTTTTTCTTTTCTTTTTTTTTTTTTTCCTTTTTTTTATATATCCTCCTGCCTTCTGGCCTCTGTTTTTCTTTTCTTCTCGTACGGGTATAGTCTGACGAAGGGCCTGTACCTGTCGATAAACAACCTGGGTCAGGGGGTTATTGTTCTTCTTTGCGTCGAAGGTAGAGGGCCGCGACTTGGTCGAGAGAGAAGAGCGAAGGGGGAAGAAAAAAAAAGGGTTGGTGGTGAGGCAAAGAAGATCGACGATCTGAGGACGGCGATTGGTTCCCGGGCCAGGCAGGCAACAAAGACTTGTGAAGTAATATGATGGTGAGGAAAAAAAAAAATAATATGTATGGGTTTTCCTGGAGATGAAGGCAAGAAGTCTCGCAAAGGGAAGGTTGGTGGGAGAACGGAGCTTATGTATAAATTATATATCGACGGAAGAAGAAAAATTAAGCATAAATCATTGGTATGATTAGGTCGCGGGGAGGGAAGAGAAAAGAAAAAAAAAAAGAAAGAGAAGAGGGAAGATAAAATATCGAAGTGAACGATATAATAATGGAGCAAATGACCACAAACTTCCCTTCTCAAAAGTGGAAATTCTGTCGGGGACGTAATCCGCAATGGTTATAAAATACCAGAAAAGAAAACTCTCTTCCGATAGCTTAAACTCTCCCTTGAAGCTTGGTCGCGGAAACTTGACGTTAGCGAAGCTGCAGAGTGGGGTTAAACAGCCGGCGTCACTTCAATAGGATTGCCAGGGGGAAGCAAGCTACAGGCGAAGTTGTGAGATGTTGTCTGATAACAGTGCGCAAGGTAAATGTATGTAGATCGCGATTCATCGAACGTGAGATGCAGAAGCGAGTCTATTTGGCGGTTTGATGCTGGTGGATGCCTCTGTGGGTCATATGTCCAAGTGGTTGTTGATATGTAAGGAAGTTTGGCTGGTTCGTCTCTGGCGGTAGACTTTCTCCGTGTGTCTTCTCTTTGCCTCTTCTTCTCTCGTCTCTTGTCTCGCTGGCGTTTGGCCTCTGCAACACCGGAGAAGGGAACGGATCCTGATTAATTTATCGTCATGGGCGGAGGGATGGGTTCAAACGTTTCTGTCGAATGAGCTAGGGATCGCACAGATTCAAACACCTAAAAAAACACCTAATAGGTAACACAAGAGAAAAGATTTAAAAAAAAAATGTGAGAAAAAAAAAAAAGTGGATAATTTCTTTCCTTAGGGGAGAGAAGGGGGTGTGGACGAAAGCAAGCTCAGATGCAGGATTGTGATCTGGCGGCCGGTATCCATGTTTGAATGAAAAAAAAAAAAAAAAAAAAAAAAAAGTGGGCTAGAGTTCAAGTCAATGGGTATGCTGTATGCAGCCGAGAGCCACCTAAATCGAGCCTAAGGCTTGGTTAGGCTAAGGCTGAATGGGTGGCAGAGCCCATTGTGTGGGCTGGCGAAGAGAAAAAAAACAAAAGAGCAAATCCCACTGGCCAGAGGTGGCCCATTCGAGGGTCAGGTCTGGAGAAAAGTAGTACAGGCAAGGGTGGTGGAGTACCACTAGTCGCCCAAAATTGGAAGACCATTGACGCTCAATTCGGAATGCCCAAAACCAGAGTGTCGAAATATATAATACACGGAGGGCACGGAGCTTTTAGCGTAATGCAACAGCCGGGGGGGGTCCCTGGAACAGTTGTTAATCAAGGGACCAGTTTTTCCCCATGTCTCTCTCCCTCTCGTCGCTCCTGTTGGGTTGGGCCATGCACTGTTCGTGAGGATGACAGATAGGTTCAACCCCGACCAAGTGTTCTTCTTTAGCCATGCCTTGCTTCCCCGGGGAGGGGGGGAGGAAACCACATTGTGACAGGCGATCGGCGCATCGAAAAGGGCCTATCTGTTCGCTGTCGAGTAAAGCGGAGCAGGCGTTATAGTTGCACGCCGAGAAATACGGCACACTTCTGAGAACTCTCCATCAAAACACGGTCAGCCGACAACCAAAAGCCAAGAAATGCCTTGGCTCTCTGAAACCTCTTCCACCCCAGGTCTAGCTCCTTCGAGTGATGGATGGACAGCCAACCTTGGTTTCCGCCCAGAGCGTGCTTACATAGTACTCTCTCTCTCTCTGCGCAAATCTCGATCGATGGCAGAGTTCAGCATTTAGTGTTAGCCACAGGCAGTCAATCAATCAGATCAATCCGACTTCTGGAGACTGGCCGGGTTCGTAACCCTGTCCACTCCGTTTGGACCACAATACATAGTACATTTTGAGTACTTCGTAATGCGCGTCGGAGTAAGATGACACCCTCCCATCAGAGGTTGTAATGGTACTTCGTAAGGCCGTAGCGCCCTTTCACTTCACCCTCACTTCCCCCCCCTCCTTTAGGTTATATACCGTAACTCCGGGCTATGGAGATTTTGATTGTTCAAAGTGGCGAGCTCCCAGACTATTGTTTGCTAGCTGCTGATTGTTGGACCAGGATGTCTGCCACCTGATTGGTGAGTTTGGCTATCCACCCTTCTTCCCCCAAGTGTCTCTCTCACTCGCCTCCTAGGCTGCCGCTGGCTTGATTGGCCAGACATCCGTTTCGATCCGGCAGAGGCACGAGACCTGCCGCCAATCGCGGAGGATTTCAAGCACATCCGGCCAGAGGGCAAGAAAGACCTCTCAGCCATTTTCTTTTTGGTTCCGCTAAGCGCTGCAAGGGTGGTGTACGGTCCCAAATGACGGGAATTCCTGTGGGTCTTGGGAATCCCTGAGAAATGGCCAAAAAAAAAAAAAATGGATGGGGTGAATCGCGCTGGGGATCGAGGCTGATGGTAGTCATCGACCTGTGGCTCAGCCGGCTGAAAAAAGCAGCTCTCTCCCTTTCTTTTTCCCATCTGTCACATCTCGAGCTATCTTATGTGTCAACCATCAGAATCACGAACTGAAGTTGGAGTTTTTTTTTTATCAGACGAAAAGAAAAGAGAGAGAGAAGCACGTTGCTTTCCTTTTCTGGGTTGCTGAGGTAAGCTTGAACCAGTGGTCACATAACTTAGGAATACGTAGTTCTCATTGGCTGGAATCCTTCAGGTTTACAAAATTTAGCCAATAGATGGCCATATTCTCTTACATAAAGTGGGCCATTGTACCATACAGAAACACATAAAAAAGCCGTTTTTTATTTATTTTTTATGTTTCTTCAACTTCAACTTTTCTTCTTCGACTTTGACAACTTCCATCTCCACTGCGATGCTATTTTAATCTAGATATTCTCCATAACAAGAGACGCACGAAATCCTCACAAGACAGGCTTGGGGCCTAAATATCGGCATATTTGCATCATAAGCTGTCCCGACAAGAGGGAAAGCTGATCGGTGGCTTGTCGAGGCGAAACCTTCGTCATGGATCGGACAGCCAATATCAGAGCCTTGATATCAACGGAAACTGGTGTAGCCTCAATTCGAGAAACAAATTTCTTTTTGGCATGCCTTCTTCTCGCTGACGTCTCGGCTCCCTGCTTCCTGGGATCCCATGTGGAGCGGCGAATATAAGTATGTATGCAGATATAGGTATGTCTATCCAGAAAAGGCTGAGGGAAAGTAAAACTGGACCTGAAACCCGAGGCGTTTCTTCATGCTCCCTTCTCACCAAAGAAGAAACGGATAAAAAACAAAGAAATGCCTCTCTGCTTCGATTGTTGGTTTGACAACCATGATGTAAGTGTGCTTAACTCTTGATCTACATATTGACGCACATATAGGAATCTTTTAACAGCCCGCATGTTGCGATCATATATGGCAGCACGGATCATACGGAGTATACGGATTATAAATATAAAACACACATAAATAACATACTATATATAATATATGCCTACGAAAATAGCTGCTACCTCAACACGAGAGGAACTCGTGTTGTATTCTGGATTTCCAGCAACTCAAACTCTCCACTGCCAACTTCTCACAACGGCCTGCCAGCTTTGATGAGGCATATTAAGGGTGTCAAACTGGTGAAAACGGATTGTCATCTGTATAAGGGCAAGTATCAGTGATCGTCATCTGCAAATATTACAAGCAGAACCACGTTTCTTCTCCAAATGTAGCCTCAACTTAAGGAGGGACTGATACATATATGGATTGGTTGGATGTAAGTATGATATGCTGCTGACTTCATATACCAGTCTCGTTGGCCCAGAGGAAAAAGCAGTGCTCTCCCTCTCGGACTCCTATTTAGCTCCCGGCTAACCTTGATCAAATGGAACGTGGCAGCAAAAGGAAATCAACCGTCATCGGCTGAAAAGAAATGTGGAAAAAGAGAGAAAAGAAACCAAAAAAAAAAAAAGGAAAGAGAGGAAGAAAGAATATAGAGGGGAAAAAGAAACGAATTCCGCAAAAGTAACTACGAGAATATGCAAGGCTAAAATGGTCATCTCGCCCCTCAAAGACCTCCCAAGACAGGCTGTCAAAAGAGCAACGTATTCAACGACCAGCTATCCAATAACCGGTACCAAGGGGGAATGAAAATTAAAAAGAAAGCCACACGACAATCGCCAGGAACAGATATCTGAGACGCGCTGCCTTTTCAGCTTGTCCCGCCTCCTTTTTTAGGTGTGCCAGGATCGTTAAAAATAGCCTTCAATTTACTGGCATTCTGTCTCCTCAGGCCTGAGGGTGTTTACTCTGGACTTTCGGCTGCCCACATGCGCCAAACGAAAAACAAAAAGGAGAAGAGACTAAAATTAACATCCTTGCGTTTCAAGGCAGGCCCTTGCCCGGCCTCTTGTTTAGGCCCGTGCTTCGCGGACGGGAAGGGTTTGCTTTTTCTCTCTCCTTTGCTTTTTCATCCCAGAATCTCTCTAGGCTACCGGCATTTTCTTCGACCTCGAGGCTTAGTGCGTTACAAGGCACACTCGCGGCTGTCGCTATCTTGAGCTCGAAAGATTGATCTTGATGAGCTTTCATTCCGACTCGTCCGTTTGAGCCGAATCCTCTACCAACGGCATATTGTCTCGTCACAATGCCGTTCGCTATCCTTCGCTATCCGGCAGATGTCTGCCCGATCTCAATTGATGAATAATGCTTTACGCCGAGCTTACTTATCATGTACTCTGCACTAATATGTATATGCAAACAATCATCCTTGTGGGCTATACATAGAAATTAAGAAATTACAATGACAACACATAACATATACTACATAGTATGTATGGTGTTGGTGGATGGTATCAAACCCTTGCCGCAATATTGGACAAGGGGCCCATGGCACACAGAGCAAAACAACGACACACAGAAATCTACCCTTACCCAACTCCTCGGGATTACTCCAACCTTTCTTTCCCCCTCCCAAATTACTTTTTCCATCTTTAAATCGCACAAAAGCAATAATCATCAGCCTGGCACGTTCAAAGTAACTTTCTTTCTTGCCCCGTGCACGTTTACCCATGAACAAAAGACTTATGGATTCTCGCACCATACGAGAGGAGCATCGATGGATTGCAGGACGCGGCCTCAACGATGAATCTAAAAAAAAAAAAAGGGTATGAAAAAAGAAGGGCGCCACACATCCCAGGGTATGGACAGGAGGTATTCTCCGCGTGACTGATCTTCCTTCTTCCCCCAGCGGCGCTTCCAGCTTCCCAATTACGGTATAGAGGGTCGCTGCTTAATCTGATACAAGGAGTCCCCCTTTTAAGATTTACTAGCTGTCTTTTTCCCACAGAACTATTTTTCCCTGGTATATGTATAGGTGTACCTTGCCGAATAACGCCCTTTTACCTTTCAGCGCAAAAATCGAGTTATCATAACCGCGGAAGCAAAACGGAGATGATCAACCACTTGGTCTCGGCATGGTGGAAAGCGTACGCGATTTCGCTCGGCTGGCCCTTGCCCGTTTTCTCTCCTTGGGCTATCAAATCAACACAGAGCGCCATGGCCACAGGGCCTAGAGTGTTATCGATTTGGACCCTCAATAATACAAATGGTTTTGTGATTGGTCAAGATATGGAATCATCCTGCATACATTATCTACATGTCAAACGAAATAAAGGGGTTAAACCTCACTTGGGATGATCCAAACCCTCTCCCCCAAAGGATATTTTCTGCAAACAATGGGCTAAATGAAGAACTACTATCGATCGTCTATCAGCTGTCTATCGATTAACAAAAAAATTCGATCAGTCTATTCTAATCCCCCACTTGCGTTTTCCAGAATGAGCAAAGGAGAACCGCGAGGAGCAAGACACAAATAGGGTGGCCAAAATAATCTACACTATTCGTTATCAGACATAGAACAGATGCGATTCATAATTGTTTTCTTACCTGATACCATACCTGACACTAGACCGTCCTATCTCGAACCTTGAGAGGCCGTGAATAAAGACTGGCTGAGTCCACAAAGTACACTGTGCAGAAGACATGCGCTGTACGGACTGGGCCATACGTCGTCCTTCCACGGTGTATATTCTCCGCCCACGTCACACAGGAAAAAGCGTCCTGAGCGTGGATAGGATAAAAATCGGGCTACAAAAGGAATTACGCGGAACAAACTCATGTCTGTCTCTGAACGCTAAGGAGAAACGCAAGCAAGCTTGAAACAGGAACGAACGGTGGGACTCGCATTCACCTTCTTCCTCACACTTGGCCTCTTTTTTTGCCTTCCGCACTTGTTTCTGTTTATTAGGAGGGGGCGCAAAAAACAAAAGTGAGGCTTTGGAAGAAGGGAAACACCGGCACGTTAGCTGGTTCACCCAATCAATTAATTTATAGGGATGTACAAGGTGGCGTTGCCTGGGTATCTCTTCATAAATTTGCCTCTAGATCAGGGTACTAGGATCGATGATCTTCACCGAAATACCAAGGTGAAAGGGCCGTCGCCTGCAAGGCTTTGCATTAGGCGCTGATATTCTGTGTGGAAGACGGAGATGTGTTTCTCAGTCTCGGCTTCAGCTTCTCACAACTGAGAATGAATACGAAACTGTGTTCCCAAGAGAAAGTCGTGATCATGATGACCATTTTTTCATCTGTATCTGCGCGGGATTCACCTTCAGTATACGGAGACAAACGGGATACATTCACGGCTGCATGCATATTGCATGTCCTCCTGCCATCCGAGGGGCTGGTTTACATTTTAGCTTCCTTCAAATAATAAGAAACCATAGACCGACGTTCAGCAGCGTACTTCGGCTATTTAGTGAAGGAATGAGCTAGCTAGCCTTTTTATCCTCTGCCGCGTCGAAGCAAGCCCCCTCAAGAGTTCCTACACGCGGTTTAGCACACGGGATACCATCTAGCTTGTAATACCCGTTTACGTTGGGCAGAAAAAAATGGGTATCACTCGGCACTGACTCCCGTAACTGGGGGGTGACCAACAATTGCAGGTGAGCAGGTGCCCTGGTGATTCCATTATGAAGTTGTCTTGGTGGAACTTATCCGGTGTTACAGTCCATGAATTTGGCTGAACATGTACTCCGTGTGAAGACTTCATTAACCTCATCATCTCTAAACTTTTCAACAAGTATACCAGAAAAGGGGAACGGCTGTGCGTGATATGATGTTGTGATACCTGCTGTGCTCCGTCTACAGCCAGCGTAATAGGCCTGGGTCCCCCCTTTCATCTTATTTGCGCCAAAACCATTTCACTCAGAATCGAGCTCTGTCGTTTTAAATACGAACTAAGTTGCATCTGGCCATAAAAATACTTCTTGGAGGCTTCGCTGTGTTTGGTATATTCTATGGGACCTGGCCTTCGTTGCATCTACCCCTCGGCGTATGTATGTGCACCGGGGGGTGAGGCAAACTCGTCCCACATAGTAACCTGATGAAATACCGCTGAGAAGTCGCTCGGGGCCGTGAGAAAGACACGTACTGCTTATGACTGGCCGTTGTTCCTCTAATTCATGTTGCACCACATTCCTTCGTCTACATCTATACAGTGCCCTTTCTGCTCTAGTGGTCAAGACATGGAGTATGACAGGCTCCGCAGCAACTTCGAAGGACAGTGTACTTTCTGCTTATATCGCGATGGATGGATAAGATATCAAGTCCTCTTGTACAGATTGGCAATGGGAAGCACACTTCAGTGGCCATAGACTACCTCGAGGATGTCTGTCCGTGAACAGATAAATAAGTTTTTATATGCACGCCCAACCCCCTCCCCCAAACAGGCTTTCCCACAATGCCAACAGATGATTTGCGGTTAATGAGTCTTAGTATGAAGATGCTCATACAATCATGGTGAGAATGGCGGCCGGTCCGGAATCCAATACACTGTTAGGGTAGAACTGGTAAGTATCATGAAGCTGGACCTGGCCTGGGTCACCAGGCCTTCCAATGATACTCTGTGTCTCTTTATTCCCAGTTCCCGGTCACTGGAGGAAGCCTCCAGAATAGACGCCATGAACTATATGTATGGAGCACTCTGTATAAAGGTTCTTTATCTGTTGCAACATGGCTGCGGTATAGTAAGGCAGTTGCTGCAAAAAATGAAATATAGCCAGTATATATCCGCCGCATTCAAAATTCAGCCAATGCAACTCTTATTCCCTTTTCCATAGTGTTCGTATCAACTGACGGTAGCGGCGCTAACAACAATTCAGCCTACTTTCATATCCTGGAGATACCATGTTACTGATTGAAGGATGAGGCTTCAAGCGCAGGGCCAGTCAAGTTAACAACAAGATTGATATGCAAGAAAACAAGTACTGGTTTTCTATTTTCCATAGACGGTTTATCCCCTTGCCAAACAGGCCGATTTGACCGCCGTTATAAGTGACTGCTTGCATTTATCAAGTTTAATATATGGGGATAGGCGTAAGAGGTTCCCTGTTGTTGTCATTGGAATAGTTCATGCAAGGGAAACAATAGTTTACTATCTTCCACGATAGTAGGCAAACGGCCTGGCCCTGGTGGGTTCTCAAGCTGGAGGTCGTCCAGGAATAATCTAGACTCGTGAATCAATAATAGTCAAACAATAGGATGTCAAATAATATGCAAATTCCTCATTCATGTAGTGAACTCATTTGGCCAGCAAAGGCCGAGTTTATAGTACGATGGCTTATAGTTGTCTTATTGCCAGCAACAAACACTGGCCAAATAAGAGTACAAGTTTTATGCAGAGCAAATAAACCGCTTTATCTATTCAGCTGGTAGAAAAAAAATACTTTGGGTAATAAATATCATGGATGAATGTAGTTGAAAGACATAATTATGGTGTGGAGCCCCTTGTTGACACTATAGATCAATCCTACATCAATCTGCGGATTAAGACCGTTAAGCACTCGAAGCCATGAGAAGGAAGGCGAATAAAACCCCTGATTCTACCCTAAAGAAACAATACGAACATATAGCGATAGCAGATATTAAAAAGGGGGCCAGAGACAACAAAATGAAATGAGATGACAGAGACTTCCTCGCCAGACACCAGACCATCACTTCGAAGGCCATCTACTCCCTGGCCCTTGTTTTCCTCCGTACCATACCCCTTCTGCAATCGATCTGCTGCAGGACTAGGTAAACCAGACGTCAAGAGGGGAAAAGTGACAGAATACGAAACAAACCGCATAGTCCCGAATCAAGGTATATGGTAAAACCATAACAAGGGGGTAAAAGAGTAAAGAGAACGGAGTGGAAATAGATAACTAGATATCGATGGACAGTTGAATGATTTTTGTTTTGGACCGTGAAATAGGAGCGCAACATGGATATTTTTCCTTCAGGTGATTAAGGCGAGAGGAGAGGCCGGCTTCGAAAGAAGACCAGAAGTGTATATGGATGGATTATTGAAGGTAAAGATTAAGCAGAACGGACTCCGCGAGAACCCAAGCTGGGATGAAATCAAGATAAAGAAAATATAAAGGAATCGTGTTTTTATTTTTTTATTTTTTTTTCGTTTTCATTTCCACTGTCGTCAGAGGACATGGACAGGTAAAACGCACAAACAGATAGAAAAGAGACGGACAGGGATTTGAACAAAAACACGGTGGCTATGAAAGGTGATAGGGGAGGGTAAGTGGAAGGCGCCATTATTCTAAGGATGTAAGTGGTTATAGATGATGTGATGGAGAGAATAAAGTGAGGATTTGGGTGACAAAGCTGGAGTGATTTATCGACGGTTCCATGACGAGTAGCTGAGTAGATTATCAATTAGTATACAACCAACAAATATATTAAAGGAAAGAATTGTACTAAGAACTAACCTCCAGATCCTAGCACGCATATCTCCGCTTCCGGTTGCAAATAGCTGGCCCGTTGGGCTTGGAGCAACAGAGATAACTAATAAGAAGTTATATGTGATTAGCTAGCAGGCACATCGTAGGAAAAAATGTAAGAAGGAAGAAAATACCTGAGTTCTTGTGGCCTTGAAGCATCATCTGGGCATGACCAGTGGCAGGATCCCAGAACTGGACGCCTCTATCCTTTGAACCACTCATCACCCAGTGGCCGTCAGGTGTCAGGCAGACACTAAGCACGAAGTCCTATACGTGTATATTTAGCATAAGCTGCCATATACAAGGAAGGGAAATAAAAAAAAGTATGGAATAAATCCAAGAATGTGAAAAACATACCTTGTGTCCCTCAAAGGTGCGTACACACTTCCCTCCCTTTGGTCCAGTGCCAGGCACCATTCCTCTTGGAGGTGTAAGTTCCCACATCTTAATAGTCTTGTCCAAACTGCCGCTAACAAGGTCCCTTCCGTTTGGTGCGAAAGCAACGCTGTAAACACTGTCTCTATGGCCATCAGGGCTCTCGAGGCGCTCAACCAGGTATCCAGTGGTAGTGTCCCAGACACGAACGCTCTTATCAAGAGATCCGGCAGCTACGTAGCGGCCGTCTGGAGAAATAGCAACAGTGGTAACGCCGTCTTCGATGCTGAGAATGAGTTCCTGTTTGCCATCGACGATATCCCAGAGACGGACAGTCTTATCACCACTTCCGGAAGCGATGTAGCGGCCGTTTCGGGCAAAGTCGAGAGAATAAATATCCTGTTCATGTCCGGAGAAGATGTTTTTGATTGTGCGGCTAGCAATGTCCCAGACCTGTTGGAGAAACGGTTAGCTAAATGGTGAAATGTGGAAACACAGTGTGGGGATAATAAACTTACCCTGATTTGCTTATCTTCCGCACCGGTAGCGAGGTACCTTCCGTCAGGACTGAAGCATACACTTCGAATATATAGATCACCATCCTTGTCAACAGAGTCATCCTGTAGCGTGCTGACGAGCAGGCCAGTGCTAACTTCGAAAATCTGTGCAGAGCGGTTACATCCCGTGGCTACGTGCTTGCCATCAGCACTGAACCGGACACAGCAGACGACACTGTCGTGGATAAGGTTGTGAACGAGGTCGACGTCAAGGACACGAGGAATGTCCGGGTTAAAGACAGCGTACCAGTCGCTGCTTTCTTTCTTCTGGCTGGGTGGGAGCTTATCTGGATCGAGCTCGGCGAGGGTGTTACCAACTGTACGGTATGGGGGGCCCTGTGGGTTTGCGGCGGTCTGGAGGGGCATCTGGGGGGATGGGCGAGCCTCAGAAAATGCCATTTGCTGATTTTGCTGAGGAGTAGCAGGGCCAGCTGGAGCACGGGCGCTACGGCCCTTTCCAGGACCAGGAGAAGCAGTGGGAGCTGGAGGACCGAATGCTAATTGAGAGATTATCGTTAACATCAAATTGTGTCTGTTCAAGCCGTTTTTCTTGATCACATACCGGATCCATTAACACCAGAGCCTTGCTGGTAGCCGGCAAATGCGCCCTGAGGGGGCTGTGGGGGGCCCTGTGCATTGGGAGGGTTTTGCAGCGAGTGCTGGGCACCCTGTTGCTGGTCTTGTGGTGGTGGAGGAGGAGCAAGGGCGGGAGCACCACCTCCCTGGTTGGCCATGATGCCTCCAAAGAGGTTACTGGGGCCATGTCCGAGGGCTGGAGGGGGTGCCTGGGAGGGGCCTCCGTGTGGAGGAGGTCCGCCAACGTGAGATGGAGGGACGTGGATACCACGAGACTCGAGCTCCATGCGTAGTGTGCGAATTTCAGCCTCGTAGCTAGCACAGCGTTAGTGGAGGGGAGGAGGAAAAAGAAGAACCGATGGGAGAAAGAAGGAAACGTACTCTTGTTTCATTTTGAGCTGAGCCTGCTCCAGCTGGTAAACCTTTTGTCGGATCATTTCCATCTCTTGAAGCTGACCGGTCACTAATCACATATCCAATCTTCATGTCAGTCGGGCTAAGAAATAACAATCGCAAACGGGCAAGGAATCATACGCTGATGCTCGAACTCGCCGGTGCTCCGCGACTGGTTATCAAACTCTTGTCGTAGCTGGTCGAGGAGCTCCGTCAGGCGCGTGTTCGGTGGCGCGGTGACCATGGCTCGATGAGACCCATACATGGCTGCGGTTGTCTTCGTGTATCTCGTGAAGTTAAGAGTGTGATATATAGGGGTAAGAAGAAGTGAATGGTGCCCTATGGACGCGGAAGATGTCAGCTTTCGAAGGTAATATATATTAATATACATTAAAAAAAAAAGGTGGCGGTATTGTTATGGACCCGCACGGACTTTTGGCGACAGGGGGATGAGGCTGATAAAACCCGGGCGCAACAAGAGACCAACAGGGCAGAAGGAGAGATGCTAAAAAGGGCTTTATATACCAGGAGATCGATCGCGAGGTCAGTGTCTGAGAGGTAGGATGATGAGACCCGGGGTGAGATTGATTTTTTTTTTTTTGGAGATGCGATGCGCCAATTGACGGTGACGGCAGCAGCCGCAGCAAAGAGAGAGAAGGGAAAAAAAAGAGAGAAAGGGGAAAAAAAGGAAGAAGCAGAGGACGGGGCGATCTCTGTCTGGATAGAGAGCTGATGCCTGGGTTACCGGCTTCGTTGTTGATGTTGGGTGGTGGCTTGACTTGGGGTCCTTTTTTTTGCTTGAGTGAAGAAAAGGCAAAGGAGAAGTTGAAGAAGATTGAAGAGGGAAGAAGAAAAGAAGAAAGTTTCCTAGCGCGATGCTTGGGAGGTTCGCTCTTCTGGGGGGTTTCAGCAGAGCCTTTCACCGTTCTCGCTCTGCCTCTTCTTCTTCTTCTTCTTCTTCTTCTCCCTCTTTTCTGTGCTTGTTGGCTTCTCTCGCTTGCGGATGTTGAAGTTGATGTTTTTTTTTCTTTCTCTTTCTTCTTCTTCTTCTTCTTTTTCTTCTTCTTTCGGCGCGCCAAGAAAATTTGCTCATGCATAAAATTAGATTAGGTAAGCAGCCACCCCGGCTTAGTCATTGAGCACAGACCAGATTTAGTTATTACATAAGTGGGATGCTTAGTAAGATGGTTCTTCCGCTTTAGGACTAGCAACATACATTACTAAGCTCTTTTTTTTTATCTGATCCGAAATTCCCTTTTTTGGCGTGTTTTTTTTTTTGCATCTCCGACTTCATCTTCGACTCTTAATATTATCTTTCATCTGCTTCCTGGCCCAGGACCACGCTCGTTGATTATTATTCCGGGCATTGCTTCTGTCAGCTTCTTGTATACACGCCGGACTCGAGCGTAAGCTTCGGGAACCTTTTTTTTTCTTTTACTCTTGGCCATTATCAATCAGATAGTCAATCGATAGACAAGAGATAACAGACGGCACCATGGATATTGTACTGGAAGTCTTTGATACCTTCGTGTTTGACTATTTATACGCTCGCGCCCTGCCTCTCTCCGCGGTGTCCAGCGATGTCGTCTCCAATATCTTCAACGGCGTCAACTCGACCGTCGCCTCCGCCATCACCCAGGCCAATGGCATTGGCAACGGATTCGTCTACTCTCCTTCGACCAAGTACTTCTCCCTGGAGCCCTTCCAGTACGCGTATCAGTCGTCTCTGCCGCGAGATAACGGCTTCCGTCAGGTCTTCAGCCTCTTTTTAATTACATGGTCAGTCTGCATCCTTTATCCCCTCCCCCGTTTACCGTCGCCAATCATCTAACGAATAACAATAGGGTGTTCGGATTGGTCCTCTACTTCACTGTGGCCTCGCTCTCTTACGTCTTCGTCTTTGATAAAACCGCGTTCAACCACCCAAAGTACCTGAAGAACCAGATCTCCCTGGAAATCGGACAGGCCATGAGCTCCATGCCCGTCATGGCCCTTCTCACTGCTCCCATCTTCCTAGTCGAGGTCAAGGGCTACTCCAAGATATACGACACCATTGAAGAGGCTCCTTTCCCCATGTACAACATTCTCCAGTTTCCGCTCTTCCTTCTCTTTACCGACTTCTGTATCTACTGGATACACCGAGGCCTCCACCACCCGCTCGTCTACAAGAACATACACAAACCGCATCACAAATGGATCATGCCCACCCCATATGCCAGCCACGCCTTCCACCCTCTCGACGGCTGGAGCCAGGGCCTCCCTTACCATATCTTCCCCTTCATCTTCCCTCTGCAGAAGTTCGCCTACGTACTCCTCTTTGTCGCCATCAATGTCTGGACCGTCATGATCCACGACGGTGAATACGTTGCCAACAGCCCCATCATAAACGGAGCAGCATGCCACACCATGCACCACCTATACTTCAACTACAACTATGGCCAATTCACTACCCTCTGGGATAGGCTGGGTAAAAGCTACCGCAAACCCAATGATGAGCTGTTCCGCCGTGAGACCAAGATGGGACGGGAGGAGTGGAGCCGACAGGCCAGAGAGATGGAGAAGATGGTCAAGGAAGTCGAAGGCAGCGACGACCGCACGTATGAAGGCAATGAGACCAAGAAGAACCTCTAGATCCAGCCATCTCCTTCTACCCTTCTACGCCAAACTGACTGCATCTGCCGGTCAGATACCATAGTCACATAATTCCTTCTCACCTTTTTATATTTTATTTGGATATAAACGAGTATATCTACTTAGATGCTCTATGCCCATGTTATTTTTGCCCCTTTACTATTTATTAACCCTCATACTGCTTGCACTTTTAATCATCCAACCTCAGCACCGTTGACCAATCCCTTGATGGATTTGATATGCCCTGTCGTTTTTCCTTTTCGTGTCCTTCATTTTTTTACCATGCACACATGCCCTTAATATCTTATGCACTGATAAAACGTTTCCCATGACACACACAACCATTAAAAGAGAAATAAACAGGAGATGCTCCGTCATAGTTTTAATGCTAATATTTCTCCTTCTCAATGGTTTTACTATTTGATTCTTAATGGAAAGGGTAGCTTAGCCCTCGCTGCTATATATATCTTCTACATGCTTCTCAAATCACACAACTAAAACTTGTTATTATATTGAATTCAGACCTGAACTGAATAATAACACATTGATCTGAACTCAGACATTGCACGAAAATCCAAATGCGAAATAGGAACCGGAAAGAAAACATAAAGTACACGTAAAGATACAGACCGAAGAAGGATAGATGCGAAAGAGTAGTATGACAACCCACAACCTAGTCAATCTCCGCATAGTCATGCATCTCCTCAACATCCATAGCTGGCTCTTCAAGCGTTTTCGTTTCCTCCGCCTTCTCATCTATGCCCAGTGGTGGTGCCGGAGGAGCCATGGTTCCAACAGCGGGAGCAGAACTCATCGCCTCGTCGATGAACGCCCTCTCTACCGCAACCCTGCGTCTAAAGACGTTCAACCACCTGCTTCCCCACTGCTGAATCATCACGTTCTCAGGCTGGAGTGCATCGTCTTCTGTTCGCTCCATCATGCCGTCGCTATATCCGCCAGCCACAGGAACTAGCGTATCTTCGATTAGCTGAAACATAGAAAGCATCTCTGCCTTTTCCTTTTTGAGTGTTTCCTCCAATATGCTGAGTTGCGGTTCATAGAGGGTTGGTTGAGTTCTAGCTGCCACGATCTGGCGCATACGATTCGTGACCTTGCGCATAGTAGCAGCTATCATTTCGAAAATGTGTGGTTTTGCCAACGTTGAGCCAGCCGCAAGGTTGTCAACTAGTGCCCATTCCAGAACGGAAAGAGGGGTGAGAATGGTATAGTTCAATAGCTTGTCGATGATGTTAATGCCGATTCCAGGTTGGTCAGCCCAGTATTCCATGACGGAGTTGATGATTTGGCGACGTGCGGCGTCGGACTTTGGGCCGATGGCAAGGAGTCTGTCCTTGCAGCGTTCAATGCACGAGAGGAAGTGAGACAGGGATTTGGATCCCACATAGCAGATGGAGGTCATGTAAACATCCGTGGAAGCAATGAGAGGGTCGACCAGCCCGTGAGTCTTGGCTTGTTCTTCAATAGAGGTAATAACAGTCTCGATTTCTTCATCTGATGATTTTTGACGAATAAGTTTCATGAGTTCTTGCCCCTCTTTTGAATATGGAGTTGCTATTCAGCACGTTAGCAGTAGACCTCTTGGCCATCTAGCAGATTCAAGAAAACATACTCTCTTGAGAAAATTTGAAGTCCGGCGTATCCTTCTCTTTGCCTTCTGTGATCAACTCGTGATACGGCTCTGGGAGTGTCCCCTTAATTCTCTGTGCGAAGCTCAGTCGGATCTCCTTGTCTATGGCACCAATAATGAAGGCCTTCTTCGGATGCACATCGGGCAGCTCAAGGTCAGCAACCCTATAACAAAAATGTTAGCAAATGAGAACATGCTATTCGTTTATGGAACACTTACCACTCAGTCCACTTCCATGTAAATCCAAAGTTACTCAAATGGTGGGTAAACCAATCCAAGAATCTGTAAGCAAGTGAGAGATCCAACTTGTCGATGTTTCGATACACAAAACGAATTGCACGTCCCAGGCTAGGAGCAATTGCAGCAGGGGCGATTTTGCAGGCTTCCGTAAGCACTGAGTGGTAATACACCAGTTTATGTTCCGGAAACGGCAATTGAAGGAGTTGAGAGAAAGCAGCGTCAACAGCAACATCCTCAGGTTTCCATGTTGATCCTTCACGAGATGGAGAATCACGTAGTTGATCTACAGGAACGGCTCGTTTGACAAAGGTGTCTGGTGCAAAGTAGCAGTCCACATCGATCAGGAATCTAGCCGTTGCGTTTCGATTGAAGTCTAGAACGTTGATCGTATCAACCAATGCGTCGCGGATTAATGAGGATGCAATGTCAGATGTCGGGGGAACCGTGTCGACGTCCTGGTGAGTGTAAACTGAGAAATAAATCTCAGGGAAAATGGCCTTTGGTCCATTCTTGACTGGATTCGGTACCGCGACCTTCGGGAAGGCATGCTTGGTAGGGGCTTTAGGTGCCTCTTCGGCCTCCTTTTTCTCCTCTTCGCCAGTGGCTTCTTTTGATTCCTTTTCTTTTTCTTGTTGAGCGAGCGGTTCCTTCCATGGCCGTGGAATACAAGCGAGTTTCCACGATTGCGCAGATTCATCTTGCAGCTGTTTCTGAATGAGACCTAGAGCACTTAGCCTGGTACCTTCTTCCTCTCCCTGTTTTGAAGGGAAAGGGTCAACGATGGCCTCAAGGGTATGCGGAGTCGAAGCAATGATATCTGTCTTCTCTAGTAGGGCAGAGGCGTGAGACTCGAATCCTGTGGCAGACGAGGCCATCACATATGGAATCGTTAAGAGAATAATGTTGACGAGCTCCAGGCCAAGGGAATCCTCTGACGAGCCAGTTTGGAGATCAACGGCACGTGAGAATAGCTCCTCCAGCACGGGAAATATACCCTCGCCTTCAAATATGCCCTGCAAACAGCCCAAGAACCGTAGCATAAGCTTGACATTTCGCCAATTTCCCTGTCCAACATACAGGGCTGCTTGCTCTCCGATCTTAGAAATAATCGGAGTGGTGGCTTCTGGCTTAAGCGTGTTGAGTAGGAGGATAATTGCAGCGACGAAAGGTATTTTCATTGGCTGTTCAATAATCCTATCGCACACCATTAGCTTTAATACGGAGTGCACTGTAATCCAGAACTACCTACATTTGCAATACAAGGTCCTCGAAAGACACCTTCATCGCCTCGTCAGAGTAATTCTCGGCAACCATCTTTGCGATTTTTGTAACATCATCTTCAGGTCGTCGCGAAGTCTAATTCAACAAAGCCGTTAGTTAAAATAAGTCGCTAAATCCATGCGGAATCCCAAGATGTGTGGACTTGCAAAAAGGTCCTGCTTACCGGCTCTGCAACATTTAACAGCTGTCTCCTGATAGTTGCAGCAAGTGGCTCCTCGTATCTCCTGCGCTGATGTCGATAACGATCACCTCCCTCATCATCTAAGTAGTAACAAAGCGAATGTCAGCACTAATATCCAGTTAGTACTTCATATGTCGAAGAAGACAAACCTCTATATCTTCTCTTCTTATTATATCCCCCTCCATGCCCCTGTTTGCGCTGGTCATGTTCTCCCATCCTGTCTACCTTAAATCTCGAAAAGCTCCGGCCTGACCTCTTCCGACCTCTCTCTGTGCAAGATCTCTAGTCTGAATCTTCCTCGACTGGTGGACTAGATCATTAATGCGCAAGCTAAATGGCACGATACCCAATTGGCCTTACTACTCTCTTCCTTCGATATGCGCGCACTCTCAACGCGGCGATGAAGCTAAGCTGGAACACTCGGGTCGCTTGACACGTTCTAGATGCAACCAACGCCAGCACACCAGACGATTCATCGGCTGGTTATTAGTAGCAGACAAGCTGTGTGAGCTGTCAATGCTTGATTGTCACGTCTGCTCCCCGTGAAGCTGTTGATATCGGCAGTGAAGATGCCAGGAGAAGCTGGTTGAATGTACACAACAACTGAAGAAGTCCAAGTGGAGCCAACCAAAAGTCTTTCGCTTTTTCTTTTTTCCGCAAGTCACGTGGTGGGCACATTATCTAGGTACGTTAGGTCCTAAGAGGTGTATAAAGTGCGAAGAGATGAAGATATTATACATGATAAGGAAGAAGCTATACAAAGACCCCGTGTTGTAGAGTGATAATAGTGGCTATGTACACCGGTCAATTTTACATGGATGCTGCAAAGATTTACTACATGTATAGGTATCATTAAGTAAGTCAGGCTTCATTGATATTGAATACAATCCTTAACGGTATCATCATAACCAGCTCGATGGACAGGGCATAGCTAGCTTCTCATCCTCTCGTTTCTCTTTCTATATTTTCGATTCTCTCCCCCACGCCGTATCAGCCTCGATTTCCATCACACTCTCTAATATGCTTCATCTCCATCGCAGGCATCAACGGCTAGCCAATGCTATGCCATGCCATCTGTGGTGCTAGGGTGCCTATTCGATCGCTCTTTTGCCCTGGCTATTTTCCGTCATTCCTGCGGGGGAGAGTCGACACCCTTGATAACTTAGAAGAAAAAAAAATGGACAATGAAGGGAGAGGAAGGCGGAAAGGAGATGGAAAAAAGCAGAAAACTAAGAGAAATAAAATGAAGAAAGGTCAGAAGAAATAGTAGTAGAAAATTCTCGCCTATCTCGCGGTGTGTTTCGGTCTGCTTGGCTGCGCGAGGGTGTGAGTATATCTCTAGCTATCCCTATCCCTATTCCTAAGCCTGTCCCTATTCCCACACTTGCTCTCGCTCCCACACTCGGGATTTGAACTCGAACCGAAGCGGATCAGATGAAGGGTCCATCCAATCAAATGTCTTGTCATGACTCCGTCGAGTCGATCCGTTAAAGATAAAAGGTGAAGGTGTTAGAGCTGGAGGTGTGAGAAAAAGAGAGGGGAGAAAACATGTAAAATATGAAATAAAATAAAAGCAAACCCGCATCCGTCCTCATGAGTAAAAAGAAAAAGGAAATACATCAAGGGGAAGAGGGAATCTCAAAGTGCCGGAAAGAAGAAAGAAGGAAAAGAAGGTAAAATAAAGTGGTATCATGCAAGCAAATCCCCTCCCCCCCCCTCGTAAAGAGCAAGTACACAAGGCACACAGCGTTACCGGCAGCATGGAAGAAAAACCTCGTGTATAGGATACGGCGGAAGTTGATCTAATGAGTGCGGGGGCATGTGTGTGGGATATGTGTGCTTCTTCTTTTCACCTGGTAAACTCTCGAGGTTATTCACAGAAACCATTTCCTCCTTATCCCCCCTTATTTTTTGGACTTTTCTCCCTTTTTCGCCTTTTTTCATCTGTTCAATGGAGTCATGATTCATCAAGTGTAATGGTACGTGGTTGGTTTCGCGTCCGCCCGATCGTTTGTGGTGACATCAGAGTGTAAAGTTTTTTTTTTTTTGGGTTTTTTTGTGGTTTAGTGATAATAGATGCATCGCGTCGTCATACCCCGGAACAAGACACAAAGGCCGAACCGGACCAGATCTAAGATATGTTGCTATGTTATGTTATACTTAACGAATCCTTGGGCAAGAAAATGGGTAAACAAGGTAGGCGGATCGACGTAAAAACGTTGGGGTGCTGGAAATTTGGGGTGGGGCATATCGCGAAGTCGGACGAGATTGAAAATAGACTGATGGGCGGATTGGTGGACGGACGGACAGGGACGGTTCGTCGCGAGCCGTTAATTGAAAACCACTTCAAGGGCATGTATCATCGTAAAGACGTTAAACCTTGGGGCATGAACGCCCGATCAATCCAGGCGAGCCATCATTTCCTCTTTCTTGAGAGGGGTGAAGTTGTCGATATCAAGGCCCTGGGCAAGAAGCTCAGCTCTCGCATGTGGTGGGATCAAACGATGGTTCATAGAGGGAGCAATGGACAACTCTGTGAACCGTGGTCAGTACAAGGCAGACGAAAGTGGATAACATGGGAAACGGGAGCTTACCGTGACGGGTGAAGTTGAACAACTTGGGCATGTCACGGTGAGGAGCGTTTGGATGGCGTGAGTCTGGGAGACGGATGTTTGGCTCACGAAGCTCGTCGAAGAATGGGTGGCAGAGAGCCTCAATGGAGGAGAGACGCTGGGTGGGAGTGTACTCCAATAGAGCGGTGATCAAGTCGATTGCCTCGTGGGAAGCCTTGCGGAAGACCTGTGTAGGAGTCAGTATGTTTTTATAACCTAGCCAGGGGATTCAGTTGACACAGTTGCATACCTTGTTGAATGGGTGAGGCTTGATCTGGGGGAACTTGTGCTCCATATAGTTGGGGTTCATGGTGCGAATCTGCTCGCGGGTAGGAGTTCCCAGAATCTTAATAATCTCAACCAACTGGTCGATGCCAGACTCTCCTTGGAAAAGGGGCTGGCCGAGCATCAATTCACCCATGACACATCCAGTGGACCAAACATCTAGACAAGAGTTGTACGTATTAGAGATATTTGTATAATTAAAAAATAAAAAATAAAAGGGAGACATACCAATCTTGGTGGTGTAGTTGGTAGCACCAAAGATCAACTCGGGAGCGCGGTAGTAGCGCGAGCAGATGTAAGAGACGTTTGGCTCATTCTCAACGAGGATCTTAGCACTGCCAAAGTCGCAGAGCTTGAGGATGCCAGTGCTGGGGTCGAGGAGGAGGTTCTGAGGCTTGATATCTCGATGGCAGATGCCCTGAGAGTGGATGTAGGCGAGGGAACGGAAGAGCTGGTAGGTGTACAGCTTGACCTCGAGCAAGGGCATGGTAGTCTTGAGCTTGTTAAAGTACCGCGAGGCGCGGTAGACGGTCTCTGGGACATATTCGAGCACCAAGTTGAGGTAGACTTCGTCCTTCTAGAAAAAAGTCGTCATGTTAACGAGGGGTTTGTCGAGCAACACACATTTAATAACTCTCACTCTCCCAACTACCACAAACTGCACCAGAACGTGGTATAAAAAAGAAAATAATAACTACTTACTCTATCACCGTTGGAGTAGTAAAAAGCCTTGAGCTCAACGATGTTCGGGTGACGGACTATGCGCATGATTTGCAGCTCACGGTTCTATGTTTGCAGGTCAGTGAATGCTTGTCAAACTAGAGAATTTTTTCTTGTTTCTACGAGTGAGAGCTTACCTTGAAGCGTTTATCTTGGAGAACGCGTTTGATGGCTGCGTCTTCACCTCCTGGAGACAGCTTGGTCTGAAAGACGATACCGAAGGAGCCATTGCCCACGATCTTGCACTGGGTGTACTGCATGTCACGAGTCTCTCCAGTGACGCCATCCTGCACCTTTTCACGGATCACCTCTGCACGCCGGTCAGTAGCTGAACTGAGCTCTCTTCCAAGACAAGTCAAGTCGAGTGAGGTGGGGAGGGGAAAAGCAAAAGACACGAAGAGCAAGGCAACTCACCACCCATACGCAGGCTGGAAAACATCCCAGACCTATTCTGTGACATCTTTTCTTGTGGCCAACACGACGAATCTGGCGACTATCAGACTGCTATAGCGGGAAGTTCCTCGAGCGAAACGATCGATCTGGAGGGCAGGAGGAAGGAAGAAGATATCGCGTGTTACAGCGAATTGAGAGATTTCGAACCTCTGAAAAAAAAGGCACAAAAACAACAAGATTAGCGAGGTCTTCTCCGCCAGATGAGCCAAAGACAAGAGGAAGAAGAAGAGCGAGTGGCAGCTGGGCAACAGCCTCGAGAGAGCTCACGTTCTGCAAGGTCCTTTCCGTTTCCCTTTCGCTTTGGTGCTTTCTCCCTTGCTCTTACGATCGAGAAAGAAAAGGAAGAGGAAGAAGATGAAGGTTGAAGAGAAGAAGAAGAAAGGGAGAGAAGAAGAAGAAAAAGGAAGAGAAGAAGGACAGCTGAGAGTGAATAAGAGGAACACAAGGCGGGCGTGCGGCGTGCAAAGAGATAGAGAAGGAGGAGGACGAGGTCGGCCGGCGGGGAGGGGAGGTTTTTTTTCTTTTGGGCGAGGTTTAGTTAAAGGGAGGAGGAGGAGAGGAGAGAAGGAGTTTAAAGGACCCAGAGAGTTTCCTGGCAGGCTCCACCAAGCTTTAGATGATGATGATGATGGAGAAGAAGAGATAAAGAGGCAGAGACAGACAGCAGGCGAAGAGGATACAGAGACAGACAGAGAGAGAGGCAGAGGGACAGAGAAGATGCAGAAGAGATACAAGAGAGCACAGACAACGTGACCAGCCAGCTCTAACAAGAAGAAGCAAAGAAGAGGAAGAAGAAGAAGCAAAGAGAAAGAAGACTTACAGTGAAGAGAGGGAAGACCTTTAAACCTGCAGCGTATAATACAGAGCTGAAGATGATGCCGGGAAGAAGAAAGGGGAGGAGGAAGATAGAAGAAGGGAAGAAGCTCTTCTGCTTCTGGGTCGAGAAACTGCGGCAAACTGCCTGCAAAAAAAAAAACTGTTCTAAAACTGCAAACCAAACTGTTTTTTTAAAAAAAATAACCGCTGCTAGTGCTATTTCAATCTTGTAAGTTGTTGAGATTGAAGAAGAAGAAGAAGAAAAAAAAGGAAGAAAAAGGAGGAAGAAGTTAGGAGCTTTGCTCTGCTTTGCTCTGCGTTCTCTGCTTT